TTACAGCAAGAGCTTTAAAAACATTGAAGTTAGCGCCATTAAACTATACATAAAAACTTTTAATATTATAATAAAATAAGACTAATAACAAAGTTAATAATTTTAATGTTCACTCCTATTTACAGATCTATAAATGACGCCTTTCCCAGAGCTCGGCAGTCCTAGTAGCCCATCCTTGGTGGAGTTCTATATTGTCGCCGCGTAAGTCATCATTGTCCTACTCAATGGATAGCCAGAGTCATCTGAAATAATAATGTTGTTACTTGTTAGGCAATTAAATAATTCATCTCAATTACATCTTTCACTCAAAACAAAACATATAAATACCTAAAAACCAAATACTCTCTGCATTACTTATTTCTTCTAGATGCATTCTCAATGGGTGATTAGCCCCGATAAAGGAGTCATGGGCAGCACCGCCATAACTTGCATCTACACTTAATATTTTCATATGTGCATCACAAACCTAAAAAAACATAGTAAAATTGTTATATGTATATATATATACATACACCATAATAAGTAATATTTAAAGTGTAACTACCTCATATTACTTTTTTATTGTTCAAAGCTATCCAACTCTTTGTTATTATTTCAATAAAATTTTAATAAACATTCAAAGAATGATAATGTTTGCAACAAAAGTAGCGTTCTTCATTTGGTGCAGGCCGTGCAATAGCAACATGGGTACAATCTATCTACTGTACCCATGTTGCTATTGCTGCTAGTCTACATCCTAAGATACCCAAAATGTTAAATTTGTTATAGAATCTAAAAAAATATATTAACATTTAATATATAATAAATTGTGACATTTATACAGAAAGATCCATTTGTCTAGTCAGCTTGACTCTGAACATAATGACATAAAAAACAACTTAGTGTGCTTTCATTCTGTTGAGTTCTTGGTCATTGTTTGGGAAGCTGATAAATAGTATTTAAAAAACCTTCGTCTCCACAGACAAGTCAGTGGATTTAACTGGCTTCTTTAGTAGAGGCCTTAATTCATCACACAACTTATACGTGAGCTCCTTCGTAAGCCTATATCTTTTAACACACTCCATTTCGTCAAGGTCGGAATCGTCACATTCCTGACGTAAATGCTCGACGCCTGTCGACGCTCCTTCTTCGATTAGTTTGTTTCGGCATTATCTGCTTCCAAAAACTCGAATACTTCATATTCATCGGCCGTCTAGAACCACGCCCACATTTATATTTGCAAATCTAATTTTGGGTCTTTCCTTAGTAAAATATCAGTTTTTAACAAAGATTCACGCAAATTAAAACGTTTTACTTACTTTTGAAGTTAACATATCTAGTTTTTCTAATAGAAATATGAAAACAATCTTACTTCCAGCGTACAAAAGCAACTTTTTTATGATTGCTAAATTTGACATAAAAACAATATTGCTAACTGGCAAAAGACACGTCGTGCCTCGTGGTACGCTTTGAGTGAATGATTTGCGGTGACGTCACAAAACTGCTAATCGAAACAATATTAAAATAAGTTTATTTTTAAAATGTCATGGTACGAAATTTGAATGTAAGACATTTGAACATAAACAAACACATGACAGTGCGGACAAGGCAAATTATACAATAAAATCAAGGTTGAGTAGGAAACTAATTAAATAATGTACATATAATCCCTTAACTGTAATAGATATAATACATAAATATATAAACAAGATGTAAATAAATATAATGGTAAGATAAAACGAAATGTAACCTAGAACTTAAAAATGTAAAAGAAAAATAAAATACACAAGAGTTCAAACTTATTTAAGAAAAGTATCACTGTACGAATGAAAGACATGAGGAATATAACCAGCTTAGTCCACGGCCCGACATTAACTACTGCTCGGGATTAAAAAAAAACCTAATCTATGCACACAATATCTGTTTATAACGATAAACTAAGTAAACTTAGTCCATCCAGGAACATCAATCTATTAGTAAAACGATTTGAATGTCGCATCAGTTCAAATGTTCACATTTCAAGAAAATCGTAAATACAGCTATCCTTTGTTGGCGCCTTCTGTACCTGTTAAAGGTGAGTTTGGATGTAATACCATTTTACACGATTACTATTTGTGTTTTATGAACAAACATCAAACTCAATTGTTACAGTTAAAGAGACATTTCAACGCAAACCGACCTTAACAGTTTGGTACAATTCACAATTCATTCTACTTACATGAGTGTGATTAATATTACACACCCTTTGAAGAATATTTCAAAGACATCACAAATAGTTTTCCATGTAAAGCTTTTCCAGAAAGGCACGGACCAACTAGCAGGTGTAATATACAACAATGGTTTGTTGTAGGACCTTTGATTTCTTACTCGGCATAAAGGAATGTATAAGAAAGACCTGGAGGCTTGTCTTTATAATCTGTATTTGGTTTCATTGTATGATAATATCAGGATTAATTATGTTGACTTATTTTCATGCTCGCAACCAATATTTAAATGTGACAGAAAAAAAGTTATTTTAAAAACGTATCGAATTATAGAAGAAAAACTGTTTTTCTTGTATTGCAGACACTGTTTCTCTCCATGAAGCTTTTTTCAATGTATATATTACAACGATCTCAGTGAAAATTGTTAAGAAACTAAGTTTATACTGTATGTTTAGACTTCTATATGAAAGTTATCTAGTCTATCAGAAATTGATATATTAGTTTTACTCATCATAAGGAACAGCACTGTTTAGTTTCCTAAACATATACGTTTCTTTAATTGAATCTGCATTGGATGGTGATAAGTTCCACGTATAAAATTCGTAAATTGTTTAAAAATATATATTAAATGATATAAAATGACATTCTATGATTTAAAACGATCATTAAACTGTTAAATAACTTAAAAACAAATTGAATTTGATTTTTTTATGTACTTCTTGTCAAAACTTTATTTTACGTGCTACGATTGAAGCTGTACAAGGACTTGAGCAATTCAACTAGTTTAAAAGAAGCACGTTTTATTTCAATAAAACACTTCTCCGCTTATAAATTATCTTTGAACTAATTAATTTATTCAGAATTAAAGGGCCTGATAGAAATATATAGCAAAGATACTTGTTTGGAATCGACTTTGCTTTGTGCATTTCTTAATTCAATAGTAATGGAGGTATAAGCGGAATCTCAATAAAATGGCCAGAAAATTATAAAGAATTTTATCTGGAAAGTCAACCAATACCGACATTAAACTGTATGTGGAAACGACGATATATTTGTATACAAAAGCCCTATATACTTAAAACATATTTTTGCATCACGTCACAAACGACGACTAAATGCCTTTTAAAAAGTGTCTACTTAAAAATCGAAAATAAATTGAAAAAATTTTCGACTCGGGCAGGACTTGAACCGGCATCGTCAGCTTTCCGTGCTGTTGCTCTACCAATTGAGCTACCGAGTCCTACAGTGTAGGACTCGGTAGCTCAATTGTAGAGCAACAGCACATCGTCGAAATTTTTCAACTTATTGATACATGCACCTCTCGCGCAATGTGATTTCAACCTTAACACTTGCGTACTAAGTTTTTTAAATTATATAGTGCCTTCATGTGCAATAACATGTAAAAAATATTAATGTTTTCAAAGTGTCTACTTTTTTGTTTAATTGTTGAAGTGTTTAATTTAATAATATAGTTTATAAGTTAAAATCCTATTGTTATGTATCGACGTTCGGATGGACAGAAAAAGCTGAATAGGTTTATGTTCCATCTTATAATATTGGAATTTGTATTTCATGTAAACAAAAAAAAATATCTCTATTAACGAACCCTACTTTTTAAAAATTTATCAAAAAACTATACATAGCAATATCCAATGAAAAAGGTTTCCCTCTACTTCCAACACAAAAAATACAACCAGTAAATACTAACATCAATAACTCTGTAAGTATTTATAACAACCTCAAAATTAAAACTCCTGGAATAAAACATTTAGCAATTATTTTTCATTGCGCAATTGCTTTGCTTTTGCTTTCAGTTAATAAAATTGATCATAATTTATAGTTATATTATAAATAGAGAAGTACATTAGATTTTTAAGAGTATCTTTTTAATACTTAAACTTCAAAGTACGATGCCGTTTAAAAACTACATTCACTCTGAGTTTGAAAGGCTACGTTTATTACTCCAGAAGATAAGAGACCTTTGCAAAGGTGTAAAAGCGCTGAGGAATCCATTGATGATAGAAAAAAAAGGTTTTTCTAGACTAAATAAGATATCAGTTACTACAATAATCTCGCGATGCCCGTTCGCTGACAGCATTCCCTGTGCAGCACGATAGCTCAATTGGTTAGAATAGCAGCATACAAGGCTGAGGATACCGGTTCAAGTCCTCGGTTTACGGAAATAAACGGTTAAATCGATAATAAAACTGCCCAGTTCTTTTAAATATTTTATCATTTATTCAGTGGTTGGAATAAGTTAATTTAATAAGACTCTATCTATTCTGAGAGAATAACCGAAATAAGTAAACGCTACGAAGGAGGTAGGCCTTTTCTCCCTTGCTATATTATTATCTGTTAAAACTAAGTTACCTATACTAGCTGTAAAATGTACAATGGTAAAATATTAAATCGAAGGCGTTATGTACAATCTTAATTCAAGTTTAATTCGATCGGTGCTCTCGTAAAATACTCGAATGTACACTATACATCCGATGACTTCACGACTACAATTAATAACTACGTATACTCGTCATTTGCGCATATCGATCTCACTTACGTACTAAAGAAATCTCTAATCTCCACTAGTCCAGAAGGGCCAACATTTTTGGTCAGTGCATTTACAGTGTGCTAGATACTACAGACTAGAGATCTGCCTCATGTTCAGTAGTATTTCTAAAATTGGGTTCGTTCGATGATGTGTCCTAGGAAAGATTCCATCTGAGGGAAAGAAGGTCATTCAGGCTTCGACGTGAATAATTTAAGTGCGGTCGAGTCGTAGCTGGAGCGGCGTCGCCTTCCGTTCGCCGGTCACTCGAACTACCGCAAGCGGGCCAGCAGTCGGAAGAGATAGTATCCCGTGACCGCCTGCAGCACGCGGTGCACCCAGTACAGCCTGAAAGCAGACACGTCGATGTTACAACACTGGCGTACGTCACCGATCGTCCGATGCCGTGTCGACGCCGACCTGTTGAGTTTGGTCCTCGCTTGCGGCAACGAATCGAGCGTGTCCTTTAAGATAAAGCGGCGAATGCCGAGCATGTAGGCCCCCACGTAGGCCTCCCAGCTGAACTTTGTCGGCCAGGCCGGGAACTCGGCGGAGTCGGCTGCTCCGGCTGCGTCAGCGTGCAGCGCCAGCAACTTCATCACGCCGAACTGCCACTCGTGGTTCGCGAAGTATTCGCCCGTCGCGGCTGCCATTTTGAACCGTCGCGCTATCTTCATCATACTGCGAGAAGAATTCACATTTAGAATAAGACTCGGCGGCCGAGACCGGAAGGCTCTCGGGCGAACTACTCACATAGGCTTCCGTCCTTGCGCGCGCAGCGCTAGGTCATACAGGAAGGCCGGCAGAAAATGCAGACTCATCTCCCAGAAACTGTTGAGAGCGCGAGACTCGGTGAAGGAGAAGTTCGGGTACCACATTACGTATCTGTACACGCACACGCATGGATTAGGTTTTTTCCGACTCTAACGTCTAACGTAAAAGGATAAATATCGGCAATGACTTACTTGGTAGGGTTCTCTCGGGCCCACTTAACGCAGAGTCGAGTAAAATTTCCCCACTGAAGCGGATCGATGGAACCCGAAGTCACGTTGTAAACGGGACAGTGGCCGGGCCTGCAACACACCTCTACGGTCAGAGGGTCTCAGGAGAAGGAGGTTGAAATAGGCGACCGAGCGCTCACCGTTTGCAAGCCTGTCTCCACGCGGCGAGGATGCAGCAGTTGACGAGGATGTCGACGGGCACCAGGTCGACCACGTAGCGCTCGCGACAGTACCCCGATCGATATGTTCCTCGCGATATCTCCATTATTATGCCTTAAATACGTATGTATTAAATATTACTTTGGTTAAATTGAGATAAACTTTTAGGCAGAAATAATTACCGGTCACTCCGTAGACGTTGTCGATCCATCCCGGAAACGGTTCCTGGAAAGCCGCCGTAACTATAACATAGAATCGCATTAATGAACTCGTAAATGTATTCGAGAGACGACAGATAAATGAAAGAGGAACCCGACTGACCGATCGAAGGACGCACGATGCAGACAGGCAGCTCCGTGTGCGAGTTGACGATGCTCTCCGCCAGCGCCTTTGTCAGCGTGTACGGGTTCGGATGCTCCCCCTGAACGCAAACGGAGGGCGTGAGCGATGGAGTGAGTTTGGGAACTTCGCGAACGAGAAAGCGAAAACGATACCGACCAACAGTGATGGCGCGATGAGCTCGAGGGTGGCGGGCGGCAGCGTGGCCGCGCAGCGCAGCAGCGTGGCCGGCTCGCACGGCGGGGGGTACACGCGCTCCTCCACTTCCGAGCGAGGCGCGTTGCTGTACGCCGTCGACACGTGCACCAGCGCCTGCACATAACGAACGTGACGTCACGTGATCGGCTCACGCGCGACGACATTGGCCGGGCGAATGTGAAATCGCCGATCGGCGAATTATCCAAAATTATTATAATGATACGAGCAGCGTCCTCTCGACGCTAGAGATCTAGACGCGTAATCGGTTCGGCATTGAGTCGCTGGAAAATCGAGCGCACGCAATCGGGCGTCACCTTGAGCAGGGGCATGTCGGCGGCGAGCTGCAGCAGAGTGGCGGTGCCCTGCACGTTGAGCGCGGTGGCCGTTTGCAGGGACTCGGTGAAGCGCACCGTGGCGGCCGAGTGAAACACCGTATGGACGCGCTCCAACAGGCGCAGCTGCTGCGGCGATACGCCCAGCTGCGGGGCGGACACGTCGCCGGCGATGGGCTGCAGCTTCTCGAGGCGCTCGGGCCATCGGGATCGAATGCGGTCGAACACCTGCGAAAAATGCGACCCAATTAGACGTCATTTCGCGTAGGAGCCGACGCCGAATCGAAACCGACGAACCTGGTTCTTGAGTAGTTCCTTGTAGCGCTGCTCGACCGAAAGTCCTCGCTTGGGACGCATCAGCACATAGACGGTCTCGATGCCGGGGCAGCTCCTCAGCAGCTTCTCGAGCAGCGCCTTGCCCACAAAACCAGTTCCGCCCGTGACGAGCAGAACGGCGCCCGTGAACCACTCGGCGATGCCTTCGACGCTCGTCTCGAGCACCTCCCTGTTCATGTCCGGCACGGAAGGGTCGTTCCCGTTCAGACATTCCGAGTCCATGCTGCGCTTAAAAACATCTACGTTACACCGCGTTCCAACAACTAGAACTCCACGCTCGGCTTTGAAAATAACTCGCGCTCTTAGTGAATAAGATAAACCACTAACAAAAAAATGCAAGAGCTTAGTTATCGTCAGATTAAACGTAAACAATCCGTACCTTCGTATATAAATATGCAACAAGTCGAAGATATTAGGTAATATCTTAACTTAGCAGACATGGGAATGCTACGAACTAAAAGCCGACGCGAATGCGTATCGATTGTGATTTATTATTCATGAATCAATTTTGATCCACACTGTCGTAGCACCCCTATTCTCTACACCACCACTTAACGGTCCGTTAGGTTCTTGATTCCTTGTGTCTGTTTGTGTTCATGGTGTAAAACTGCATAAGAGTATGTATTAAGACTTTTTACGATTATTGCGCAACGCACATAAGTTAGGAAACTTACGTGTGTTATAAACACATTTAGAGAAAGTGCTTATCGTCCTATTAGTGGGTCATTTGGCGGATTCGTTTTATGGCAGATTCCTGCGACAATTCACGTGGACTTGAACTTTCTCTTCGGCGCACTTTGTAGGCTCCACTAGGAAGTCTGACGCGCGAAGGAATTAGTCTTACGACAAATAACAAAAAATATATATTAGATGACGTCGAGGTACTCACTCCAAGAAGTCCATATTTTTATCGTCTCCTCAGGTGAATCGCTGTGCGTGTCGATTCCACAATATTACCATCTAAAAATATTTAATACGATTTAATGCAATCGAAGCGACACAACGCTACTTTGACAAAGAATGGGACTTACACAAATACTGGGAATCGTTCGGGGCGCACTCGCGTCGTTTAGAATTATGATTTTCCTTTAAGGAGAATCAAAACATGTTTATGCGAGAGTCCGGCACACACTTGTTCGACTTTCACTGGCGATCACGTAACTGACCGCGAGTAACCACGGATCACCGGCCACTGAGTGCCGCCCGCCACCGTCGACGGCTCACCGCTCGCGGAGCGGCCGCGGCGGTCGGCTGGCCGTCGCTCTTCGGGGCCGAACTGTCTTTTCAGCTAACGGCTATCTCACTAGCGCAATACGCGTTCGGGTGACGATTTTTTTGGGTCGCGTGCGCGCATAATAGTAGCCCGTATGTTTCGAGGACGGCGATGCAATATTTCGTAACGGGGTAAAGCGTAGCTCCCGTAGCTCGTAGCGGGCGGATATCCGGAAACGGTCTGTCTCGAAGGCGACCCGTCGTTCGATGTCGGAAAAAGAGTCAGAGAGGGGGGTCGTTGAGCAACCGCGCCGAGACCGGTTCGCGGTACGTTTCGTCAGGTTCGGTCCAAATTCGTAACGGCCTCCTCGGCGTTACGAGTGCGCCGGAGCACCGCGACTAGCGTGGATCGGAGGTCTGACGTAACGAGCCTACTTACTGACCGGTCCGTTCTAGTGATGCGCTCGCGATCGCGCATCGATGCTCTATTTCTGACCCGAAAAAGTAAACCTATCGATGTCGGCATACTTTCTATCGCAGCTTAGATTGGATGTTAGGTAACGTTGCTAATTTTAAATTATATAGTGCCTTCATGTGCAATAACATGTAAATAATAATAAAGCTTTCCAACGATGTTAATTTTTTAAATGAGGAAATTCTACCTGTTGAACAAAACAAAAATTACAAAGCTCTTAATATCGAGAAAGATCTTAGAAACTGAGCTCTCATAACTACATGAGTCTCGATGACTAACTTCGACGGCTAAGAAACATCGATATCGCCGGTCCGCGCCTAGTGCATAATGCAGTAAGTCCACTTTCACTCTCCGCCTCGTTTCCTACTTTGCTAACGCTGTGACGTCACACTGTTTACACACACGAGCAGGTCAACCGCGGGACATCGACGATGCGCGAACGACCCATATTCGCGTGGTCTCTGCGACCGATTGAAGAAATCGCGAGCGATTACCGAAATCGGTCATTCGGCGACCGCCGGAGCAGACCTTGTGCAACCAGCGAAGGTTTTAGTGCGCGAAGTAGGCAAATACCGGTCGAAAGGTACGCCTATGCCTTTTGTGCGTTGCGAAAGCGACTCCGTTACGTACGTAATTTTATTCGTAACGCTATTCGTGATGTTATAGCTCCTCGTTTGTGAGAAAGCTTAAGCTCATTTGTTAACATTAATCTGAGTATTACATTTAGGAAATTCTATATTAGTTATCTCGATCGCGTCAACTCACCGCGCTCAATAATAAAACGCGATCGTGTCAAAGGTTGACTAGGAGTTTGGGCAACGACCTGCCTCTAATTAATAAATAAATCGACGACTGGAACTAAATAGTACGACACGTGGCAATCGAAATTGCACTATTTTACTAAAATATTTGTTAATAACTCAATTGGCCATTAATTTTATTGATTATTGAATATGGATCCATATGTCATGTAGTATAATTTTCAAAATACATGATTTATTTTGTCCATTAGCTCAGGTTTTATAAACCAATTTGATACGAAAATACGTTTTAAAGTATATTCATTAGAAGATGGAGATAATAATAAGTGATAGATACCTACTAAGTAAGTTGAAGATCTAGTAAACTGATAAAGTCTATGTTGGTGTCCTAATTACAATCATACTAATTTGTGAGTATGTATCTTGGTCAACCGTGACCATGGGATCACGCGACTGCTATAAAGCATCTAAATCGACAGGCCATAGTTAAAATAAATAAAAAAATAATTCAACTGTTTTTTTAAGTGTACATTTCGCGAAGACGAGGGACCACTTACAAACAATTTTTAACATGTTTTATAGTCACAACCCCATCTATAGTTTAGTAATTGAATCTCCACAACTACAGCTAATGGGATGGGCAGCGGCTGCTACGATTCGCAAAAGCGACCTCTGGGGCCCGGGCGCACACGAGCGCTCTGCAGCGCCATCTCCGGGCGATCGACAGCGACGACCGATAATAATGGTTCAATGATTGGGCAAGACGCGCATTCATGTGTTCAATATCATGAAGTTTCGTAAGAAGAGTTTGGCAACGATCTCGGGTCTCAGCGGACCGCCGTCGCGGTGTCAACATCGACTCGTTTTGATCCACTATAATAAATGTTAAAGAAATTCCATGGCCACAATGTTACACACGCTCGTTTGGTCCAAAGGTTTCGGTTACAAAACTATGTTAGTAATTAATCTTACTCGACGCCGTTGCGGCCTTTTAATTAGGCTTAGGCCGACGTAACGAGGCCGAAAACGAGGGAGGACTGGGCATTTCTAGGAATCGGAATTTAAAAGAGGTCTTAACAAATGCACGCAATAATACCGAAACGATTAGATAGAAATTCTTGCTTCGAAAAGTGATTATCTCTCGATTCACCCAAAAGCGGACCCGAGCAGAACGGATGTGGACGTGCGTTGCAATTCAGGAACTGCTCAGACCTTAAGCAGTTGCGTGAGCGCAAACCATTCGCACCAAGTTGTTTGCATAACTGAGACATTGAAATAATAATCGGAACAAATGCTCTGTGAATGAAAATTAAAAGATCGGACGACGCTTATTGTGCTATTTATGCATTTTTTTATATCACTTAACAAATTTAAGTTCAATGTCTAAGCCTACCCGCCTGGCCAATAACTTTGTCAACGTTCACCCAAGTAGGTAATCCACTGCGAGCGAATATAGCGGAATATAGCTCGATTTTTCTCCAAGATTCGCCGTTATAGTTGTCTCTCTATGAGATACACAGATGATAATTCACTTTTATCAGCGAAAACAATCTTTCAAGCGAAAGACGAACGAAAACTGAAGAAACGAAAGTAAACCTATACGTCCGCCCGCCTGATATCATTTCGCCTATCTGTTATCGCTCGCAGTGGGGTCGCCCCTTTCCAGTTACGCTGCCGAGTGATATGGGCCGAGCGAAGGTTACGTCTCTCGGGCGTGGGGCAGAAGGCAGAAGGCAGTGGCCAGGAGGCACTGTCACCGACTACGCGTCTCAGACATGCTCGACGCCCGACCGTTCCTCGCTTAAGGATAGAAGTCTCTCAGTTCGCGAGTTTTGTGACGCGTGCGAGTGACTGTTTTGCATTTCAAAGTGAACGGTGAGTTTTTAGAGAAATGCTAGTTTATTAAAATATCTTTTATCCAAATCACTGATGAACTTAGTTCCTCTTTATTTGCAAGTTGACATTACTCAATAAACACATTCGAGGCGAAATATAAGGAAAGTTTTTCGTTATTATTATATCAACCAGTTAAGTTTGTGCATTATTATTATAATGTGCAACAACTCCATGAATATTTTTGCATTGTAGCGAGGCTTAATGTAGTAATTAATCATAATGATAACGGATAGCCAATTATCGCAAGATGTTTAAATTGATATTTAATTTTAAAATCGTTAATTTCACCTTGATCAGTACACTTATTCCCGAATTGCAGTACCTAAGTTGAGCCAATCGTGTTACAAATATGTTGTTTCACGCCAAAATGAAATTTAGTTGAAGCAAAGCATTAACCCACTCGTCGTAGTCGGTTAAGCAGAGCGAGCGAACGGTGTTAAGTAATAAATAATTAGTTAAAATATTATTGCATGAGCACAAAAACGTGTGCGAATTCATTTCGACACGCGCACGTTCAGCCTAGAGGCTGCACGGGGACACACGGCTCGGTCGGACCTCGATCGACACTTGCATTGTTATCTAGAGAGACGAATGGGGTGGAGAACGAGTAGAGTGTAAGGAGAGCAATTGTTTAAAAGTAAATAATCATCAAATGAAATGTTTAATACTGTTACTAACGTGAGCAACAATTGTAACTTATGAGTTACACTCACTGTTCAATTTATGCTTTTAACATACGTGTTAAATATGTGTTATAACCATAAAATGTAGTCACAAAAGAGGTTATTTATAATTCATCATTTAAACGTGTATGCCAGTAATGAGGTTTTTAAGGGCAAAGTGGACCACGGCGTGAACTTGCCCGGTCGCCCCTTCGTCTTCAAGGTGCTCGATCGCTTACGAAACTTTAACCTCCTATAACTGCGTTGTGCGTTGGTGGCTGCCTCCGTCGTTATCAGAACTATACGGAACCTGGACGATTTTCAGAGAACAATAAATAATTAATTCGTTTCTTGCGAAATATTATCAATTTTACGAACACTCCTGATTTACGTCCTTCTGATTATAAGTTATCGGTCCAATGATACCGATCGATAAATAAATGCGTTGTGTGTTTTATTCCTACCCACCATGCTAGTAAAGCATTTTCTAAATATACCAAGGCTCAAAGCTGGAACATTTGTTGATTGGTGGTAGGAAGATCGTAACGCAGTACCGGTAACAAACAATATTCATCAAAATTAAATTAATACGCATTTCCCTTTTGATTTCGAATGCCTAAAGCTATAATAAGCCAACAAAACATCTAAATTAAAAATGTTTGTATTTTATTTATTTATCGAATGTATAAAAAGCGTGTTCGAAAGCTTAATCGAGTTTGTTTGCACGTCTCATTTCTACTAATTATGAAAATTATCGCAAAGCGTACTACATTTATTTATTTAGACGTAAAAATAATATACCTACTAAAATATTAGATTGATAACTCGTATCAGGATTTCATTATGATTCGTCACATCTATTACTATACAGCTATTTAAGGTATTAACGATAAACTCGTTTGAGCGTCGTTTAATATGTATAAGGCACTTTACATGCAATATACCACTGTCGATGGTGTTATGGAACCCTTTGTTTATTCACTATTCAGTGCTGGATTTGTTTTTTTCATTTCCTAAAATGTACATGAAGCCTTGATTTGTTCTAAATCGGCAAAACTGCTACACAATCGATAGGTGGGAATAGAGGTAAATTCAAAATAGCCTGAGTTTATCCGCATTACATCAGCGGCAGATTGACTCGAGCGGTATATCCTTGTTTGGTGACTGGAAACAAATATTATATTGACTAAATATTGACTCTATCGCCGCGGGAAGTGTTTATATTCAAAGTTCTACGAGCGCGTAACGTCCGCCGTCGAGATGTGTATTCTTCTCATGGAATGATAGGACTCAGCTTATTGTCGACAGTCTATATTCGCTTCGGGTAGCATTCGATGCAGAGACACTGATAATATTCTCAAGGACCTCGTTCAAATTAATTCTCCAATGTTAGTTTGGTTATGTTTTGGAGGATCGTTATCAGGAGAGGATTAAACGCTTTTCACATAATTATTATTAACTATTCTAATTATATATCAATTATGGTAAAGATTTTTTCCTTAACAGCCGTAAAGAGTGCGAATAAAACGTGCGCTATCGGTCTCTCGAAGCACCGTGTCCACGTATGATCTCACACACCGTAAAATACAATAATATGTAAATGTAAGGCAAACACAAAGTAACGCTACTTCTGTGTAACTATAGTGTCATCGTGGTCCGTCTGCTTGCTTTGAACCACACTTACAGACGCACTCGCCTCTGTGTACTCAACGCTCGCGGCCTAACGGAACTGAATACATATTTTTATTGTTTGCTACGAGTAAACTATGTACTGTGCCGATATCGTAGTGCATTTAATGCGCAAGAGATATTATTCGTAGACGAGGTATGATTAGCATAACGCACGATTTAATTGTGATCATGGTCAGGAGTCAGGACATGCGGAAAATACGCCACGAGACAGAGTGCGCGTGATGAGCATAAACGACACGACGCGGACGCAATAATGCCTCTCGCAGATGCATTCCGCGTCTCCGCCCATCACCTTTGTATACTGGAGGGAAAAAATACAATAGCAACATAGCTACTTGTGAAATTATGCTCTTCTATCGATTCCGTCGCGTGATAGCCCACAGAAGCGGGACACTCGTAGCACTTCTCACGGCGCGCGACCACCCGAACTCACTCGACGCGTCCGAGTTCCTACGACGAAAGAAATAATTCGAGAGGATTAGCAAACGTTTTGTATGTCAAGATCGGCTGAGGCAACTTCTATATTTTCACAATTATCATTATCACTGGGTTTTTCGATTACGAGGCCGGTTAATATGGCGCGAGAACTTTCATAGGGAAATCCCTCGTCCGTTTACCCAACTCGCTAGTGTTCATTGCAATTTATATATACGCAAGTCTAAATAAAACACTTTAACGGTTTAAAACGTGATATATTAGTTAAACTTATTTGAAAATGATTTCTAACTTCGGCCCGACGTTTCGGATGTTGAAGTTGAAGTGTTTTATTTAAATATGTACTACTCGCGTAAACTATAGACAGAATTTATACGCAAGTCGTAAATACTTAGGTATAGATACTATTTTATTTCTATCTGTTCTATTGCGAACCCAAACTTTCGTAGGCGTAGAGTCGCAATGTGTGTCAGCATTACTCTGCAGATTTATTATTCGTTTTAATAATTGGTCGCAGCCTACTTTCGAAACGAACACGTAACTTTTGATTAACCGAAGGTGCGTCGTGAACCTTGACTCTGCGGAGCGTCGAGAGCGGAGGGACGCAACCGGCCGCGCCTCGCGAGATCGAGATCGAACACGTGCCGCCGTCGAAGGGTCCCTCGACCTTCGCGAATCGTCTTCAATGCAAAACGAAGCCATTGTTTATTGTGTTTGAACGGCCGAGCGAGTTACGCGAATCTTGTCATCGTATTTACCTAGGTTCGAATCATGATTCCTGATAGTGTACTCGTTCAGTCTTAAGTAGCAACCTGGACATCATAGAGGATCTAATAACCGAACAATATCTAGTCGCAGTAATTGCGACGTCAAGTAATTATCCCATCGGCATTGAGTCGCCGCTATTGATTCGTTAGTCGTTACATGTTATGCACAATACTTATTATAATAGATAGGTATGTATATTTTTTATATGGAATGTAGAGAGTCATTCTCGGTCATTTAACTGAGAAGTATCAATTTTTTATTACACAATTATTATAATCGCCTCCCTAGAAAATGTTTAATTGGTCCGGGTTATATAAATTACTCTTATTTTCAGAGGTAAAGAAAACTGTACAATGACGCCATCTATCGGCGTAGCCGAGTACTACGCCAATAAAACTGTGTTCATCACAGGGGCAACGGGTTTCATGGGGAAAGTTTTGATCGAAAAGATGTTGCGGTGCTGCCCGGACGTTAAAAAGATTTTTCTGTTGATGAGGCCGAAGAAAGGGCAGGGCACGAAAGAACGACTCCACGATTTCATTAACTGTAAGGTATGGTTCAGTCGATATTTCATATCAGAAGTAAAATAATATCGGTTTGTGTTATCTATACTAATATATAAAGCTGAAGAGTTTGTTTGTTTGAACGCGCTAATATTAGAAGCTACGGCTACAAAAACAAATTTGGATGCCCGAAATAACGATTCTCGCGGACGAAGTCGCTGGTACAGCTAGTTTAAAATCAGATCCCAAAATAACGGTAGTTTGCATTTAAAGTAGGAGTATAATAAGATTTCCATTTGTAGGTGTTTGAAAAGTTACGGACGTCGTCTCCCGAATGTTTCGAAAAACTGCACGTGATCCCGGGGGACATATTGCAAGAGGAGCTCGGCATCTCCGACGAACATCGCCGGCTACTCCAAGAGGAATGCCAATGCGTCTTCCATTGCGCCGCATGCGTAAGGTCAGATATGACCGAGGCTATTCATTCCCCCTTCGCAGCGACGACTACGTTTTATTTAATGTCTTGTCCATAGTATCTACATTACTCATTTGCATGTACACTGCAGGTTTGACATGTTCATCAGAGACGCCGTGAACATGAACACAGTGGGCACCATGAAAGTTCTGCGTCTCGTGGAAGGAATGAAGAAGCTGGAGGTGAGTAGCGGTCTCCGATTATTTTGTCTAGCGCTTGTCCAGCGGTAAACTTATGAATTGTCCGGGCCAGGTGTTCGAGCACGTGTCGACCTCTTACTGTCGTTGCGAAGTGCACACGCTGGAGGAGAGGTTGTACCCGGCCCGACACAAGCCCCAAGACGTGGTACACACCACTCGATGGATGGACGACGATCTCCTTACCTACTTACAACCCAAGTGAGTGAAAATTCGATCGTTGTGCCCCAACATACGATCCAAACAAAGCTGTATGTATAAATTCGTGCGTTCCAGACTGATCGACCCCCAGCCTAACACTTACGCCTATACCAAGAATCTTACGGAGGACCTCGTCACGCAATACGAAGGCAAATTCCCCATCGTCATCGCGAGACCGTCTATCGGTAACCTAAACATTTTATAAAATTTTCGTACTATAGTCTTAAATTTAATGCAGTTTTCTTTAATATTATTTGTGTTTGTTTTTAGTTACCGCAGCTCACAAAGAGCCGATTCCCGGATGGGTGGATAACATGAATGGTCCCACTGGACTATTGGTAGGGGCTGGAAAAGGTATTTCTTAGAACATAATTTAATCTATCATACATTGGCAAACTGAAATTGGAAAGGTTGTCCACGTCACGACGTTTGGTTGTCCGCAGGCGTCATCCGCACGATGCACTGCAACGATCGCTATTTGGCAGACGTGATGCCGGTGGACATGGCGGTTAATGCGTGCCTCTTACTCGCCTACCTCACTGCGATAGACAGGTCAGTGTCAGTTGTTTGAGGTCCAAGCGGTGCCTGCTCATCCCTTTTACTCCAATTAACTTGAACTCTCGTTTCAGGCCGAAAGAAATCAGAGTGTGTAACGTGACGCAGTCCGGAGTCAACCCTCTCACTTGGGGTCTAGCTTTAGACTTAGGTAGGTATTTTAAATTAGGCCTATTGGCATTGAGCTATTGCTCAAAAACCAGCTATTGATATAGCGTTTAGCCCTCTAGTCCCTTAGGACTACTAAGCAATAAGCTGACTAATAAGGTCAAATTCGGAACAGGTCGCGTGCACGTCCACGAGTTTCCGTTCTCGCTGTGCTTGTGGTACCCGGGCGGATCACCGAAGAGCTCGCGCGCACACCATCTCCTGGCTTTGCTCTTCACTCACATGATACCCGCCTACTTCGTGGATCTACTCATGTTCCTCATGGGGAAAAAGACCTTGTAAGTAAGCGACCGGAAACGCCGCTACGCCGACCCGAATTCGCCGACTAAACGAGTCTCGTTTTGCAGCATGGTGAAGATACAGAAACGGGTCAGCTACGGGCTGGCCGTTCTCCAGTACTACACGACGAAGGAGTGGTTCTTCGACAACGAGCTCTACCGCTCGCTCCCGGATTTAGTCTCGGAGGCAGACCGGAAAGTCTTCTACACGGATCTCAGGGTAAGTAGCCGGGGTCACTCGCATCCTTTTACACTTGTGAGATATCCATCCATTTGGATCATTTGGGTTTCAGCTGGTCAACTGGAGCTCGTACATTCGGAACTACATAAAGGGCGCTCGCGAGTTTTGCTGTAAGGAGGACCCGAGTACGCTACCGGCCGCTAGGCGGCGCCACACGCAACTATTCTACCTTGACCTAGTCGTTCAGACGCTGGTCTACTCTCTCTTAGCCTACTTTGTCTATTACTATATCATTAGGATTTTGAGCTAGCGAGCGACTTGTATTCATATAAAAGAAACAAAAATGTATGCGAGTACAAAAACCATACAAAATACAGATGTGCTCAATGTACGTTTGTGCATGAGACGAGGTGATTACAGTCTTAAGGCGACTTGTCAAAACTACGAGCAAATAATATTATAATGAAAATGCGCCTTCCATCTTATTTGCTTCAAAAATTTCTATATAAAACTTGCCTTAACTTCCCGGCAGGCGTTTTTTTTACGTTAAGAAGAAGGTTTGTAACACATGTTTTTTATTGGTGGTTACTTACGAATGAACGTAGAAAACATGTGAGCCATCTGTATACTTGTATTTTGTAAGTAAATGCTTTAAGATATCCCTTTAAATAAAACGCATTTATATTGTTAAGAGGTACCCTTGAAGCTAAATTAAAAGAAATACGTAAGTAATGTCACTATTTAATTTTTTTACACTTCTTTTTTAATGTTGTAAGATGTGCGGTATTTTTAACGGGTGCAAAATCGTTGTTCGTATTTTGTATATTATGATTATAATATTGTGTCATTATTTTTGATACCTTTTTCTTAACCTCTCAATATACACATATACCTTTCGTCATTTGTGACCGAATTAATTTTCCAATGTATTAAAATTTATTCTCTTTCTTCTAATCCCTATCCCGTATATACCTACTAGAGAGAATTTATATGCTAATACGAATTATAAAGGATAATTACATATTAAAAAACGGCATCAAAGTAAACTTCTTTATTTCAACTACGAAGAATACTTGTCTATTTAAACACTTATTAGAAAAATGGGCTAAATGCTAATTGTACAATTTAGAAAGTACAAGGCTAACGAAATACACTAATGAGAGGACCAAGAAAACCTTCAGAAGCAGATCCATGTAAAATAACCTGAAACACAAATACATCTATTTCTTCGGTACATAAGAGTGTGCGCCGAACTGTTAGATTTGTTTATTCAAAGTGAGATCGATCAATGGAATCGCCCTAGGCTTAAGCAGTGCATACGCCACTTTACATGAATAAAACATTGTTCACACGAAAGTACCTTTTATGCAGTTTCCTCGCTTCGGGCAACGTGGCAGGATCCTCTCCGCAGCAGAACAACCTAGCTCCTCGGATGTATTCCCTCACATAATTGTTCCAGTCCATCGCCTGCAAAGCGACAAAGACCATTATTATATAATAAGTAGCTGTGTCAGCGACCGCGTCCGTTGTTTTGGGCAACAAAATTTATTTTTGTAAACCTCTACACATCTTTATAAATTTAAGCTGCCCACTATAATACTAATAATGCCTTTCTCGAAATATGATCTAACTAACACAAAAATAATTTTTCAATTCAAACCAGTAGTTCGTTTAAACAAACGAACAAACTCTTCAGCTTTTTATATGAGTATAGATTACACGCTTTAATCGTGAAATTGAAAATGTTAAAAAGGCATATTTCTTTCACCTGAGGGTCAGAGTAGAACGTATCGGCTTCCTCCTTTGTCACAGTGTTCGCTAATGATAAGTAATTCTCGTTGGTGAAACGCCACGGCTGCACGGTGTAGTACTGCAACACTCTCAGTCCGTAGTTCACTCTCTTTTGGACGTTCACCAGGCTAAAGACAGCACGAAATTAAGAATCACGTAGACTAAAACAAATAATCGTAGCAGACAAAATAACAAGTAACTAACAAAGGTTTCTTCCTCGCTAGAACGCAATAGAAGTCAACGAGATAGGCAGGCAGCATATGCGTGAAAAGGACGGCTACGTAGTGGTGCAGCTTGTTCGTCTTGGGAGATCCTCCAGGATACCACAGCGGAGTGGTAAAGGGGTATTCCGCCACGTGCGTGCGAGCTGTCACAGAGTCGGGTACTCAGTTTTAACGAGTGTTACATTGTTTAGGCATTTTGAAGCGTTTACTTAATTATCGTTCTCACCTAACTCAACGGCTTCGCCCCAAGTGATAGGATTTTTATCAGATCGAGCCACATTGTACACCTGAATGTCTTTATATCTGTGAAACATTTGTTGTAATAATTAAAAGAACTTTTGCATTTGGTATAATGGAAATTGGTTATCTATGTCGAACTGACTTGTGTACGGCCGTGTTGTACGCGAGCAATATGCATCCATTGGCGACGAGGTCGACTGGCATCGCGTCCACTCTCTGCTTGTGGTCGCACAGCATCGACCTGACCACACCTGCCGACGTCACCACGTTAAATCTTTTTTAAAGTACTCGTACCTTGCTGTTTTGAAACAAGAGACAGTATTGCTAACCGATCGAAGGTTCCATTCTCACCAGGAAAAGATGTTTCGATTTTTTTATATTAAAAGGTCATTAGTAAATTGAATCTGATTAAGACGTTATGTGGCTCGGCTGCCCTCCTCTGTCATATAAAGTCAGTAAAGTAAGTTCAGTCTCTCGCGCTTACCCACTAGCGACGGACGCGCTGTATGAAAAACAGCGCTTGACGCGTATATTTGAAGTAAAACCATGGCGAATGATAATATTATTATCAATGAACTTTTAACATTTATTCAAAACAAAGCGGACGTATTAGACGAACTTACAATTATACAGATATGTGCAGGTAATTTTTTCGGAACAAGAGATCGATATGGCAAAAAACATAATTTTCTCTTCGTGTAGTACAAGCAAACCTATTACAAGGAAAGGAGACGACAAGAAGAAAAAGAATGTGCGTGACATAATCAAAATTATTAAGGAGACGGATCCCGACGTTCAACCCATGTTTGTCGCGAGAGACTTGAGTCGCCTACCCCCGGTGACCTTGGACAATGTGGATGTTTCACGTCTGCTGAAGGATCTGTCAATACTTAGGACTGAATTGTTGGAAACAAAAAAGGCTTCCGAACCTCCCAACTTATGTGCGGAATTCAAAAGTATAAAGGACGAGTTGGAGGCATTTAGAAAAGAATGTCTAACGAAGGCGGATCTTAGCAAGATTTTCAAAAAAATCGAATAATCAAGGGGACATCTTACGTACTGAAAATAAAGACAGCAGTCAGATTTTTCTAAGTAAATCATAAGCGCAAATTACACCTAGTTTGACTCAACGCGCGACAACAGCTGATAAGAAACAGGTTTTTATGCGCAACGCTCGCTGTGAAACTATAGACCCTACGTCTTTACACGAAGTCTCAATTTTGTCTGAACCAACAGTTTGCGATGAACCGCAGTTTACGCGTAGCTACCGTGATATTGTAGTAAATGACGGTTTTGAAACAGTAGTAAACAGAAAAAGCAGAAACAAAAAGAAATACAGCAACATGCGTGGTACGTCGGAAGGTGGCAGCAGCAGAATACAAGTCGCTGAAACGTACTATTCGTTATATGTGTCCCGGGTGAAGAAAAGCGTCTGTGAAGCTGATATTGTGGACCATATTACTAACAAGGGTGAAACGTACATTTCGGTGGAGTTATTGAAGCCTAAAAATGAGACGTCTTTTAAGTCTTTTAAAGTTACTATAACTGCGCAACAATTGAATATTTTTATGAACCCTAATTTCTGGCCGACAGGCGTAGTATATAGACGGTTCCGTCAACAATCACGTCGTAATATAAACGGTTTTAAAACCAGATCTAGTAATCAGTAACTTAAATTCTATAATTGTTTTTTTTTTTTTTTTTATATAATATTATGGCGACATACGTGAAAAATAATATAAGAATAGCCTCATTCAACTGTAGGTCTCTTAAAAGGTCTATTGAACAAGTACGAATGTTATGTGAATACACTGATATTATTGCATTGCAGGAGACTTGGCTCCTCCCACATGACCTAGATTTTGTAAGTAGTATAAGTGATAATTTTGCTAGTTGCGCGAAGTCGTCCGTAGATACGACTTTGGGTGTCTTGCGCGGTCGCCCATATGGAGGTCTGGCTATTCTGTGGAGGAGGTCAGTTTTTAAAGATGTGAAAATTATCGACTGCTCCACAGACAGACTAGCTGCCGTTCGCATTAATTGCGCGGGAAAACAATTTCTTGTCATGAACGTCTACATGCCAACGAATAAGGAAGAGAATCTGATCGATTTTACGACATGTCTTGCGCAGATTACGGCTATTATTGACGAGTGCGATACCGAAGCGGTATATGTGTTGGGGGATTTTAATGCTGACCCGCAACAGCTGTTCGGGCGGGAATTGACAAATTTCTGCAATGACAATCAGCTTCACTGCATCGATCAGGACTTATTAGGTTGTGACTCAGGCACGTATACTTATATTAGTGATGCCTACGGAACCCGATCATGGCTCGATCATTGCGTTGTGACTACGGCGGCGCGTGACTCTGTTCTCTCGGCCAAAGTCGAATATGGGGTGTATTGGTCGGATCATATGCCGCTAAGTATTGTCTGTGATATCTCTGTGATAGTAATTAAGGACTGTTTAGTTAATAACTATATGCTAAGTGAATTTAATCAAGTGACGTGGGGAACCCGTACGACAGAGCAGATTGAATTGTATAGTCGGTTATGTGATCGTAATTTAACTAACTTGAAATATATATCGCCTGTTTGTATTCAGTGTGACAATCGAATATGTGCGAATCATTTATATTTGATAGATAAGTTTTATGATGATATTGTTAAAATATTAAGAGATGCAGCTATTGATAGTGCGGTATGCTGTCGGCGCATGCACAAAAAGCCTATTTTGGGTTGGAACCACTACGTCAAAAATAGTTTCAGAAACGCACGAAATAATTTTGCAAAGTGGGTGCTTGCAGGAAAGCCAGTACAGGGTAAATGGTATGATAATATGAAATCGAGCAAAAGGACTTTCAAAAATAAGTTAAAATGGTGTCAAAATCATGAAGAAGAAATCAAAATGAATGTGCTGGCTATGCACAAGTATAACAAAAATTTTGTTAAGTTTTGGAATTCGACTAAAAAAATTAATGGTGTTACTAAATTGCCTACAAATATAAATAATGAAGAAGACCCCTTATTGATCGCGAACACCTTTGCGAGTCACTTTCGTGTCTCGCCTTTACCTATACCCTCACCCGCTATTAAAATTGATGGGAGCAGAGTTTGTGTAGGAGATGATGATCGTCTAATATCTCCGGAGACTATAGCCTTAATTATAAAACAAATGTCGCGCGGCAAGTCTCCGGGCTTTGACGGCTTAAGCCTTGAGCACATATTGTTTGCGGGGAAGGAAATCTTTTCGAAATTAAGTATGCTATTTAATCTTTGTTTTAGTATGGAATACTTACCCAAAAACCTAATGAAGACTGTAGTGGTTCCAGTACCCAAAAATAAGAAGGGCAACTTGACTGATATAGGCAATTACAGGCCAATATCTCTTGGTACTGTGATTGGGAAAGTGTTTGAAAAGGTCCTACATCAGGACCTAAAAGACCTTAGTATTGACGATGCGCAGTTTGGTTTTCGGCCGGGGCTATCGACAGATTCAGCCGTTTTTAGTCTTAAAAGTACGGTTAACTTTTACAAAAGTCGTAATACCTCAGTATATGCGTGCTTTCTGGACTTATCCAGGGCTTTTGACCTCGTAAATTATAATTTGCTATGGGAAAAGTTATTAGGGCATAACGTGCCACTGAAAACGGTCGGTCTGTTGAGGTTCTGGTACGAGAACCAAACCAATTGTGTTAAATGGGGTGACTCGCTATCCAGTGAATATAGACTGGATTGCGGAGTACGCCAAGGGGGGCTGACCTCTCCGGACCTCTTCAGCATCTACGTCAACGATTTGATCGCTGAGCTGAGAAGCACTCATGTCGGGTGCCATATTGGCAATCTGTGTGTCAATAACCTAAGCTATGCTGACGACATGGTGCTTCTCAGCCCTTCGATTAACGGGTTAAGGCAAATGCTTTACATCTGTGAAAAATATGCACTGTCACATGGCCTAAAATATAATACGGCAAAGACAGAAGTAATGGTGTTTAGGGCTGGAAGAGGTCCGGACCATGTGCCCAAGGTATATTTAAAGGGCGAGGCGATAAAAATGGTTGATAAGTTTAGGTACTTGGGGCACGTATTAACGGAGCGGGCATCTGACGATGCTGACATTGAACGTGAAAGACGATCACTTGCCGTAAGATGTAACATGCTGGCGCGTCGCTTTGCCAGGTGTGATAACGAGGTGAAAACACTTTTATTTAAAGCGTATTGCCAGAGTTTTTACACATGTCAACTTTGGTGTAATTTTACTCGGAGGTCCTACAATGCGTTAAGAGTTCAGTATAATGATGCCTTTCGTATTTTAATGGGGCTTCCGAGGTTTTGCAGTGCGTCCGGCATGTTCGCCGAGGCAAGGGTATCGGACTTTTACGCGATCGTAAGATCGAGGGTCGCATCATTTTGGAGTCGCGTTAACACATCACCGAATCTCATAGTGCAAACTTTCTCCGAGTACCTAAGCAATCCCATTTTAAGGAACTGGGCAAAAGTGCACGCTGACAGCAACCGCAAATAAACAGTAATATTAACTAATTAGTATTATTATTATTTTTCTCATTTTTTATATGACATATTTGTAAGATGTGGGTTTATACCTGATTAAAGAATTATTATTATTATTATTATTATTATAAAATTACGTAACAGCTGATATATTTAAATAAATCACTTTAACGGTTTAAAACGCGATATATTATAACTAATACATCGCGTTATATATATACAAACTTATTTGTCAGACGTTTCGTTTCTAATATATCGCGTTTTAAACCGTTAAAGTGATTTATTTAAATGATATACTTAAGTCACCTTTTCCTGCTCCCACGATGATTCCGGTCGGTCCGTTCATATTGTCCACCCAACCGGGAAAAGGCTCTCGAAGGGACGCCGTCACTTTGAACAACATTAAGGTATTACGTTACATATATAATGGACACAGACAAAATACGGTGGTGCGGGAGTGGCGGGAGTGGTGGGCTTACCGATAGAAGGCCGAGCGATCGCTATCGGAAAACATCCCTCGTACTGGCTCACCAATGACTCCGCTAGACACTTGGTGTAGCTGTACGTCGTCGGTTGCGGTGATATTAACCTGACAACAAGAATTTTGTGCAAATTTGTTTGCTTCGCTACAAGGATATTGAATACCTTTGCGGCATCCCGTTTATGCGGTTTACGTACTTGCTCTCTAAGTGCTGCAGAGTCTCGGCGTCCAACCATCGAGTGACGCGAATGACCTCCAGAGGGTCGTGCTTCGTCGGGTACAGGGTCTCCTCCAGCACGGGCAGGTCCGCGCGACAGTATGTAGTCGACAAGTGGACGAAAACCTTGAACGTGATAAGAAATAATCGCGACGACGATCGAGCTTAGCGCCGTTTAGATAAATCCAAAGACTGGGTATTAAAAATGTTAAGAAACGTACCTCTAAGTTTTTCATGCTTTTTGCCAGTTCTAACATCCTGTGACTTCCGACCACGTTCATATCGACCGCTTCACGGAGGGGGGCATCGAACCTGGTTAAACACATTTGTTCATATAAGACGTTCATTCAAGAGTTTCACTTCATATTTTAATTAATCGTAATTTAGTTACTTGACATTTGCGGCGCAGTGAAACACGACATGGCAGTCGTCGCGTAACAGTTGGGCATCTTCATCCGAGATTCCGAGGTTTTCCAGAAGCAGGTCACCCCGAATCAAGTGTAGCTTTTCGAATATGTGCGGTCGAGAGCGGATATTGTCAAATACCTGCGGAATAATGAGGCGGACTGTTTTGATGACGTGTTCCCTAATCGATTTTCAAAATGGAAATGAATTGATGACTGCGTGATACGCCAATCGCACGCAAATAATATTTAGTACTATATTATAAGTAAAAGTAATAAAAGACAAAAGTCACAATGACTTTCACTACTTTTCACCCACCTTCGAGCTGATAAATCGACTGAGCCTGCACTTGGCGCCGATCCCTCTTCGCGGCCTCATCAGCAGGTACACTCGGCCAATCTCCGGGCAGCTCTGGAGAAGCTTCTGCACCAGCACTTTGCCTACGAACCCCGTTCCGCCGCTCACGAGGACGTTCTTCTCGGCGTAGTATTCCGCTACGGTCGACATTCCCACTGCCAGCGTAATATATTAGACACAAGAAATTCCACGCTGGGCTCACACCAAAAGGTTTTCTTGTTTAAACAAAACGAGACACAATTAAAACTAACAAGTACTTGCTTCTACTAACGTTTTGCCATATATGTGAAAACTAATGTGCCCAAAAGTTTTAGACAATTTATAAGTTAGTATTGAGGTGCGTTTCAAAACCAAATCTATTGTCCGCGAGGTCACCCGGTTCACCCGATCGAATCGGGATTTTGTGTCAACGGTCAGTCAAACATTCTCATGAAAATGGGTCGAGAGTCATCATCAGCATATAATTCTTTGCAACCTTAGTTTACAAACAAACAAATAGTTTTAGCCAAAAGCAGTATATTTTTGGCAGGTTAACTACACATGCACTTTTTTCACACACACACACACAGAATTTTTTCTATACTCCAGATTATACAAACATATTTTAATATTCCTATTTCGTACATTTAGCTATATATGATAAATGAAAATTTAAGAGTCTTTAGTTTTAACTGTTGTGACGATAATAAGTGTACCCAGTTACCTACGTAAATGTTTTTTCACTTTAACTATATTTTATTTATTGTATTTGAACACAAGAACAATTTCTCAATTGCGACGGCCTAACAGGTCGATAAACCTTACTTGGCTGTATGTAGAGTATGTAGAAATAATAAAAACAACTCAATAATTTTATAAACCTTTATTAAATAACCATTTTATTATCTACAATTCAATATATTTATAAAATATAACATAATATAAAACAACAGCCGAAACGCATACACAGCACTTCAATAATAAATAATTCATTATTGACATTCAGTCTAGGTTTAAGGTACGTTCACAGCGTACCGTCCATTTTATACATATTACAAAGAAATAATACTTTAAAATTAAACTGCAGAATTGTACGTCCATTAAAAACAACTAAGTGTACCCATTGCAACGGTCCTACCACAGATTATAAATGATAACAAAGATAATGGTACCTGAATAGGATTTAACTAAAGAGTAAGAAACAATACATCAATTCTTTTTAGGGATAGAGTGTCGTGTGTGCGGTTAGCGTGGGTCGTCTCAATGAAACAGTTTGGCGTCGTGTCCTTTTGAGATAATTGAGACTACATTGTTATGAAATAGGGCTCAAAGTCAGCGAAGGACGAATTGTTTCATCGAGGCACGTATCGAAGGGCCCGGAAAGCAACATTGGACTACATCAGTGTGCATTGCGAGGGGTCTTGCCCTGGGGGCGCCGCGAAGCCCTCCGGAGGGTTCGCCATGTCACCGACCAGCTCCGTGGGGGGCTGGCCGAGGTCTTGCATCTGGAAACATTTAAAACAGTAGTTAAAGAAATGGCTCGTCTTTGAAGCTATGATAAGATAGGTAGTGAAGATATATAATATCAATCATTCAATAAATAAAATGTAAGTTATCAGAGTGAGTACAAAATATATATATTTTTTAGTCTTTACCTTCTGCATAAGTTCCAGGACAACCTGAAAACGGCGTTTCTTGACATCCTCTGGGTCTGACTCTAGCTCCGGCTCCAACTCTGCGCACACTTGCTGCATCAGCTGCTCCTGCTGCGCGAACCTCTGGTACTCGCTCGGCTCCAGCTTGCCCTCGTTGCGCTTTAGCCATTCAGGATACTTATCGACCAGCTCTTTCAGGGAGGGGTACAGCACCTCCTTCGAGAGTAATGACTGCATCATGCCCTGCATAAAGGGCACAAACATGTTGCCTTCCTGGTTGCCTTCCGAGAGGTTGAAGTTAGAGAACATGTTCACTAGATCTGCATCTGAGAAAGGTGTCTGCAGATTTTCTGTGTTCGTATTCAAGTTCTGAAGTGTCTGCGATATGGCTGCTGAGACCTGAAATTTTTATACACCTTATTTCTCTTTTGACTCCAAAGATGGCAAACTTTATGTTACAATAAGATTGAAGTAAGAAGAAAGAAGCTGTTATATGACGCTTATCCTGCTTTAAAACTTAAGACATCTATTTATGAATCATTTTGAAAAAGAACAAGTTGTGCTCTTTGTAGTAGTAAAACAGACCACATGACCAAATTCATTAATACTGCTGTAATATGGGTTTTCAAGTTTTCTTTTTTCCTTCTATGTCGAAATAAAAATAACAAACCTCATCAATCTTGTCTTGCACTTCAGGGTCAGACTGTGTCTGCTCGCTCTCACCCTCAGCCTGAGGTTTCAGCACTTGAGCTGCTGCCTCTAAACCAAATTGAAATATAAGTATATCCATGGTAGTAAAAAACAAAATGTTGTCTTAGCTTTTTAAATTAGTATAACCACTTGTATTAGCAAATGGTGTTTGGATAGATATAGTACAATAAGCTTACTACAAAAACAAATGACATACCTGCCATTTTAGAGAAGGTTTGTGCTATCTGTTCTTGTGATATTTGCTCTTCTGGAATGTAAAAATTAAATATGTTTTAAATAAATCTTAACGAAAGAAATACTTCATTTATTTATTGCCTGATAAGATAAAATACTTTTTTATTAGTAACAATGTAACCTTACCGGGCATGCCGCTAAAACTTCCAAGTAAAGCAGCCATATTGCTCTCAAACTGAGCAGCAGCTTCCTTTATAAACTCTTCGCTCCACATATTTGTACTTTCTCCAGCAGGTTGCTGTTCGGGCTTAGGTGTCATGTCTTGTAGAGCACCTGGACATATACAATTCGGGTTATCCACTTATATTTCGTTTAAGCCAAACTAAGAGAATTAAACCTTACTATGTTTTTAATAAATCGATAACTTATTTACCATTACCATATATGTATACATTGTTAACTAATAATTATAACACGCTATTCTCAGAGGCCAATGTAGCTTTTACGAATGTTGTGTAACATTAAGATTTTAAGGTTATACAAAGTAGGATTTTAATTCACTTACTATCTAACAAATCATCCAATTCTGGGTCGACATCTTTCTTATCCACTTCCTTGTTATCTGCCATTTTTGTGTATATTTACGTTATAATTATGCAATTAAATTAATATCTCTATTTTTATGGAATATCACTTCACCAAGGAACAACATTAAACGATTGCCTTGATCTGGCTGAAATTTTTTGACAATTGACATTTGACGTCTTAGTAAAAACTTCTTAGGGATGTTCTAGGTGATGCTTATCACAAATAGGAACTACGAACTAATAACATATTTTTATTCGGCTGTTATGATACTAAAAAGTTGTTCACCATACCTCGAATGAATATTGCGTTATGCGTAAGAGTTGTCCTAGACTTAATTCCTAATAAAATAGATCTTAAATAAAAAAAAATATCAATATGTCGAATGCAATCAGCTTTTTTCTTTTTACTGAAAATAGGCAATTTCATAGAAAATAAATAAGGTATCCACAAAAAAGTGATAAAATTTTACTATCGGCTTTCACGTAGGTACAAATTTTAAAATGTATTAATTTAAATAGCTTTTAAATTAAATGACATGAATTAACATTATTATAATAATCATCTGCACATCCCTAATAATGTTGAAAGTAAAGCACAGATAAGTTGGAAAGACAAAGCATATAGTTATCGAGTGTTGCTGGGAGTAAATAAAGTCACAAGACCTTTCATGATTATTTTTTCATTATTAATTTGAAAAACTAATCGTAGTCTCTTAACTCTAATAACATCTCTTAATACTTTTTAAACAATGTTGGAACCTATGCATACACATATTATACATTACCATATTGTGTTTTTTCTTGCTCTACCTTATAGAAAAATAAACGCCTGATATAAAGAAAAAGCAAAATTTATTAATTTAATTCTATTGTAAATAAAATTGTACTTATTTTGTTTAGCATTAAGTATTATTTGTGTTTATAGAATATGACCTTTTTTGAGCTCTTCTTAAGGTTAATAGATCACACATTTCTGAATCTAGTTTACTGCAATATTATAGGCATAAAAATAACTTAGGTGTTTTTCGCATAAATTGATTATTTCTATTGTTATCAGAAAGTTATTTAGTAGAAATTTCGTCCAACCTCACACAATTCTTCTGTCATGTACGCGTTATCGTGATTAGAAATGTAATTAGTCTTTCATTTAGTAATAACAACTAATTGAATTATAATATTCAATAAGATAAAAACTTGTTTATTATTATGGTATTGCGCAAAATTACGAATGCTATTCATCCACTTTTGCCATACTAAGTAAATAACACCGTTTTGTTTCAATTTTTTATGAGTATGAACTATATCGGCTTTTAATAAATATCATCCGTAGAAATTAATTTCAACGGATTAATATTTATTTCATTTAAAGCTTTGCAAGAACATGGCTAGTGCCTAAAGCACTACGTAGCGTGTTTCAAAGTACGTAATAGGCCAAAGATGGGCACAAAAATTCATTTTATAATCACACTGAGGCCGTACCATCTGCAGTGTAACAATGGATTATATACATTTGACATGACAACTTGAGTTGTGCAAACGAAATAGCAGCAAAATAGACGATCTCACTTAGTTACATAATTCTTGCATTTACTACGAGGTACTTTCCAAAAGTTTTGGGACGGTAACTTGTTCGATTTGTCTATTTAAGCCTAAGACAGAAAAAAAGGAAAATGTATGAAAATAAACGTATTTATGGTCTAGAATCGTAGTGTATATCACCCGCCCTCAGATTACATTATTATGTTTTCTGCAATATCGGAGGACACTAGATTCGAACCCGGGACCAAGCGAGAGATCGAGTATCGGGCGAGGGCTAGGCGAGGGCCGGCAGTGAATATAAATGCGTAGGACGGTGAGTGACCCGTTACGATGCGTTTGACCACACACTCGCAAGTCGCAACAATCGTGAAAACGGATGTTTCAGTATTTACATTAATCGACATATTTTAGCATTATCTACCGATGTGGCGCGGTCAATCACTCGTGTGCGCATCGCGGCCACGGTTCGACGTATCCACTAGCGCCATCTTGTGACCGCTGCTGCACTAACTACAGGTGAGGTGTTTTTGTCAATTTTCATTTAAATAATTGTAGCAATCGTGAAATATTTGAAAATCATTTTTTTTTACCATTAAATTATCATAAGAGATAAAAACTTTACGAGTTCCTTGAGTGAATACTTTTTGCAGTTTATCCATTTAACAAAACCAGCAAAATAACGCTATTCTTCATATTAAACAATATTTGTATCCAATAAATTCCTGAAATATAATATAACATCGAGATGGCACAGTAATAGATGTAAAATTAGAAGAGATAATATTTACACAAATACAATGTCATGAGTAAATGTTTCGCATTTTGAGTAATGTAATGTCTGTGTAGATACTAATCTACTAACTGTGCACACGACTTCGTCCGCGTGGATTTTGGGCCTCATACTTTGCTTTTTGCAAACAATTTACTCACCTTATAAATCATATATGTCACTAACAACGTAGTCCACGTCCCGTCGTTTTTTGTGAGTTAATCTGAAAAGATAGACATATACTGTGCCGGATATTTTTTAGATTATTTAAAGAAGACACAAAAGAAAATGAATAGTTTCCCCCATTTTTTTCACATTTTTCTTCTATCTGTCGCACATACTATTTAACTTAAGCTTATCGATTACTTAAGCTTATTTTTTTACTTGGACCTAGTTCCTGAACACGTTCAAAGGAACAAACAAACTCATCAGCTTTATAATATTAGTAAGTACAAGAAAGAAGCTTGGAGAGTATTAAGTTTTGATCCTCCGATAATAATAATATTCAATATTCGTTGAAACTCTATTTACATTTTAAGTAAACCGATTATATGCAAATGCATTCTTTAATCGTACTTTTAATCAATTGAGATCCAGGCCTTCTGATATAAATTCACTAGGCGAGGGACAATGGTGAGGATCGTTTCGCCCCAATAAAACGAGAGGTCGTAAATTAGATTCATTTAGTAAGAAATTTCGTAAAGATTCTCACTATAGCAATATGATGGCCTCTTAACTATAGTATAATTTAATACGACGACCAAAATGTTATTTTTTCGGAACCATCTATGTACAAAAACGATTCACGCTTCACCAAAACGTTGTGTACTAACATTATATAGCATCAAACATACAATATGACGCAAAGCTAAAGGTTAAAATTACCACAACCATCACAAAAAGAATTGACGTTCTATCAACCGTTTTCGTCAACACCTCCATCGTCTGACAATACTTTCGTTACGACCGTGCGCTGAGTGATCCTTCTCTTACAATTATTGAATCTATTTAAATTAGCTCTTGTCTTCTCTCTTTTATTAAATTAAAGCAGAGCCGCTCGAAACAATAGGAGGTATGTATTAATGTAAAATAAAACTTCCCTTTCAATGAAGTCCGTCTTCGGTAACGTTCGTTTAGAATTATGAATCATTGCGAGCGAATTTCCAAATGATCTCCTTATACGATTGTTTGGATCAGATTGTTTTAATCTACGTGTATTTGCTATTTTTTTTAGTTTTAAATCGATAGGATAAAATACTCTTATATTTTTACAAATATTATCGCTGTTACTGAAGCAATAACTGTAGGTCGCGAGGATAATACACCTGACGTCTCGGGGAAGGAAACTCGTACAGTGCTCTCGAGGAAGTACGAAAAGACGTAAAAATAGGTTGGTCAATTGTTTGGTAACATCGACGATAGCCAATATCGTAATGTTCCGGCGTTGCTTCGCTTCTGAAATAATTCACACTACTCGGTACTTTCCTAACTACTGTGTCCTGTACTCGCTTGGAGTTGCACGAACCAAGGGAATCGCAGTGAACACAAATGAGAAGTATCATCGTACCTTCGGGTGAAAAGGGAGACCACCATAGCATAGCATAAACTTAGTAAAATCCTAGTTTTATTAAGTTTGTTTTTATAATTGTTGTCAGACACGATGTCCCCGTCGGTGCGAGAGTTCTACAAAGGGAAGTCCATACTGATAACGGGAGGCACCGGATTCGTTGGAAAGGTTAGTTCACATTTTTATCATTAGCAGCGTCCACGGCGAATGAAAGATACGTCGTACGTCAATGTCAAAGTCACGGCCGTTTATGTTATTTTATCATTATTTCAGGTCCTGTTAGAAAAGCTGCTGCGAGATTGTTCCGATGTGAAAGCGATCTACGTGCTGATGCGACAGAAGAAGGGTGTCCCTGGCGAGGAACGCCTCAAGGAACTGTGTAATAATAAGGTGCAGATGGCAGCCAATAAAGGTTCTTCCAAAAAAATTATTAGCAATGAAATTATTTAGATGTAATCCATGCTTTTGTTTTTTCGCTACACAGGTGTTTGAATTGCTCCATAAGAAGGACCCGTCGGTGTTCAGCAAGTTGAAGTTCCTGTCTGGCGATATCTTAGAGGAGGACCTGGGCCTCTCCAATGATGATAAACAGGAGCTGCAGAGGAATTGTCAGATCATTTTCCACAGTGCCGCTTGTGTACGGTAGGTGTAGGAATAATTCTAGTAAGTTAGGAGTAGCTATAGACAAATAATTTAATTTTAAATTTCGTTCACCTAGCACAATCATTAAACTTATTTTACATGAATTTACTATTGAAACAAGAATTTTAAAACATTTAAGATTCGACCAGAAACTGAAGGACGCGGTGCACATGAATACGACGGGAACCCTTCGCTTGCTGAACCTCGCCGAGACCATGGAAAGTCTTGAGGTTTGTGCCTCTAGATTTAACACTTTTAGACAGTATAAAACGCGATCTATTTGGCTTTCACATATTGTGCGCAATCAATTGTGTATTAATGGTGTTATTACGATTAGGCTTTCGTACACCTATCGACGGCGTACTGCAGATGCGACCTGGCCGAGCTGGACGAGAAGTTGTACCCAGCCGTGCACAAGCCCCGCAAGATCATCGACATCGTCGACTGGATGGATGACCCAACTCTCGCCCACCTGGAACCCAAGTGAGTTCCACCTCGCGTATTTATTCACACATAGCCCAGTAATGTTTTTTCTATTTTTTAGTATTGTGTATTATATTATATATATTTTCGTATTCGGAATAACGCCCAGTACACCGCTTTGATTAAATTCCAAGCTGCCAATGGCCCGGATCTATGAAACCTGAAACCTTATAATCGAGTACTAGTTTTGCGGTTACCTAATCATTTGTTATTCTATTCTATTAATTACTGAATTGGCGTTGGTGGTAATATTTAAATATAGTTTTGAATTTTTCTAGCGTTACGATAAACGTGATGTATTTTCTTATAGATTAATAGAATCGGAGCCAAACACATACTCGTACACCAAAGCCATAACGGAGGACCTCGTAGCGGAGTATGGTGGGAAGTTTCCGATTGCGATAGCCAGGCCATCCATCGGTGAGTCACAACTGTAACACACAAATTAATGAAATAAATATTTAATAATATATATTTTTTAATTACAGTGACATCAGCGTGGAAAGAGCCCTTCCCGGGATGGGTGGATAACCTGAACGGACCCACAGGTCTGCTTATAGGCAGCGGCAAAGGTACTTTCTTATAAGATACAATATTTTCTACTGACATTTAAATAGTCATTGCTCTGTCAGCGACCTTATAATCTGTGGTTTGTTGAAACAATTGGAATGAGATTTGAATCCAAAGCTTTTTGAGTTTCCTAACAACCGAGATAGATTTACTAGATATTCATATGTAGGTGTGATCCGGAGTATGCACTGCGAGCCTTCCTATACGGCAGACGCGATTCCTGTAGACGTGGTGGCCAATGGCTGCATCCTGATAGCATACGCCACCGCTCTCGACAAGTAAGTCAAGATCCCAATTACTCTAGTAGTAGTCTCTAGTCCCTAGTTTTAATGCAAAAACTTTGAATGATGTACTTGTATGGCGATTACATATCATATTCGAATAAAAGACATCTTCAACATCCGCGTTTGCACTTGCCATGGAACTGTGACATCATGAGGTAAAACTCGTGCCAAACAATTGATAATAATAATGCGTATATTTTATATGACAAATGTTTTCAGAGCGAAGGAGGCGCAATTTTTCAATATGACCCTGTCCGGAGTTCAAAAGATAACGTGGAAGGAAGTAATAGAGACCGGTAAGTTATTAAATAATAGGTCAAATGTGACTACCGGCTTTGAAAGTGCTTATACGGGCTCTTTTACGAACAGGTGAGAAGTGGGTGAACACTTACCCGTTTCTGATAGCACTATGGTACCCCGGAGGCACCATTAAGTCATACTGGTTGACGCACCAACTAGCCGTGATCTTCTTCCACATTATTCCCGCCTACGTCTGCGACGCGCTGCTCTTCCTCCTCGGCAAAAAGACTTTGTAAGTGTATTTTACTGATATTGATTATCATTTATTGATAAATGACGTGAAATGACAACAAGAACAATACCGCACTCTTTCATATGTTTAGTAGCTTTCGTGTATTCGTCGCTGATCGATGGTGAATGTTTTTCAGTATGGTTAACGTTCAGAAGAGGATCAGCCACGGCCTGGGCGTGCTTCAGTATTACACGACCAAAGAGTGGCATTTCAAGAACACACGCTTCCTCTCGCTCATGAGTCGGGTGAGTGAGGAGGAGAGGGAGGCCTTTTACATAGATGTCAGCAAATTGGACAGGGAGGAATACCTCAAGGACTACGTGCTCGGTGCGAGACACTACGTCTGCAAGGAGGACCCCAGCTCTCTTCCCAGGGCGAGGAAGTTACATAAAATGTATGTATTTAGGATTGAAACACTCTAAGTATTTTTTAATCTTACAAGGTTACTGTCAAGAAAAAGTATGGCCGTGAAAAGCTATCAAGCGATCTACGACTACGACTTAGAGTCGAAAGTAAAAAAAATGATTAAGTGTCGAACATTATCTTTCCTTTCCTTATAGCCTTTTTTTAACTACATGAAATAATAAGTAGTCAAGGTCGATGATCATATAAGGTTTTTGCAAGAATTGGGGATAGACAGATAAAATGTATTCTAAATTTTATGCTCTTTTAAAGAAGTAATACTTTGTTACAGTCGATACGTCGTGGACATCATAATGAAACTCTTGCTGGCATCTCTCTTCGTCTACTTCATCTACGGTCGAATGGAATACTTCGCGTCTCTGTTTTCGTACGCGGACTCTACCGTGAGATCGCTCTTATAGACACACTTCTGGTCTGCTGTCGAACGAACGAGACGCCGACGACTTCTAGTATTAGTTGATACGTGAATTGGTACCTCTAAAATATATTAATAGTCAATTGTCATACCGGTGCAAGCGGTGATCGTTTCAATGAAGGTGCTAATATTCACGTTTTTTTTGGTATTATAAGTACTTCTAGGGTAGATCTACGTAGTTTTAGGATCCGTGGGTAAATGCTGTAGTCGTAATTAATCTAGTTCAGAGAGGTAGTCTCTAAGTAGATCAAGCTATTTTGTTACGTTTTCTTACGAGAATTTTTTTCCGTTGAACCTAACCAAAGACGTAAGTGTTTATTTCTATTAACTACATCTATATACACAACCTTATAGTGTTGTTGCTTATTTAAGTGTAAACTAAGACTTATGTTTCTCTAAATGAACCCAAAATTATCTACAGATCTTGTAAATAATAAGTTTTTGAAATACGGTCATATTACCAATTTTTGTTATAATTTTAAATAAATATTATTTTCATACTTTAGTGTATTGTCACTTATTCTCCTTCGCCCTTGCATTTGAGAATCCTTCGTAGTCAGTTTTCAGAATCATACAAACACAGAATAAAATATTATAAAACAATTTATATACATTTATAGGTGAATTATACACAGTTGATATCTAGGTATAATGTTATAAAAATATACAAACATGAATCTAAAATAGAAATGTATAGGGTCCGACAAGAATCACGAGCATAAGTTACATACTGGCTTAGCGTTAGGCATTAACAAATCCTATAATTTCGTTTTCACATAATCCAACAAGCATTATACTAATACTCCTAGATAGTATATTTAGCCTTAATTTCTAAACAGTCAACCGCTGTCATATCCAGTCGTTACTCCATTATTGTGGCGGTGACGTCTCTCGGCCCCGGACTCATGAAGAGGGTAGTGGCCGCGCCGCTGAGCCAATAGAGAATCAGTCCCCAGAAGAGGCACCGGAACACGATGTCAACTACCCACATGCTGGAAAATTCACGAATAAAAGATAGGAAGCCAGTTAATCCTTAATCTTCTTATACAACGAGGAAACGATAAATATTTCATATAATGTTTCATGTTTAGTTGCTACTTCTTACTTCCCATTAAATTAGTTAATTGGGTGATAAATTTCACAGCTCAGTTCCACTCATATTACTAATTTAAACCAACTCTTAATTTGAAACAAATTTAAGTATTGTCTATAGTTTATGCGATGTGTACACTCCACACATTAACTTAAAACTCACACTGTCATATGCCTTTTGGCGGCCGGCAGAGTGTCGTCGTACTCTTTGAGTATGTATATTCGAGCGGCTCTGATACAATCCTCGAAGTACTTCAATATGTCCAGACCTGCAAACGAAAGAAGGTTAACTTCCTTTCGCATTACTAGTCTTTCTCTCTAAAGTCTAATAAAGAATGGCTCACCGATGGCGTCTACTTTATAGTCCCGTCTCTCTCTGGTGTTGAGTCTCTGTCGCACTGTCTGCGCGATATCGGACTTGAAGTCCCATTGGTTGTTCGTGTAGTACTCGAACACGTCGAAACCCTTGCTGATTCGTCTGTGCACGCGCATCAGTCTGAATAACAATCATACAATTTTTAAATACAGGTACATATATGTTTATGAACAAATATTGGATACAGTAGATATCTACTTACACTGGCTTGTATCCCAGACAAAATAGAAGAATATCGACGAGCACCGCGGGCAACCAGTGAAAGAAGAAGGCACAGATGTTGTGATATAGACGAGAGTGTTTCATGGATCCACCTGGGTACCTGCACGAAAATATTCAGATGCCTTTCAGATACTCCCATTCTTAGACGTGCCATTTTATACGAGACGAATGCAGATGCATTTCGTAAGCTCTGACTCACCAGACGACGCCGTTAAGAGGAACCCTGTTCATGACGATCTCTCGACCCGCTTCTATCATCTCGAGCCACGTCACTTTGATCTCCGCCGACGACGTGAAATTTATCACGTTCGATTTTTTGTCACTGTAACAGCGGGATAGTATTAGAAATGATTCACCTTCTGCCGTACAGAGGAGATCGCTACTCACCCGTAATGAAGATAATTCCACGCGCAGATCATGATACCGTTTATGAACACGTCCACGGGAAGGTAGTCCGCGTAACTGTTCCCTTTGCAATACATTGTTCTTATCACACCCTTGCCGGCACCTACAATGGTATTTTAAAAAATATTGTATGGTTCTTATCTCATACATTACATACAGCGCGTCTTAAAACCCACGAGAACAATGTCTCACCGATGAGAAGACCCGTGGGTCCGTTGATGTTGTCTGTCCACCCGGGGATGGGCTCCTGCCAGATTGGGATCACTGAAATCGATATAATTATTTTGTTTATACTTATGGAGAGTAGCCCATACACGCTAGCATATTAGATACATTTTTTTTATGATAGAGGAGGTGGCACTCGATGGTAGGAAAAATACCCCTAAAGCATCTAAACGAGATGCGCTGTCGACGTATTTTGACTTTGGATATTAGGAAATCCACGGACTGAAACCGAAGCGCGATTCAACTCCACGGCTTTTTCATCTGTGAACGTTGAACCAGGCGGAACTTCGATATTCCAACCAACCATTTAATATCCAGATTTCCAGACTAAGTCCAATATGTTTCAGAAAAATTAGAAACATGATGGGCCCGGTGGGGACCCGCCACCCCCCGTTGATTGTTAGCCACACATTGTTACCACTAACCAAAGAGCTCATCAACAAAAAAAATCGCGATATACCGTTATTATAAGTAAATGAATACGATTTCAACTTACCGATAGACGGTCGGAGGATAATAAGGGGAATGTCCTTCATGGCCTCTACTGCGAGCGCTTCGCCCAGCGCCTTCGTGAACGCGTAAGAGTTCGGGAGCTTGCTCAACAACCTGGAAATTGCGTTTTCCGGTATTTATTTGCTTTTCATTTTTCCAAGGCATCTCTCACGACAAAATAAAGTTGCTATACGCACTTGGGAGTGATGGTCGCTATGGTCTCGTCGTCCATCCACTCGATCGCTTCGATGATCTTGTGAGGGTCCGCAGGGGGAGGGTACGGCCTCTCCTCCAGCAGCTTCTCGTGGAGGTGGCAGTACGCCGTTGACACGTGGAAGAAGAGCTGGGGATATTGATTTAAATTTGACATATAAATTCACTCGGTAAATCATTACAGCAAAAGATGTCTCTATTGAACACTGCAAATTCCAATTCCAAAAACTCTTTCTTTTGCATATAGCACAACAACATTTTATCTATATCACAATACAGATGTGCAATGCACATGTTATTTACAAAAGCCAAAAGGCACGACTCTATATTTGCTCTAAAATAATTATCAGGCGCAGAAATAATTAGGTACCCCTTTTTGTTGTACCAATGTTTAACTTACTTTCAACTTCTTGCATTGTCTCGCTAATTCTAAAATGAGTTTAGTCCCACGAACGTTCAACGAAACAGCTTTCTTCAGTTCTTCGTCGAATCTATAAATAAATAACGTACGACTTTAGACAACAAGAATCTTCACACTTAATAATGTCTACCGTGGCTAAGTGGCTGAACTCTGTACCTGATAGTAGCTGCCGCATGAACCATGAGGTCCGTTTCATCGGTGACCATCTGCCTATCCTGCTCGCTCAATGCTAAGTCTCTTTCGCCGACGTCACCGGAGACTAGAGCCATCTTAGCCAGGAGTGGTTCCACACCTCCGCGGAGGTTGCGCACCTTCTCAAACAACTAATCGGAAGAAAAAGAATATTGAACGATTAGGCCGATAAAATTATTGTAACAATTGAAGGATTTATATTAATTACTGAGGTATTGCACTATCAGTATTAGACAGATGGCCTCAGAATATTATTGTCACTTTGGAAATAAAGTGAAAAAATTAGGAGTACGCACCGCATCCGACAAGAGTTCTTCCAACCTTTGTTTCGGAGTTTTCCCTTTCTTTTGGCGAATCAGCAGAATAATCTTCTCGACATCTGGACACTTTCTACAAAGAAACATTCGTGTAAAGTTGACATTAATTACTTCAATCGATTATTAGGTATTTAAGGATCGATTCATAATTAGTAATGACATGTTCATACCTGAGAAGTTTCTCCACCAACACCTTGCCCATGAATCCGGTTCCACCCGTGATGAAGACGGTCATCCCGGCGAAGGTCTCCGCGATCCTGTCGGGCAACGCGTCCACCTCGCTCGCCGATAGTCCTTCTGACGACATCTTTTATCTATCTGCTCAGAGTAGACAGAATAATCAGTTGATTCGTTGCAGTGAGAATTATATTCCTAGACTATTTCGAGGACGAACGGTTGACTGTTCGTAGACACACTTCCTTAATATTGTCCAATATATTTGTTTATAAATATAGATATGTGCCAACAGAACACGACGTCAAAGTCAGGATGACGATTTCGAATGTTCATTGCGCTACGTGACATTAATTTAAAGTTACAGACAAACAGAGCGACGCCACTCGATCGGCCAACGATGGCGCAGCGAAGAAGACCCCTCTCGGCGACCTTTAATCTGCGTCGTTGCAAATTACAAATGTCTTACAAATTCTTTGTGTTTGACAATTTTGCGTAATGAGCAGTGTAACATAAGTGGGACAATGAAACGCCATTATAACATACAAGTTACTCAATGCAGTGGATGAGCCGTCACATAGAGCACTCGAAAAGCGACGTGAGGAAACATTTTGCGAAACTGCTTCGTCGCTAAGTGACGAGCTAATTCCATCCGCAAACGATTATCGAAACGGCTTAGTCGTAAAATATATTTAAGACTAATATTTAAGTACCGAGGCGTACGCGACTCGAGTGAACCGTTGCTTCATCTTTGAGCAATGCAGCGAGTGCAAGGAATAGTGTCTGCGGGTAAACTTTCCGATTTCAAACACGCTGCACGGTGCGTCACATTTCTATAATAAAACGTAAGCTTATTGGTGAGTACATTTCTGTGTTAAACGCCGCAAACACTCAACCCTAAACTCCGGTCGAAACGTGTAATGCGTAATCCTCGCATGGTATGTAAGAGAGGAGCGCAGACAAGCAAGACGGAAGATGGAAACACCTAAGCCCTGTGGCATCGAAATAAATCCTCCGTCTTTAATGTTAGCTTTCAACATTCGGATATTTTTAACATTTTTTATATTGCTTGGCCCGGAAAGGCGTACCCACATTACTTGACGTTATTTCATCGACTTAGGAACGTAAAGCTTAGTATTTAGATATGGAATTCACGAAAGAGAAATAATAAGCAAAAATCATGAATGACTCGAGCGCGCAAAAATATTACGTATATTTATTTATAATTATAATATTTTGTAAGCGGTAACCGTGAACTTGTGTGGCCTTCCAATTTACGTAGAGTTATTTAACTGACGGCTCGATGTATGTGATTATTTTTTAATAATTGCGTGAATGTATGCAGTATGTGAACTGTCTAGGGCTAAAGAACATTTTAGAATAGGGTTTAATTGAACTGCTTTGTAATTTGTAAGGAAATTTAAATTCAGCCGTCAAGGCTCCGAGATATGCCGAAAATAGGAAAACATAATTGAATACGTTGCAGTTTTTAAGCAGTACATTAAAGAGTTAATTTATTGAGATAATGAAATGCGCCGTGAACCATTCTCCTCTATTATAGCCTTATTTCGTGAACAAACGGCTGCAACGCTGCAATGTTGTTAACGGCCCGTTCTATCGCAATAACATTGCAATCCGCGATCGATCCAATACACACCGACTCTGCACGCAACTAAACTAAAGCGTGAAAAGGTTGTCCCTTTCAAAACGACTTAACCGACGTAGATGTAGACAAGTGTGACGACAAAACATTCATCTTTATTGCATTAAAAAAGAATCCCCAAACATATATTGAATTGATTACCTCCATGAGGTTTACGTATGCTCCACTTACCAGTTACGTGTAATGAAGCGCGGTTCGCTAGAATGCAGAAAAACGTGAAACATTTAAGCTTTATCTAGGATAAGGCGCGAGGTATCCGTTGCGGCAAGTAAACGTGACTTATGTAATGTCAACATTACCGTCAGATTTGGCCGCATTTCGACAATTTTGTCAACTCAATGACGAAAACCTGACATTACGAATTACTTTTCTCGCTCTTGAACTACAAGCGACTGCTTTTATAGGTCAAGTGAGACCCCATTTCTGCCAAACGCGTGTTGGCGAGTTCTTATAAGATATAGGCTTTCTGTTCCTCGATAGAAACCCGTCTAAGCAGTTGAAGCTATTAAAGGAAACATGATGATGTGTTAAGAAACTAGAAAATAAAGATCCTAATGTTTATCTGAATAAGTATAGTGCGAATAACTGCTAAATGTTTAAGATACAGAAGTAACAATAATGCTACTGAATAACGATTTCCCACGTACATAGATGTCGGACATCAACTGAGTAGTATTTTTTGTCGTCTGTCTGTCTTGTCGTATAATTCTATTGCGAGGAATTTTACATTGACACTAATGTGCATCAACATATGCTTTTCGGAAACACAAATCAATACTATCTGTAGTTTACACGAGTAGAACACGTCACGGGGTGACGGGGAGGTCCCGTGACCACGGCTGCTGCAAAGCATCCGAAACGTCAGGCCGTAGTTAAAAATCATTTTCAAATAAGTTTAACTAATATATCGCGTTTTAAACCGTTAAAGTGTTTTATTTAAAAACACAAATAAAGCGAACTAAGAGTTATAGCCGGACGTATAGTGGAAATTATAAGGTTTTCGACGTTTTCTTACTTTCTAAAATCATCAATGACGTTAGCAAATCATTTTACGTAAAGCGAGAACAATATGGATGTAATTACAATAATATGTTGTTACCTAAATGAGACGTTCTTTGTTTGTGTAATGAACTCTGTGCCGGAACTCATTCTGAGAATAATAACAAAACGTATGCGACATTGCGTCATAACTATTATATACAACAAATTACGAGGCAACAAGTAAAACTCTATTTGTGTACATGATCTAGGAAATCCCTCAATCGCCGCGAAATTAATTACGTAAATTGTCTAACTGCTTAAAAAGTTCATTAAATACTCGATCTTATGTATATTTCCTTCTTGTCTTAAAAGTTACAGAGCAGCGTATGTAACAATTACAAATCGGAGAGTTAAACATTTCTAGAATTTCTTACATGTGTAAGTGTTTACTATGAGCATCGTACATACTTAAGAGTCAGTGATTAACATAGAACTACTGTATCGCGGAAGCAGAATCCAGTAAAATTGCGATAGAGCCAAATTATTTTCGATCTCAAGGTAACAGAATAATGGAGCACGCTTTTAATGTTTTACGACATTGTCTTTCTTACTCTTTCGGTTTTCTTTTTATTTTTTGTTCTATCGAGTTGTTACCTAGTTTGATTACCCCAGTTACAAATAATATTTTGGATTGACAGCCACTATATAAATGCAACAACCAAATAAGTTCGATTAAGAATTACAATAAAACTCATCCGCATATCATTTATATCCATCGTCATGAAGACTGTACGCCGTGGTTCCGTACGTGTCACAAATAAAAAACTTTTAAATAATATTATCCGACAATTCCTAATTCGATATAACTATAAAGAAAAAGAAAAAATGAAATGAATATTTCCCAAGCTATGAACTTCTGCTCAAATATTGTGCACATTCTATGAATTGCCACTTCGTCAAATTGGAATGGCATTATTTCAATGTAGTACTAATGCATCTTTCAAATTATTGTGTTACAAAATTGCAGACGATTCGAAAATAATTTTTAAAGTTAATCGAATGATTGAGACCAAGGTCCGGCCTACGAAGAAAAGCCGCAACGAACGGCGTCCTTTCGCAACTTTGCAAAATACGCGATCTTAGATAAATTATGATTATTCGTTTACATTTACAAGAAACGCTTTGTAGTTTGTACGAAACATATCTCAGTGATGAAATGCTACTAGAGTAATATACCTACTCTTGGTAGTCGTTGATTGTTAAGAAAGATTATCTTCTTGTTCAAATGTATATCTCGTCACTCATTAGTAGGAGTAGTAGTACTCAGATCAACGTGCTGGGTCTGCTCCTCCTATGAGAAAGAAAACCTACGTCCAGCTGAAGGATATTATTGGGAAACAACAAACAGTCCCAAAAGCATCGGTTGTCTTAAATTTGATCAAATTTTTAGGCATGTACAGTCTACCGTACAAAAAACTTCAACGCGCCTGCAGCTCGGTCAATACTCAAAAATTTGTTACTACATTTTACAGCTACGACTTTTCACACGTTGAGGTTATAAATAAGACTTTTATGGAAAAGTCGAAAATATATTACAAAAGCGTATGGTATTTACGTTATTCATCGAGGTATTAAAGTTGGCAATTTATGAAAGAGACGTTAATTTTCACACGTCGAAATCTTAATAGTAGCTCTGGCATTTTCCCGAATGTGCAACGTAAATGTAGATCATTGCGCAAAACCAATCAGCTGCTAAATTCGATCGACAATTATTGATTTCAAATTCAATTATTCTAAAGACTGTCTTATGTCTCACTATGTTAAGTTTGATTTCATAACAGAGGACACACAAACGTGGGGTTTATTTGATATGAGATGAATTACCCCAACTTTATATAAAATAAATAACCTAACAAGATGCCCTGTCGACTTATTTTGGCTCTGGACATTCGGAAACCTCAGACTGAAACCGAAGCGCAGATTTACTCTTTACACCTTTTCTATGTGTGGATGGTGGTTCGTGACCCGGAGCAAGTTCGATGTCTCTACCGTAAATATATAATAATTATATGTTGGTACCAATAAACATCATATACGTAGAAGACATCGTAACGGTTATAACGAAACTACCTAATTGTAGATAAGTTACGTTAGCTCGTCGACGATATTGATTTAAGTATGAAATTAATGAGTAATTATTAAAGTTAAAACTAGTGCATAGAAATAATAACTAATGAATTGTTAATATTGGCATAATATGGTACGAAGGAAACGGTATCAATATTACTACTATCGCTTAATTACGATCTGGCTCTATGCGTAAGTCCAAAATGTAGAATCAAAAAATATGTACAGTGACTTGTTTTCATGAACTTACCGTCAGTTTAATTTGTCAGCTACTGTATTGCTTTGATCTTATAAAAATATGATCGCCAAAATTATGATATCAATTAAATTGTATTGAATTTATTTTTAACACACAATTTAGAATCAAATGATATCAAGTATGTGAATGTTTTGAGTGGTGAATAGATAAAAATAATTTCGGTAACTCACGTTGGCTTCGCGACGCGTTATGAAAAGAGGGCGGGAAATGTTAGACTGCGCCGTAGGACCCTGTCCGCATACTGGACTCGTGTACTTTGCAGTTCGCAATAGCGTGTGGCAATCGCATCTAGTACTGAGTAATGCCTCGTCACACGACCCGCCGACCGACGCATTCGGGTCGCACTGAGCCTTCAATTTGCGAGACAAAGGATGTAATGCCCTAGTCGGCTATGTTTACGGTCAATCAGTGCTGTGAGTACAATTTACGCTATGTACAAGATTAAAGTATTGCCATGTTCAGTTACGTAATTTTGACTCGACATTTCAGAGACCAAAACGCTCAATCGGTATTACTTGTTTGAAAACAATATTTCCTTTGAACACGGTCTTGTACTTTTTTTTATTATTTCTGCCCAGTTTTAGCCACAATACCAGTTCAACTTTACTATTCTGATGTTTTTTAATTCGATATATCTCTTCTAACGTTCTGAGGTTAGGTCCTCCTTTAAGGGGGCTCGAGTACTTTACTTCTTACAATAAATGATATTCCATCGAGATCATAGATACGACTCGACGACTAATTTCAAAATGTGACACAGGGCCTAGTTAACGCAAGTTTGAAATGAAACATAAATAAAGAATTCGATTACGGCTCATGTGAAACGCTATTGCAAGACGTACGTTACACACCGAACCATATCGATTGAAATTATGTAATTAGTAATTACTGTATTATTCGCACAAATCGATATCCAATACTCACCTCCACGACAAAAAGAACTAAAAATAAAACTAACACCTAATATAAATTACATAAAGGTTTAAAATACAAACAATATTTTGCTTTTATATCTTCTTTAACAATAAATTAATAAATAACAAATTTATCATTATTATAGGCGTTTATTTCAACTCTTTCGAGATTTGAATCTTCGGGGTACATCTTCTATTATTCTTATTTATTTATTTATTTAAAGAAAGAAACATAACAGAAACACCAATCGATTACAATTTTATAGTAAAAGTAAGTATATAATATAAAGGTGCATCCTAAAAAATGTTTCAAAGATAAATAATGTATAAAAGTAAGTTACAAGCAAATATCCTTAAAGGAATAATAATGAAATACAAAAACACAATAAGAATAAAATAAATAAAAAGCCGCAAACATGCAATTAAGTTAAATTTAAGTCAGACGCAAGTTCGTTTCTCAACATTGATAACAACTTGCGCCTGAACTCCGCAGGGGGGCACGAAAATATGTCAACATTGTTGAATCTTGTATTGTACGATTTACACATTCTACGTAGAGGCATTCGAAACCCAATATTAGTTCTAGCAGAGGGCAAGTCAAAGGTGTTACATGAACGAAGAGACCTGGCGGGGACATGAAGGTATAGTAAGCCAAGTAGTTCAGAAGAAGTCTGCTCACCTGAGCAGATCTTCTTCAACGTCATACAATCTATTAATGTTCGGCGTTGAACCAGCGTTAAAAAGTTAAATTTTCGCAGTAGATCGTCATAGTGCAAGCGGTTTCCATTCACTCGGTAATTTAGTATGCGTAAGAACTTTTTTTGGACTGCTTCAATGCTCTGTTCGTAGATTGAATAATAAGGATTCCATATGGAGCTTGCATATTCTAGATGGGGGAGAACAAGAGATTTGTAGAGGTGAGTATAAGTGTTTTTATTTTTAAATGGTTTAGAGACCCGTGTTATAAAGCCCAACATTCGCAAGGCAGTATTAATAATATTATCTACATGTATGTCAAGAGTAAGTTTAGTATCTAAGTGAATGCCAAGATCTTTAACAGTTGAAACTAAGGACAGTTGTACATTTCCTAGGGTGAATTGTGTTGGTATAACATTTTTATTTCTTGTGAAAATCATGTGTTTGCACTTGTTATAAGCCAGGTGTAATTTATTACGATGGCAATAAGCATCGAGTCTATTTAAATCTTCTTGAATGTAGGCTGCATCAGCTAAAGAATCAACTTTTTTAAAGAGTTTCAGGTCGTCAGCATAAAGCAAATATTTACAGTGAATGAAACATTGAGATATGTCATTAATAAAGATAGAAAAGAGCAAGGGTCCAAGTATGGAGCCCTGTGGGACGCCGGATGTAACAGTGACTGGATAGGATGTATAGCCGTTTACAGTAACTGATTGGGTGCGGTTTTGAAGATAAGCAGCAAACCACCGTAAGAGATTGCCTTTAATGCCGTTGAATGACAACTTACGTAAGAGCAACACATGATCCACTTTGTCGAAGGCTTTCTGAAAATCAGTGTAAATGGTATCGGTTTGTACTTTACTATCCAAGCTGTTGAAAACATAGTTAGTAAACAGAAGAAGATTAGTGATGGTTGATTTCCCAATGACAAAACCATGTTGTTGATCAAGTATAATATTCCTGAAACTATAGTAAATACGTCGATGCAAAAGCCTTTCTAACACTTTCGGAATAGTAGAAAGGATAGAAATGGGACGATAATTTTCAATGTTCTTTCTCGCCCCCGATTTAAATATTGGTGTGATGTGAGCAACTTTCCAGATACTTGGAAAACAACCTGATGATAAACACTTATTGAAAAGGATCTCAAGGGGCAAAGAAATCGAGTTACAGGTGCGTTTAAGAAATATGGGGCTGATATTATCCTTAACAGTTTTGCTAACGAATTTAATCCCTGCTGGGGAAAATATTTGCGATACGCCTGCGTTTAGTCGGTTAGCAATATAACGCTTCGTTTACAACAAAATAGTAAAAATAAATTTAGATTTATATAATTATAAAAAAGTAAATCGGCTGCAAATTATAATGTAATAATGCAATTTATCTAATTGCGCTTTGGATATTTTTTTTATACAAAGATGCGTTTATTTAAATAATACACATTTTTTCGGTTTTCAACGCGAATTAATTAAATATGTAATACTCGCGTAAACAATACTTGGATAATTTTAGCTATTAGAACTAGACGCACTGCTTTTGATTCCACACAAATGGCGCGAGACGTCTACTTTCAGGCAACATTTGGTTTAGCTCTTCGGCATCTCGCAGTGTCTGCACAGAAAAATAATAATTTTAAGTGTGTTAAAACAATTGATGACTTCAATTAAAAAGACCGGACTTACTCCAGTGAGAATAGAGTTGCATCGCGCCAGTTGGTGCGAGAGGTCTCTAAGGCGGGCGAGTCTCTCCGCGTGACGAGCGTTGCTGCGTTGTCTCTCCACCGCTTGCGCGTACACCCGCGACACTTCGCTGTCCGTCTTGACAAAGTTCCACCACGTATAGTGTAAATATAATTCATAATTACAATCATTAGCAGTTTCTATATTTCATACCTGTTTTATCTGAGCAGTTAGCGCCGCTTGTGTGTTAGCGAGCGGATGTGCACACGCTGCTAAGTGTGCTTGCAGGCGGGAGCTAAGCCTAGCCCATGGCCTATAATCGAGACCTGTTAACCGCCAATATTTAAGTGGTTCTCCTTTCTTTTTTAGAGTTTATAGTTTTATTCATGTGTTACCTTCTAATACTTCTGGATCCCTTGCTCCCGGCAGCCCCAATGTTCCCCGCATTATTGGAAGAAACGTAGGAATTTCCTACAAAACATTTAATTATTGTCTATCTAATTTTCAACGTCATTACTAAATGGCCATAAGGATTTTAAATTTAAGTTTAATGTTTGTATCTCTTATTAATATAATGTTAGTATTCTTCTTCTTTTAATCCGGTACGCTCTTGACAGAGCGGTCGTGATCGCTATGTACTCGTAGTCTTAGAGGGGGCAGATGTGAATATAGTATGCGAATGTTAGTATATTAAACCAATTATTGTCTCTATAAACAAACTGTTTGTAAATTTCACAGTTTAATCCAAATTATCAGATCAAGCAATACTTTCTATAACTCTTTCAGAAGAATATAGAATTTAAGCAAAATACCTGAAGTCTTCGTATATCCTCATCAAGTTGGGAGTCACTTGGCCCTTTTACAACAACAATATCTCGAGGCCTCTGGGTACGTCTCGCCTGTACACTCATTTGTCTTCGATGGGCCATAGACTTTTTGCTCTCTCTCTGAGCTCTTGACATATGCTTTGGGGAATCTAGTAAAAGCCCATAATATCAATAATTTATCCTCTAGTTATTAATATGAGATAGCTCTATTTATTATAATATCTTACCTCCAATAGGCCTATCCACAGTATAAGATATATATGGCAGTTCTGAGTCTGAACACATACTCGCACCAGGTGAATTATTGCCACTGGCTATTGTGTCTCGCCTGCCATCTATCGATTTATAAATATTCTTAAAGAAAATCTAACTTTACAAAAATATACAGAATAGCCTTGAAGCTCATTATGTACAATTACTAAAAATAAAAGCACTTCATAGGTTTTATTATTCGTAAATTACCAGAATAACTCGTGCCAGCCACTGTATATCCCCTACGAACGGGAGGGGCTCGCTGAGCCTGTTTCTTGGGTGGCATTGATTGTTCTGAACCCATTTTGTAAGACTGTTTCCTTAGTTTTATTGGGTGCTTACTATTCAAGTGTTCTTTAGGTAGCTTTATAGTACGTATTTTTAATTAAGTATTATGGATCGAAAGAACTTAGTAAAGAAAAGTACCCTATTCACTCGTAGCGCTTTATGAAATAGTCATTTATTATAATATATTTCAGTTTTAAAAATAAACAATAACAATACAGATAGTTATTTGAGCTGCGATTACGGATTTATTACAATTTTCTAATTCATAATAAAACACTCAGCAAGTAAACAGATGTGACTGTCAGGCTTCACATTGACGTATGACTATTTGCACCTTGCTTTGTCGAAGATAAGACAAAATAAAAATAATCATTTATACTATTACGCCTTGTCATTCCTCTCATGGTCACACGGTATTCGCAGAATCCATTCAGGTTGGGAAAGCCATCAAAATAAAGAAAAAGAAGATAAGACTTGACGAAGAACAACACCGATACGTAGCTAAGAATTGACATAAAAATATAGACTTGATGTTTTACAGTGACAGCTCCTATTCGTAATTTCAGAACTTGTTTTTGTTGTCGTGTCATACGTTGGTCATACATTACAAGATTGACGAAACAATTTATTAATTAAGTAACGAGCTCTGTTCTTTACTTAATTAGAACATGTTATAAGACACAACAATGGTCGACGAAGGAACACGGAAAACTCTCAGCAGCATTCCATTACTTAAAACCAAGGCTGGCCCTAGAGATAAGGAATTATGGACGACTAGGCTAAAAGAAGAATATCAAGCCCTTATTAAGGTAAATTGACTGATAGAATAGTTTAATGGTATACTTTCATATCAAATTCGTTAAATTATTCGGTAACACCTATACCCAGCTTCCTACAAAAATTCTGCAGACACTAACCTTCCGTTTAATATCAATGTAAAGAAAAGTAGAACACTAATTTTCAAAGTAGTTTTATATAAATATTTTTTTGTTACAGTATGTTCAAAATAACAAAGAGGCGGACAATGACTGGTTTCGCCTGGAATCTGATAAAACTGGAACAAAATGGTTCGGGAAATGCTGGTACATTCACAACTTACTAAAGTATGAGTTTGATCTTGAATTTGATGTAAGTACTGCTTTTTAATTGTTTTCTCAACAAGTGCAAAATGTTAAATATCTATCAACTTGTTCTAGATATAAATTAGGTTTGAATCAGCCATTACCAAACATATTGATTATTGCTTTTAGATTCCAATAACATACCCTACTACAGCCCCGGAATTAGCACTACCGGGGCTAGATGGTAAAACTGCTAAAATGTACAGAGGGGGTAAGATTTGTCTTACTGACCATTTTAAGCCATTGTGGGCCAGGAATGTACCACGTTTTGGGATAGCACATGCTATGGCATTGGGGGTGAGTAACAATATTTAATTCCTACCTCCATCCAATGTGTCATTATATGCAAATCTGCCTGCGAAGCAATAGCTGTATGACTAAGTATGTAAATTACACCACATTAAATAATTTGTTTAATTTTTATAGCTCGGACCCTGGCTTGCTGTAGAAATACCAGACTTAATAGAAAAAGGAGTAGTCAAATATCAAGAAAAAAGTGAGGAAGCTAAGTAAAATAAACTGATTTATGTTAAATATTTCATGGTTCTGACATTATATTATACATTAAATATTTTTACAAGCAGCTTACAATCTTTCACTATAACTTAATAAAATTAATTATATCCTGATTGTCGAGCAATTTTAGCTTGGAAAGCTTAAAAAAAATAACTTAATATCTAGACAGATAATATTGTCCACTCAGATGGCGAAATGTCGAGAACCATTTGCCATTTTGAAAATTTTCGACTCGGGCAGGACTTGAACCATTATCATCAGCGGGCCATTTGCCAATTACAACTACAAGATACTTTTATACTTTATATATCCTATATATATTTCACAAGTAGTGAATAATTATATGCGTTTTTCATAACGAGAAGGTAAGTAGCAAACACCATAACTTTTGCTATAGATTGAAACATTTTATTGCTCAGACTATGTACAAAATTAAACATTATACAAAATCACTGTATTTTATGTGGTGCATCGTAAAACAGTTGAATGCACTAGGCTTCGTATGCTTATGAAATATATCGGCAAAATGTTACATTTTCATGGTATTGTTATATTTTGTTTGTGCTGGAATTATGGAAACATGGTGGTGAGTATTTTATGTGGTTAAATGGTTTGAATAGCAACTTTTACTCGAATCCAGAAAGAAAATAAATAAACTCATTTTAATTACAGCCAGTGAGTATGAGATTTAATTATAATTTGATAGTACCACACCGGCTGTGACCCACGATGTAATAGAAAAATCATGTTGTTAAATCTGTATATTCCTAGCGTCTCTAACAAATTATATTACATTTCCAGGTTGAGTCTGAGGAAAAGGATAAGGTAATGGATGCATCCGCACAAATACTATTGTAAACTTTAAAGGTGGTTTGGATACCGAAAAGTCTTGTACAACTTTTAAATCTTATATAATGATAACTTTTAGTTGCCAAAAACGGTTTCCTACTACACCAATTCCAAACTTTCAGGGTAAAGTGAGTAATTAAAACATGCTTTGTTGTGAAATTAGGGCCATTAACTTTAAAATCTTTCTTGAATCGAATGAAAATTGGTAGGAAACTACAACTGTCGCCACTACATCTGTAATCACTACAACTGAATCCACTGCAACGGGCGCTGATACCGAAAATGAATCGGTAAGTACTTAAATTAAAATACAGCTTTCTATTTGTCGAGTTCTCAAAATGTTAATTATTACAGACTACACCAACTTCCGAAGGATATCCTGCAAATGTAAGTCTCTTTATTTATTACCTGTTGTACCATAGAAAAGCCAATGTGTACGCTATTTCTAGCATTCAACGAGAAAAACCTATGCGTTTGGCAGGTTTCCAGAAACAGATTCTCGCGACACTATTAAATCTTAACGAATCCTTTCAGACTACAGAACCTTCATCCTCAGATAATGTGAGTTAAATTGTGCTTTACTTAAACGGTATAATTCAATAATAATAAAATGAAATAATGTTTTCAGACGACACAAATTGCTGTAGTAAGATTTTTAGTATTAATTTGTTATATAATTCGTGTTATACCACTTAAGAAATACAATGTAATTTATTTTATAGCTTACGGTAAAATAAGTATACACTATATTATACTTAATTTAATTTTGTTAAAATTCTTGATAAATGAATATATGTCGATATTTTCAAATTTGCAGTTAGAGGTATGTCACCATTTTGAACAATTCAAAACGTACATTAATCTTTTTTTTTCTTATGAAATTCAACACAACAATTATTATACGCATAATATTTGATTGTAGCCCAATGCGGTGAGAAATTTTCACTATCTTATAAATTTTGAAAAAAATATTCAACAATTTATACAATAATTAAAATTGTAATTTCAGACCACTGTGAGTATGTTTTTTAGGACTTATTAGTGAGAATTTTGTAAAATTCATACGTTTTACTTTCCAGCCTGCGGTGAGCCATTTTGCTTATTCTATTTTTATGTCATTTCACCCTCGTTAATGTTGCAACTTTTAAATTAATCTTTGTCTTTTGTGTTATAGAATGCGGTACGTACATATTTGATATTTTTTTTAGTTTAAATTACTTAATTCTTGCTTAACTTGCTACCGACTTTTAAAAAATGGTTTTTCAGTTTACCGTAAGGGGTTTTATTATGTTTATTATATAAATATTTGAATTATCTTAAATATTATGTTAAAATATAATCGTTATTTTCAGGATCGCTACGTAAGAATTAAACGCTTTCGATCATTTTTTCTATCAATAACATTTTCATGATTAAATAAATTCCATAATTAATTTATTTTATTTTCATGTACCTCGCTGCTATAACAATACAACGTAAGCTTCTTTGCTGAAACTTTATTGTTGAATTAGATTTTGGCGTTTTATAGAACAATTCGAAATTATATGTTTTTTCATGTTGATGCACTTTATGTGAACGGCACGGATCGCCGGGGATGTAGTCGAGTCTCGCCCGTGCCATGATTTTTTCAATGTTTAATAAATTTTAATGTAACTAAAACTATCTGTATAAAATATATTGAAATTACAGGTCATAGGGTGTAAGTATTCAATGTAACATTGAACCACAGGGGTTACTTTATCATAGATGAGAAACGTCTTCTAGAACATTGAACTAGGACGCGCTGTCAAAGCGAAGCCAAATTTTTAATAACCTAACTGAAAATATTTTCTATTTTTAAATTTCAGGAACCAGTAAGTGATAAATCTTTTTAATTTTTCAAAAGTTTTAGTTATATTCAATCACTAGCTGTGCCAGCGGCTTCGTCCGCGGGAATCGTTATTATGGGCACCCGAATTCGTTTTTGCAAACTCCTTCATCTTTATAAACTTAGGCTGTTACCCACGACGTCGGTCGCGTCCTTTCCCATCGCTCTTACAAGTTAGTCTTAAAAGATAGACATATAGCGTTGGGCACTTTTTTTAGATCATTTAAAGAGGAATCATTCTTTCATAAATATTTATTGGGCATCTTGAACCGTTTTTGCAGCGTACGACTCGGAAACCCATAATGATGAATCATTTTCCCAAATTTGTTCACATTTCTCACTGTATCTTCGCTTGTGTCACAGGCCGATGTTTTATAACTATATATATAGCCTTCATAAGAATTTTTCAATTCGAACCCGTAGTTCCTGTGATAAGCGGGTTCAAACGTACAAACAAACTCTTCACCTTTATATATTAGCATAAATATATTGTTTTTATAAATATTGATATGTAAAATGTACTTATACTCGAATAATATTAATTTCCAGGTAAAGGTACTACTTGCTCGTACTTTAATAAAATTCTTGCCATAAAATGTAATTAACGATGACTCCAAACACCATTTAAATATATAATTAAAATTAATTAATTTTAGGGGCAAGTAAGTACCGATAGTAGTAAACTTGTAAATATTGAAAAGGTAATGCCTCCTAACCTGGTAATTTCTGATTTTTAGGAAATAGTAAGTAATAATATTGGCTGCTCGATAAGGCTTTCTTGGTCTCGTTTTAACGCCAAATATTGTTTTTAAACTAAATCCCCGTTCTTAACGTTTTAGCTTAACGTTGGTATTAAAAAACTATTTCATGATTTCCAATTATTAAAAGGAAAACAAATGTTGTAATGGTAACATGTTCGATTTCAGATTACGGTCGGTAGCGTGTTTATAACTATGTTATGTTAAACATTTTTACGTTCTTATCGAAAAGTTTATCCCTTTTGATTCAAACTTCTGTTGCAGCTCCCGGTGAGTGGTATACCTAAGTTTGTTATTATTTACATTTGCATCATTATTGTATCTTTATTTTAATTTCACTTATAACTAATTTAATGTTTTTTTGCAGGATGGCCCTGTAAGTATTATTATTAGTAAATGATTGTACAAGTAGGCTCTTACTATCGATTTACTATTTTATATATTTTGGAATTTCAGCTTCTCGTAAGTACCTTTCCTACTGCACACAGATGTTATTTATATGTTAATTAGTAAAACTTACAACTTGAATGAGATGGGTCATTTTTTAGCGAATTTACGTAAGTTGTAAATAGGTTATTGTTTTAATAGTCTAATATTCAACCGAAAAATATACGTACTTGAGAACACTATATAAATCACCATTATTTATACAATTCTACCCGCATGCAACGCTCAAGAAATTAAGACTAAGGATTACGCTTTACGCTGTGTTTGTACACGGTTGAAAAGTTGTTTTTTGAACGCCACTGGCGGCAAACGTTTGAGGTGCGATGGGAGATTGTTAAACAACTGTGCTCCATGAAATGTTGACATTTTGTGGCCATAATTGATTCTTATTTTTGGCAAGATACGTTTAGAATACTAAACATACACTTTTAATTCCAGACTGAGGTATGTACCTTCTACCAAATAATTCAATTGTTCTGCATAAGTCAATTGATTTTTTTAAATTTGTTTATGAATACATATTATGTGTTCTTTGTAGAAATGGGTGCGTAATTATTGTTTCAATGAATGTAAATGTATTCTTTAGTGCTTACTTACATTAAATCTGTAAAACACCAATTTACAGATCACGGTGAGCATATTGCCACAAATATTTATGATTACTAGAGAACTATACCGGCCATACTTATTGAATCGTATGATTACATCTTATAGTACTACGTAAGTATATAATAAAGTCAAACTGCAGTTTCCATTGTTAAGCTTTTGCTTTTCAACGAATTATTTTCTTAGTTTAATCGATGTTTATATCTTGAATTGAGTACTATTAAAGTTTACTTTGTAATTGCACTTATTTTGTTCCTTTAGACTCGGGTAAGTCAAGGTTTATTTTTATTACTGTTTTAAATATCATTAAAAACCGTAGAAGTTAATATTTTTAATTTTAACTGTTTATTTCTTGCGACATAGCCACGATCGGTAAGCAATGACGCTTTTTATGTTGACTTAATTTTGAATATAATTTATTAATAAGTCGTTTGTTTTTTTATTCAGAAAGTAAGTCACTTATATTTTTTTTTGTGAACTTTTGAGGCTTTTTGTATTTAAATAATTACTTCTCTAATATTTTCAGCCAGGGGTGAGAAAACTTGATATTACTATCGTTTTATTTTCGGGGAAATTAAATACGTAGTAGACCTCATTGCCCGTTATTTAGTCATGAAATTATAAAACGGGAAATAACTTAGACAAAGCTTATACACCTACTTAAATGGCATATTAGAAATATCTGAGGTTATTATATATTGTACTCATGTAAAATTACTTGCAATCCCCAGTGTCTATGTTTGACGAGGGGTCCATTGCCGAAGTTCAAACTGATAGGAAACATTCACTTCCCTAAAATTAAGGTAATTCGTTAATTACGACCATACAGGCTTTAAATGTAGTTTTTAAAGTATAATGTCTGAATTGAATAACCTAAGAGATTTCATTCTTGCGCAGTTAAGCTATGTTACTTTTGGTGTTCTAGCTCTGCATAGCTCTTTCTTTCAGGTGACACCTCCACGGTACGTGACTCCTCCCACGGAAGAAACTTCGACGCTGTGTCCACCCTGCATATGTCCTCCTCTTGAAGAGCCGCGCCCCTTTGCCGACTTTTGAATATTGATATGAACAGCATAAAACGATATTAAGATAACTTTATTGACTGAAAACTTTTCCGAGGTTTTATTAATTTACTTTATTATGCCTTCATCGACAACAACACTCATGTTTGAAGACAAACGGATACAAAAATGAAATGCAGTAATAAATTAACATTATTTATTTTACTTAAAAAACCTACAATGATGTCCTAGAATCCTTCTTCCTATACACTTTATACTCTGAATCGTTACTCGACGAGTACACGGTCGCTTTAGACATGTGTAAAAGTTCTAGATCCAAGTCCTTCTTGGCTTCTCGACCCCCGCCGGGATCCGAAAGTGGCGCTTTAGACCTCTTATGTATCATCGAGAGAACTTTCTGCACAATATTCTTCGACGTCTTGCTCGACATCGAGGCAGTCGACGGTTTGTTTTCGCTGGAATTCGTCGAAAAGGTATACTTCGATATGTTCTCGCCGGCCAGATATATCATCCCCCTCTCCGATAGGAACTCGTCTATCGAATCGTTCGAGAAGCAGGCTTGAGCAGCCTTTTCCGTGGAGATGGAGACGGTCGCCCGCCTAGGCTGCTCCGTCACATACCTAGCGTCCACCGAGCTCGTTCGTAAGCCCGGCGACTGCGACGTGTAGCTGTGACATTTGATTTCCCGTTCGGAGGATCTGTTTGCTTCGACTGCCATTTCGCTCATTTCCCTTCTCTCTGTGCTCGTTTGTACATCTTTTACGAGTTCGTCTTCGAATATAACTTTGGCGTCTCTCCTCTCTTCCGTCTCGAAGCCTTCGGGAATCGTGTCCGACTTTGTCTGCTTCCAGTCCCTCCTATTTAGGCATTTCGAAAGAATGTCATCCGACATGCTGGCTCTGGCGTTCGACGCTTCCTTCTGACAAGCTTTATAGCACTTAATTTTTTGATCGACTTTCGAAGAATCACTCAAGAATTGGTAATCTGTCTCCGTGTCCATGTTGCTCGTGTTTATCAGAGGCGTGGTGACGGTCGCGTCTTGGCGGTAGTTGAAGAATTTCCGCACAACTTTCTTCTCCTTGAAGCAGCTGCACGACCTCATAACGCAGTATAATAATGCGAAAATCGTACAACATTGCACGGCGATGACGAAACTAAGAATGACCACGGGCATATTTTTAGCGACCAAACATTTACTCACCAACATCTTGAAGTGAATTTTATCCGATTTCGGTGCAATATTCCTGAGAGAGGTAATCTTGTTCTCTGTGGGATTACCGTGGACGTCACCGTCATCTAAAATCTCAGTATAGTTGTGTCTGTTCCGAATTATGAGGATGTCCTTAGCTTTTCGCACCTTACTGCCCTTTTCTTTCAGAAAGTCGATATCGTCTTCTGCGATGCTCTCGTCTTCGCATACGTTCGAAACCGGATTATAAATTAAGTCAGCTTTAATACACTGTGGCACTTCGATACATCTTTTATATTTTGGGTGATAATAGGGTTTTCTTGAGTTGTAATATGAATCGCAGTCGACAGGTTTGCAATCGTTTAAGGGATCTTCGTCCACTCCTGGACAAGCTCTTGTGTTTGACTTGTTGCGATCACCAACGTGAGTATCGAATTCGATGACTACAATTTCTCGTTTATTCGTATGGTCTGAAGCGGGCTTCGTGTCGACATATAAAGAACAATAGCCTTTTCTCTGAAACGGATTGAGAATCGGCGCAATCAGCACTAAAGTTTTCGTCGTTCCTGCAATTAATTAATAAATCAGCTAATAATTGAAATGTGCGTTTAGCCGATAATTTAACGAATTAATTATTTTATAACTACTTATAAATAATGTATAATAAACAAAATAGCACTTTTATGTTCAAAACAGTACGGTGTGAGGTCCTAACTACTGACTAATAGAAATAACCTTCACGAATGTATTCATTACATCCACCGACAATGTTTAAGACGTCACAGTGTTCACCGTCTCCGTCCACCAAGCAACACTGGTCGCCCCCCACGTCCACCTCACAGTTGTCTATCGGCCTCAAAACGACGTAAAACTGAAGCCCTACGCTACACGGTGATATGTGAAAGCCCTTTTCGACTACGACATTCTCAACGTAATATAAATGATCAAAAATAAATGCCATTAAAATATATTTGTAAAAGTTCATGTCAAATCGTTGGACATTCTGACGTTTTGTTTTTTAATTGAGCCAATGGAAGCGAGTTCATCGCAAAAAAAAGTGGTTCGGGAGTATAAAATATATTATATTCAACCTTTTTTTCAATATACAAAATGGCAACAGATACTTAACTAGGTATAAAATAATCTTAAAAATACATGAGCAAATCTATCACATTGAATTTTATTAAAATATTTGTCTGTTTTTAAATTATAATAAAAGCCCCATGAAGTATCAACTTTATGATACGAAACGTATTGTCACAAAATTCTGCTCGGCCTTAAATGCGCGCTCTTTTTCTCGGAATTTTCATTGAGTTATTTATAATACATCACCACATACTTAACCTTATCATAAAAGCACCACACAAATAAGTTCATACATTATTAATAAATACGGGTTCAATAACCGAGTCAAATAAAAATAAACGTACAGTAACTAGTGGCCAGTTCGAAATGTTAAACAAATTAAAACAACTTTTCTCTTCGACTGAACAGACAAGACGAGGTACTAAAAATAAAAAATATTTACAATCGATCAGGGTCATAAATTATAAGTTAAGTTCAATTGTTAGGTCTTATGCTATTACATGCCTAATAACCACCACAGAAGCCTAAAAACGACGAAGCAGATGACGGACAAGACGAAGTAATGGAGGGCTTTCAGTCTGTAGTACAATCTCAAGCCTTGAGGGACCGTTTCCATCGGGTCCTTGAGGAGGTACAACCGGATCCCTCTGATGTGGTTGAAGAAGTACATGTCCCAGTCTAATCCGCCCACGTTGAAGTCGAAGATTTCCTTGTCGGCGTCGCAAAGCTCCTTGAAGAGGTTCTGCACGTTTCTATTGGAGAAATTCCAAGACCGACACGCGAAATATCCAATCACCGTTGAGAACTTTTCGATTTTCTTGTACGCCACTTTTAACCTGCCAAAAACGTTTAAGTCAATAATAATAGCATTAGATTAAAATACAGTACATTTCGTTTTGACGGACTCATTGATCTAATAGTAGCAACGTGGGTCGTGGGTGCGACCCCACCGGGTCTAACATGTTCTCATTTTTCTGAAACATGTTGGACTTAGTCTGGACAGTAAATGGGTGGTAGGAATATAGAAATTCCGTCCGGGACTCGAACCACCGTCCAAAGATGAAAAAGACGTGAAGCTTAATCGCGTTTCGGTTGCAACCTGTGGATTTCCGAATATCCAAAGCCAAAATAGGTCTGATTTAGATGCTATAGGGTGGTGTATATCACCCACCATCGAGTGAAACCCGTTCTATCATTAAATGCAATGAGTTGCTGCTCAATCGTAATTCCAATGCGGTTCAACACTTACACTGGCTTCCTTCCGATTAACACGGCGACAGCGTCGGCGATGTAAGCAGGAATCCAGTGAAGAACGAAACAGCTCAGTCTGTAGAGCCATTGTATTGTCGTGAAGAAAAACACGTAGTGCCACACCGCTTGGGTCGTGGGCACTTCGAACCCGTGGTTCACATTGAGTTGCACGAATCTGTCTGCAAGACAATTTTCATCATCAATCAAATCGTGCAAAGTATAAGATAGAAATCATGAAGAAAAAATTGTAAAATCTACTCACCCCACGTCAACGGATTTTCCTCTGACGAGACGTAATTGTAGACGATGGGCGTCTGGTCCAGAGGAGGAGCCGCTTCGTGGTTACCTGGATAGTCCCGAGCGGTCTTCCAGGCGGTCGCGATGCAGGCGTTCACCACCATGTCACCTGGGACCAGATCTGCTACTGCGTTGCGGTCGCACTTGAGCACACGTAAAAGACCCACGGCTGCTCCCACCACCACCTATTTAAATACGTATTATTATTTTCACATTATGTGATTTCTTTTCAATAGAATTTGTCTTTTATGAAGATAATTTAACTGTCGTAAGCGTGAATATTAAGTAACATGCTTCTTCAAAACGACAAACGTAAAAGTTAATTGTATAGACCAATGTTGTACGTGCATTATTGTGAATGAAAAATGAAATCAACGTACCCCAGTAGGACCGTAGACATTGTCGATCCATCCGACTATTGGCTCTTTCGCTGTGGCGATGACTGTAAACACGAATATTAGGTCTTTGAAGGTATTCCCTGCGTTATCATCTATTTTAAGGGAGCAATTTCATTTCATACCTATAGAAGGCCTGAACAAAGCGACGGGCAACCCTTTCGAATGTTTGAGGACAACGTCTTCCGCCGCCGCCTTCGTGTAAGCGTAGGTGTTGGGAAACTTTCCCAGCAATCTGAAAAATAATCAATAGTCTTCCTTATTTTTTATTACATGTTATATCACATGAAGACACTATATAATTTAAACATCAAAAATGAATTGAAAAAATGTTGACCGGAACGCTGATGATGCCGGTTCAAGTCCTACCCGAGTCGATTTTGTTTTTCAATTTATTTTCGATTTTTTAAATTAAATAGTCTTCCTTCTTACACCAATTTAGATGAATAGAAAAACGAAGGGCAACATTGATTGTTGCGAATTCGAATTCAGTCTCACATTTGTAATCTTATCGTAAATAAATCGAATAAAATTGAATTCGTTACGTGACCGGAAACAATAAAATAAAGAAATATTGTTTCCTTACATATTGTGCTTATATGCGATCGTCACTAGGTACTTACCCCGGGGTAATGTCCTTGATAATATCCTCGTCCATATTTTCGACCAAATCTATCAGTTTGTCACCGTCCAATAGGCTCTTGTAGAACTTTTCGTCTATATCCACTTGAGTACAGTGACTGAAAGCAAATAAAATTTTGAAATAAACATAAAAATCTACTCCGAGGCCGACGCAGCGGGAGCCGTAAGTAGAAGGGTCACCTCCTACTCAACGTATTTTAGAAGATTACCTGTAGGCTGTGGATATGTGAACGTAAGCTCTTAATTTGGGGCAGGACCTGGCCAGCATCAGCATCTCCTTGGAACCTCTCACGTTGATGGAGACGGCATATTTGAGCGATTCGTCGAAGCGGACTGTCGCAGCGCCGTGGAATATAAAATCTACCTGAAAAATAAAACACGTTACTACACTCCTTTCGGAAACTACTACTTACTTGATTAATTTAGGAATAGGACGTAACAAAAATGTTTTTATTGCAATTATCGATCTTTGACAGAATACGAGTATATCGACAATGTTAATATGTTATGTATGTTTTTTGCTTTTATGATAAATACTGTGTACCATAGCTAGATGATTTGGTATTTGAACGATAAATAATAATTGACAGACATGTAAATTTAAATAAAACACTTTAGAGTTTTTAATATGGGATCCCCGGTGTTTGATTATTTGAGGTCGTCCGCCCTATTGAAATATATCGCGTTTTGAACCGTTAAAGTGTTTTATTTAAATGTGTACTACTCGCGTAAACTATAGACAGTATTTAGATATGTAAATGTCCGTTCTAGTCGCTTGCATAGTCTGAAGTAAATTTTTAGTTACTTCATTGCTGAGTCTCTGGCGGTCTTCTTCGGAAATCCCAATGTTGGGGAGGCCAATTTCCCCTACTATCACTTGAACCTTTCTAACAAAGTCCGGCTGCTCTTTACGAAGCTTGTCATATAACTGAAATAAAACCATTAGACATTTGAAGAATTAACTAAGAATATTGTGAATAAATAAAACTTAGTTACGTTATGTAATGAAGATACTGACCACGTCATCAAATTGTTCTTGTAGCCGTTTGACAGGGTCTTTGTTCTTCTTTGCCCTCGCGAGAAGGTACAGCCTCTTTATGTCAGGACACGATCTGGAAAAAATTGTATAAAAGACATTGTAGACAAAAGCCAGTCTGAGATCGCTGCATTTGTTACTCGTGCTGTGAAAATAATACACCAGACATCCTGCTGCCTGGGAAACCGCGTCGCATACGCGGGCCGAATGCATACGAATCATTCCAGAATCAAGTGAATTATTTATGTCATACCGAGCTGTATATTCTTTGTTGTCGTATGGTTGTTGATCTACGAATGTATTATTGATCTCTCTCTAGAAAGTAGATACAAAAATCCTATTCCTACTTTTGGAGGGACAATTGTTGTTGTCTAACATAGTGTAAGCACATTAAAATAGGGGTTTAGTATTTTGTGATTGCATTGCCATGCCATGGCAAGTATAAAACAAGTCGTAAATGGTAACCTTTTAAATAAACGTATATCCTTGTCCATTGTTTACTGTTTCACGCGTACTCTGCGAAGATGATGTCGAACAGTATCACTGCGGTGGGTTCTTTCCGATGCTCATTTAAGAATTACAATTATATTATTCATAATTAAATTCACCTGTCTACAGTACTGTTGCTGTGAAATACAAAATAATTCTAGAGTAATATAAAAGAAGATTATTTCTACCTTTAACTATTGCTAGCGTAAAATGTTCAGTTAAAACGAGTTACTTGAATGTATATAGGTATGTAACGTAACACAAAAGGAAAGACATTAAATACTTATTAACTGTGAGTAGAAATCGACTGAACAATTTAATAAAACCAATAACACTACAAAAACTTTAAAATGAACATTTTTGATTGCATTTGAGATTGATTATGAAAGAAATATATCGAATGATTCTAGCGACACACACGTATGTGGGAATAGACCCCGGCTTCGTCGATTAGTATTCATCTCGTCGTTTATGTCCGACGCGATACAAAGATTTCATAATAATTACGTATTTAGGACTCCGGTGAACGAGACTCTAACTTGATGTTACCTTTTGGAATCCCGCTCGGAAGAGAATCGATAATCTTTTGTGTCAAAATTAAGGTCTACTACTACTTCTAGACAGATAACTAATTCGGCTTCCCTGAGTATATTAAGATGACACGTGTGAAAATCGCATTCATCGCACGATGTTCCATAAATGAACTGACAAATAAATCTGTGTACTTTAGAACAGCGTGGTTTTTTAAACCGCAGGCCCGCAATTATAGATATGTATACTTTCAGAAAGATAACTTAATGTTTATCGTCAGCAATAGTCATTTAACAAAGTTGGGTGTACTTACTAGTATTATTTAAACGAAGTATCTGCGGTCAGAATATTTAAAAGCCGCTGGAAAGAAAAATACTTAGATAAAAGAGAGTGGAGTCCGATCCTGCCTCTACAATAAAAGGAACTAGTCACAGTTAAAATATTGACAGTGTCCATTCATACGTAAGTGTGAAACTCGTAAAACTACGATCGTAATTGCTTTTAATAATAATATTGCCGTCCCGCTGTTTAGTGAAAGAATGCTATGTTTTGAATTTCAAGGCGAGTGAAATGATCGCGCTTATAAATAAAAAGAAGTCTTGTTTATGAATTGAGCGTTTTTTTTAAATAAATGAATAATCTATTTTATATCACAAAGAAAAAACTTACAACTAAAAAGAGTAATAAAGAATACAAAAAAAGTAAAATTTTAACTGCTAAAAGACATCAAGAAGAGAAAAACATTTCTAAACTTGACTCAAATAAATTATTATTTAATAATTTTTATTTTCACTATCGACATACTTAAACGCGAATTGATTTGCATGTAAACAGGTATTGACTCGAATAAGACGTCAATAATGTCAAACAGATCTTAAATAAATAGGTAAGCGCTAATAGGCTCATAATTTTCGAAATTATTTGTTCCGCATAAAAAAAACATCCAAGTCATTTCGTCCTGTTCAAACTTTGCTACTATCAAAACTATATGTCGACAAAAAACGGGAGATCTCTCTGACTGTTTGAAAAGGTCAACTAAAAAGAATGCACTAGAAATAATAACGTTCAAATCGAAATGTTATTGTGTTATAGGATTTTCCTCATAAAACTAGTTGATGCCACATAATTTTGATGTGCACTGCGACCGACCGGCGAGGTGTCCGATTTCCTAAACCTTGCAATTTCATCGTTTGCAACACGATTTTAAATTAGCTGCGCACACGATCCTGCGATGGTTTTGCGATAAATTTGTGTTGGCCCACTGGAGTGCATTTTATGAACGCTGTAACGATAAACCAATTGTGGCACATGCATATTGCATTCTGTATTAAAATGAGCACTTGATTATCGCCTTTGCAATAGGACCTTACTGCGTTCACAAAAAACTGACGTCAATAGTTCATATTTGAAACGATAACGTGGTCTCATGCTGATACCGACATGTGTGGACACGACTAAGGAAGCTGGTCGACGATCATTATTGAGCGATTCGACATCCATATTTCATATCAAGGTTATTCGTTTTCCAAAACCATAAATATTTGACGTGATTCTAATAAAGGCATTGTTACTTTTTATCTGTTATCGATACTCAAGTGGCGACGAGCTTTTTGCCAGTTCTTCTCGTTCGTTCTACGCCCTTAATTTGCTTTTAATTTGTAACTATATTGACGTTCATAATATACATCATAGCGTTCTTCCTTAAAAAGAGTTAAAAGAAATAAGAATCGTTTTAAAATAATTCTTCTCAATTTATCTGTCATAAATAAAATCTCTTATATCTTCAAGATTCCATCGGAAAGGATAACACTGGTGTTGTTTAAAAGGTTCGGGAGGACGAGCCTTCGCCATCAAGGCGAGTTCTGTATTGAGCAATGTCTAATCGCCCACCGCGCTCTACGAATATTAATCTACACTCAAAACCATAGACATACTTGCAATGGCTAAGTCTTTCGTTACCCAGACATTGTTTACGAAAGAAAAGTATATTGAGGTCTCTTAAATGCAATAATCAGAACCGCTAATTGTTCGTTTATATACACTCTTATTTATTTACACTTTATTGCGCAAAAAAAAAGTGAACAAAAATATAAACGAGACTTATATACTAAAAATATGGAGTGCAATTGGCGGCCTTATCTAACTAGCGATCTCTTCCAGGCAATCCAAGATAAAAGAGGAGAAAGTTTACGGGAAAACGAGATGTGCAAGGTGGACGAAACAAAATTTACAATGTTAAATATAATCTTAAAAATAGCAAAATACAACTTACACACAATTTCAAAACTTATCTACAGAAACAATATTATTAGATAGTGACGAATTATTCAGATGGGTAATTAAGTGACATAAAATGCTAGTAGAGGAGGAGGAGCCTTTTAAAGGATAGGAGGGAAGGCGCCATACGAATATAGGTAAGGTATTCCATAACCTGACCGCAGTAATTTGAAAGGATTTGCCTAGAAAGTTGGAGCTGTGGGAAGGAACTTCAAGTATAAGCCGATCAGATGATCGCAAACACCCATGAATTTAAAGTTAGATTTTAGATAGGAAGGAGAATTGGGGGAAAAAAGGATAGAATATAGAAGATTAAGGATAGGCGCATCTCGCCGAAACAGAAAAGGCAACCGTCTCAGCTTTTTACGAAACGCGGATACATGATCGAATTTTCTCAAACCAAATCGCCAAACACTCTTGACGGCTTATAAAAGCAATGTGCGGCTAATAAGCAACGGTTCCTAGGTTCGATCGCCACCGGGTACAACACATTACTTTCGTCGAAATTCAGGTCATAAACCGCTGTTCGCAGATAAAAGAGCCGGAAAGTTAATCACTTTCGATTTCAGATTTCCGAATATCCAAAGTCAAAATATGTCAACAACGCATTGCGTTTAGATGTTATAGGGCTGAAGTGTGTGATACTAACTGAATATTGGGTCGACCCTGATACCGAAGTACTTGTCATCATCGATACCCCATAGAAGCGGGCACGTGTCGCAGCAATAAATGAACTCGTTACATCACAAGATGTCACTTTCACCTAAAATTCAGGTCAGAGCGACATCAAATCATGTCTCGACTAATGCACAAGAAGGTAATTACGAGATTGCATTCTTATTAACTGTTGAACTATCTCTTGTAGTAAGGTACTAACTTGTGAAAACGGCTGCTAGACTAAAAGTGGCGAAACTGACTTCGAATTGAAGCAGGCGATATTGAAGCTACGTATAATTTAAGTCTAAAAGAGGAAAAAGCCAACAATTCAATAATTCGTATACACTGCATATCGATAATAGCATGCACAAAGTTATATCAAGACGAATAGTGTAAAAATACGCCAACGCAGAAAATATTGGCGTACGTTTAGAACTTTAAGAGTATAATTTATCACAACTAATCGTTTACGTAATCCGGCAGTTTCCACTTCAATATCAATTTTTTAGGATCAGTTTTTATATCGCTCGGTGCTTGGAGTAAACAATTCTCTACAGCGCATCGAGGGCACCTTACCTTCACCTCATTTCTCAACTAAACCTTTACCTGAGAAGCTTGTCGATGAGCAGCTTCCCCAAGAAGCCGGTGCCGCCGGTGAGGAGCACAGTGGCGCCGGCGAACATCTTCTGAATCTGCGAGTCTCCCAAGTCCGTTTCGTCCACCATGTCCTTGTACGTGATGTCTCCGCCCTCCTGCATCTTCGTTTCGCCGATCACCACCATTTCTGTAATGCACAAAATACAAAATACAATTAGAAATTTTTAATCTCAGATCAGCTAAGTAGTATACAAATTCATTAAGCGAGCAAACCAAAAAAATAACGCTTGTTTATCAATGCTTCTATAGTCAATACAGGCAGAACTATTAAAGTAAGAACCCTATTTATTTATACATCTTGAAATTACTCGAACGTTAACTAAGTAAGAAACATTACACCCTAAAGGCGCACTAAAATAAGGTAATTGAATAGTTTTCATTCAAAAGACACCTTAGACTAGTAAGAGAGCAGCGCGTTCATCAAAATAAAAAAAACAAGCTCTAATTATGCTCTATTGACCGAAAACATACGGCGCAAACAGCTTTAACTTACGGAAGTAAATAACGTTTGAATTTAATAAATAATAATTAACTAAACACTCTGCGGCTTTAGAACGAACGAGGTTAAAATACGATGTTTTTATAATCCAAATTGAAAGGAATTGAGGATTAAAAACGTTTTTGAAAGATATTTTAGGCGATTAGAGAAGCCAAAATAAATTAGCTGTTTCTTATAATGAAAAACACTCGATTATTTAATTTGGATTAAAAGTAGTCTTACTTACTTCACCCGTTTTTATGCTAAATCAATACCAGTAAAAAAACATAATTCGCCATTTCCCCCCGTGTTGGTCAAGAGAACGACGTTTCAATAATATATCTATATTACTCGTATAATGATTATTCATTTTCTTTACTCACGCGCAAATAATGTTTAATGTCATGCCTCATGTTAAAACAATCCAACTTTATATCCTAGAGCTAGCTAAACATTAAAATACTATACGCTAGAGAAGTATGCTGGCTTCAATTAGGTACTATTCCTAGGAACTACCTAACGCCCCACGACAGTCGAGGATACATACATGTTTACCTGAACAACAAACAATGAAATGTTTTTAAGTAATTCATATAAAGTAAAAAAGAGAATGAATTTATAATTAGAGGATACTTCTCCACCGCAATTTTTATCCCCAAGTTTAATTTCGAGAGTCCTAACGTTTTTCATTCATACAAAAGCGTTTACTTAGATATTAGATAAACAATTTTCAAAAGTGCACTTAAAACGGCATTCATACCAAATATATTAATACTAATATATAAAGCTAAGAGTTTGTTCGTTTGTTTGAACGCGCTATTCTCAGGAACTACGGGTTTAAATTGAAAAAAATATTTTGGTCTTGGTTAGAGCATTTATCGCATTGTGACTAATAGAAGCGAAATATGAACAAAACGGGATTTTTTTTTCATATGGGGGTGGGTTTCAGATGCAGCGTACTGCGACAACGGTTCAAAACACCCACAAAATATGTATAAAAGAATGATTCCTCTTTAAATAATATAACAAAATCTCCGCAACACTATATGTCTATCGTCCAAGAATTATTTGCAAGAACGACGGGACCCGAACGACGCGACGACATCGGTCGCGTCGCTTAAATTTATAAAAAAAAAACAAAAACAAATTTGGACGTCAAAATAACAATTCTACGCGGACCAAGTCGCTGACACAGCTTGTGTGTTTTAAACACAGCAACACTTCAACTGCGTCAGACATGTTCTTGGAATTAATCCATATTCCATCATATTCGCTGCACAACGTTTTGCAGGTGAGTAACAATATTACGAACGCTTAGCTTAATACTTAGCGGGAACAATTAATAAACATAAGATATGATAATATTTACCATTCAATCGAATTATTTGAATTGAACTAACAGCTAACTAGTACTAACAGCTTCTGTACTCTTAAATATCACTAGCTATATCAGAGACTTCGTCCACGTCGAATACTTATTTTGGGCATAAAATTTTCTTCTCTCAGAACTTCTGTTTAACTCTATAAATTTAAGTTGTTACTTCGATGTCGATCTTAGAAGACATTTTTTAGGTAATTAAAAAAGGGGAATAATTCTTTTATAAATATTTTTTGGGTATCTCGAACCGTTTTCGCAGCTTACATAAGGGAAACCCACAAGGATGAATTATTTTTTTTCATTAGATGAGATGCCTTATATGCCGACAAACTCTTTAGCTTTATATATTAGTATAGTTTCTCAAAATCTCTCAAATTCTCGTTCACTTTTCCAATTACTTCCCCGATAGGTGCAGAGGCAGTAAAACGCAATTTACGCAATTAGGTCACTTCGCCTCGCGGGAAAGTCTAATCACTAGGTTCGCTGGAGCTATTTCTTCATCTCCGCTCATTTTCCGTCGAAGCCATAACTGCCGAGCGCATACAAAGCGTCGAGTACGTTCTCGTTATAATTACGATTCAATTAGATACGTATATATTGCAATCACAGAAATATTCTTACGAATAAGGTAAGGTGTCGGTATGTTAATTAACAGAGCAGTTTGCATTTGCCTGCAGCTGATATCTCACTATTCATACATCAATTTTGAATTTTATTACATTAGACCGATCGAAGCACCTATAAAGTATCGTAATTTGCAATAACTGCGTGACAATCGAAAACAATATCGGTAATTCACTCTCTAGGCTAATTTTGGAGACTACTGGCCTTAATGCAAAACTATATTTTGCAATAAAGATGATTATTCACGATAAAGAAACGCACTGAGAAGATAGCAGATAGGCAATTTTAATAAAAGGTAAGAGTTCTAAGTAACAATACACAATAAATGTCCGCTATTGTTCTACTAAGATAAAAGATGAACTTCGAAAACAATAATATAAAAATAGAAGTCGCTTCATTGACTTGTATTGACTCCATTGCTCATGTGGTTTTTTGTCTCTTAACTTACAGTTTTGACGACTATTATATTTCAAATATAATCTATTATTCCACATTTACTATCAGTTTCTCTGAATAATACAATTAGAGAATACATAGATAAAAATTAGGATCAAGACATGTTTCCTATGCTTAGTCAGTGTACGAACAAATTTTTAGTCAAGCCAAGACGGGTTTCTTTAGGTCGTTCTCCTTCGTCACAAGAACACGTGGACTATACATCAAAGATGGAAAAGTACATCAGCACACGGTCAGAAGTGGAAACCGTGACCTCAGAATGGCAACTCGACCACAAAAGGCTATTTAACATTTTTATCTATAAATGAGCAATCGTTGAAGGAATAAATATATTAAATTGTCACTTCTCAACATCGGCTATCTATGAGATACTGTCGATTTCAAGTTTAGTTTAGTTTTAGTTCAAATTTCCTTCATGAATTTTATTTTACTTGAATGTACTAGTAATAATTAATTTAATTCCAAGGAAAACGAAGATTTCCATCACATCACATTTTCCATTTACATCATGAAGTATTTAGTGTGTAAAATCCCGTTTTCACTCGTGGGGCATGGGGCATGGGGCGAACACATTTCTGTGTCCGTTTCACTGATCGGTTTTATTTGCAGGCAAGTAGTTGGTCTGAATTCTGTACCCTGCCCGACCGAAACAATTTACTGTTTTCCCGGGATTCGAACCCAACCCTCTCGCGCTTAACGCGATGCTAGGCAACAAGTTTAACCATTTAGCCTCAGAGGCGGTTGATGTATTTAGACGTTGTTTATTCTTTTAGGCAAAATGACTGCATAGATTTCGATTAAATTTACAATATTTCGAGCCAAGCTACAAACGACGACCGAGAAAGCTAGACCGGCTGAGTCATTAATTAAATATGTTTATGTCTAGCCTCGTTTAAAACTAAACTAGAAGATAATTATTAGTGTTATTTTATGGCAATTGTGAATTTGTTAGCAAACGTACAGAATACTAGTAGTAATAAAAACGGAATATATAAGAGATAAAAACTAGTGTCGTCTTCATCTATATTATTTTTATTAATTATGCTATGTGGCACTTTCTCTTGGATTATTAAATGTTGCGTTTAATCTTTACAGGAAAGTCAATAATCCTGCAACTTTAAGGTTTATAATTTAGTACATTTGAAAAGGTTTGCGAGAAAATCATAAGCCGCTATCACATGGTGCATATATCACATGCGGTGTCCATGTTTATAGATTCATAGGTAATTCTAACATTTAGTGCCGCAAACATTTGCTGAACGAGTCTCGTATTTGATGCGGTTTTCCCTAACTTTGACATTGAAAAAATCGTTACCATCACTCCGGCTGAGAGTCAGATGTCAAATTAATAAATGTCATGGGCAGGATACGAGATTAATTATCTTTCAGGGGAAAATATTTATTGTTCTCAACAACTGAATTTAAAAAGTAGGAAACAAATTTAATTCGCTCTAAAAATATTTCCCCTGTCAAAGACAATAGAACATTTCTTATAATGTGTTAAATGATCTCTATGTGGTACACTGTATTTCAATTAAATGCGTAATAATTTGAAGCAATAGAAATAGTTTCTTTGTATTCATAAAATATAGAAGAGAATAATACTTAGTTTTAAATTAATCATGTCTGTATGTACATACACTAAATCGCTATCCTGAAATGCTGGGTCGATGACACCGATAAGGCAATTCGGCTATTCGGCTTTCACACATTTAAACGTTAAACCAAATTTCACTCCTGGTATAAACACCAATATACTTTAATTCGCCGATTACTTTTCAACGCAAAAGAAACAGCGAGCAAAAGTTAGTTTAAAAGTCTTACGACTTATGAACCATTCCACGATAAAACCAATCAAAATTGAAATAATTTGCTTTCATGAACTAGTTAAACGGGTTGGTTTAGAAGCGAATTTACGTCTATAGGCTCACTTCGTTTTCCTGGTGATGTAACTCAATGGCGAACAGAAGGTTTTAAGATATTACTATGATCTAATGGATGAGAATAAAATAAAAAATGCGAGGGGTAATAAACATTGATAAAAACACAAAATTCTCTTCATGATACATGATACCTTTCAACCTATCAAATCTCTAATATAGAGTTTGTAACTACTGATTTCTGAAAATGATTGCTAAAGAAATAAGCTATTATACGCTATTCGATTATACTATATTTCCAGCAACAAAAGTATGGCATTCACAAGTCTAGAACGTAGACTGTTTTAAATAAAATTTACGTCTCTCGCTAAGCTTTCGCGACATCACGGCCACCTCTTGACATTGTCACTATAAACCCACACTCGTAACCTCGGATTTGAACGGTTGAGCCTCTTTATGGGTTTCAACTAATTGAATATATCCTTTCTATAGATGTGGCAGTGTTTTACTTGTTTACTTTAAAAATGATATATATTATATATATGATCGATCACTTTTTATTGCATAGCAACGCCGTAAGTCTTGAAATCTGCTTACTCGAAGCAATATTGCATCCGAATTTTTTTTTTTTAAAGATACAACTAGGTATATGTTGCACGGCAGTAATGACGCGGAACTTTAATAAATAAATTGCGTGCGTTCAATGACCCTTCAATCAGTAAATATACTTACCTAACATTAAGTTTCTACAGACCTCAAACCTTGACCATTGGAAGGTTGAAAGCGACATTTTATTACCCGCGTGTTTTCGGAATGCGATAAATAAAAAATGCTTCAGTCTGGCATTCAGTTTTTGAGCTAACACATAAAAAAGACGCAGTCAAGTCAATGTAAAGAACAATAAATTGGTGTTGATACTTCTCGCCTAGATAACTAGACCGGACGGAAGTTCTCGGCTTTTTCGTCTATCGACGGTGGTCCGTGACCCATTTATCATCCAGCTTTTGTAGACAAAACCTTACATATTAAAAAAATATATTGGTTTTTAGACACATTTTGGACCCGGTGGAGACTAACCACCTTGTCAAATTTTTATTTACATTTTTTTTTTCACTTACACCTCTGGTTTTTAGGCGACTTCTTTACAATTTTAGTTCGCTACAATCGCGTAATAACATGGTAATTATATTTCAATAAACACATTTTTCAGTTTATTAGAAACATTAATCATACACAACGTCGAATTTAATTTACATACGAGGTACGGTATATTTTTAAAAATATTACAACAATAGTTTTTTGTCGAATAATGTTGTATAAGTAATATAAAATAAGGGAATGGATCGAGAACCTGAAAAGTGAAAATTATATGTTTCAGGTTGTTCCAGTAAAGGTGCTTAGGTCCATCCATATCCTACATTCACACCAATATTTAACTATTTGTCTCTACGTGCGTACAGAAAACGAGTTCTAATAAAAAAACTAAAATATTATAGATTCAAAGCTTTGCGCCTCGATTCATATTTGTCGTGGAATTTTTTCCGAATAGGCTATTTATAACATAAACCGGAAACAATTAAGATGTTTAATTCTATAACAGAAAGGAGGGATGATTTAGAATTGCACAAAAGCAGTACATCGGGTGATACATAATGATAATTTAAACAATCATTAAATAACGATTACTGTTAGCTTAATTGTGTTTATCGATAAACATGTATCGTAATGTATTCGGCACTTACGCACGCAATAAGCTCGACTTTCAGCGGGTTTGCGATTTGTCGTATTCCAATTTCACGTAACGGACTAAAGAGAGATTTCTCTATAAAAATAGCATATAGATTCTTCGAAGTAGGCGACAAAGTGCATAAAGTGATGTGCATTGTACGCCGTTTGCGTGAGAGGTACAAAAAAAACGTGAAAAGCCTCTGAAAGGTCGAGTAGGTAATACAAATTAACCTATGCATATGTATATATCTCACGTTTCAACACTTTTAAAGTGTTTTCTTTTAATTAAACGCACTTGAGAATATAAAAATAGGTTTTGATTAATAGAACAATAAATATCGTTTACAAGACGTGACGAGTTGATGTGACGTCGCTAGGTTGGTTTTTGATTAAACATAAAACAAATACAAAATTAGAAATAATGAAGTTTGGAAACTTTAATATTTTTCACACGATGGCACAAATCGAGACTCGGTAGCTTGGTTAGAGCAACGGCGCGGAACGCTGAGGATGCCGGTTGAAGTCCCGTCCGAGTCGTATTTTTTAAAAATTATTATCGATATTTAATTTAACAATGAAATTAGTGAAAAGTTAGCTCGTAGCTTCATTAATATTTTGGAATGGCTCTGAAACTAAAAAGTACGTGTCAACAACTATCGATGGAATCTAGATTAATTAGAAATTGCTGACGTGCGAGATGTCTTTCTTGCCTCCTTGACAATATTCAAGTTACCGCACGCGTATAATTTGCAGATGTGCATTTATATGTACTTAAGTAAAAATGTCCCAAGCCGGAATAGCCTTTTGAATTTCAGGACATGTCAGTAAAAACTCTAAATCTACGATAGGCCATAAACAGCTCATTTCTGTTGGCAATTTCTAAGATATATAAATTAATAAGTTAATCCCACTTACTGTGTCCAAGAAAATAATAAGAAAATGGTTGCACTACTGTACGCGTGAAAACTGCTCGGATCGCCAACCACCACTGAATCCGCTAAGCGAAACGCTCTCGTCCCAGCGTCGTGTTGACACAGAAGATGACGTCAAGTCAGCGCCGGATCCTTAGCGGGCCGTCCACCGTGGAAGGGGGAGAAGCTAAACTGAGTTGACGCGAAGTGCGCTCTCGTCATTTGTGAATAATTATTAATGATTACTAATTAGTTGAATTGATGGAAAATTTTGGAAAAACATGATATTGACGAGGTTTTGTATCAAATGTTTATCATCTGCGATACATGAAAATTTTCGTGTGCCGCTTGTTACTAGTAACAAGGTACATTCTTAAACTACTGCGTCGATCGAGCGGCATTATATATCCACCGGACAAAGACAATACTGTATCGGTATGTTGTTTCATATTAAAAATATATTTTACGAGAAACCTGACATAGTTGGGCTTTTAATACTTTGACTTTCGTGTCTATAAAACGTAATGCAAACAATGCAAGTGTTGTATCGTGATTCTGATATAAGTACTCGCTTTTGAGTTTCTCTTTCTTCAAATATCTACTTTAATACATGAATATTAGAAGGAAAGTAGTACATACACTCAAAGTTAAAAATGACTCCAAAGCTATAACGATAAATATATAACGAACTGAATCTTTCCTGGTGATAGAAATGATGAAATATTTACTCAAAAATATTTAGGAAAGGATAAATACACTACAAGGTCACTCCGAACCGAATGAACGAGACCGTTTTACGTTTAAAACGGTTATAAAACGTGCCAAAGCTAGAAAAACTCTATATATTATGTTGTTTAAAGTAAACTGATTGATTTTTTTCGTTTAGAAATGTTATAATTTCATGTTAAAGCGGCGAACAGATACGTCTAGAATCTAGATAGACGACAAAAAGCCTACTTTTTACGTTGTTACGAGAAAATATTAACTACAATTATAATCATTAATAATGCATTGGGCGCTTTTAAATCCAGTTAACATAATACACATGTTGCGATCTTTAATAACTTTGTGATCGGACGGACACTCCCAGTCATTAGGTTTTACAATGACAGCTATATTCAAACATACGTTTTTCTTATAATATAAGTACGGTTTACTGTACTCGATTATAGAATTTGCAGAGCTTTCTTCACGCTTCAAGGCTTCCTTTCACAAAAGAAAGCTACTCCAGACAACCCCTAGGTGCCGACCGGCAGAGCTCGCGAGGCTGGACTTTGGAGGTGGCGTAACTGCGACATCCGCAATCCAAGGAAATAAATAAAGGCATCTCATTTATTGTTTTAAGACGTTCGTTAGGGGCGTACGTCATTCGCGATATATTTGCATAATCTTTGAACAATCAAACAGGAATAATAACAAAATAAATCATAAACGTGTTTTAATCAATTATTCATACGCGTTTATAGTCAGTCTTTTATCGAGATTTGCATAAGGTATGGGATAGATTTAGCCCTCTAACAGTATATAGTTGTACAGTGTAAACTATTTAAAGTCGCGAATTACGTCTGCACATAATTTATATTCGATTGAATGTACCTTTGATATACCTGTTTTCGAAATTTTTCTATTATTAATAATTAATATTAAAAATGTGTAGACGTCATATAACTCGATGGCCGTTTAACGAAAATCGATTCGTGTTTTAATAAGGCAGAGTTGCGTAAATATTTACAAATGCCATGTTATTGTCGATCTAACGTCGTACTGTTTGTCTCTGTTCCTTGTTTTTATGATCAGCGTTAACCGATTTGCGTTCAGCTTGAGAAGTTTCGGGTTCAAACCCCGAGTGATCAAATTACTTTCGTGTGACAGACAAAAAATAGGCAAGTTCATTTTTGAGTTGGATGTTAAAGTTATTAAATTATGTAATTTATTTGGCTTCAAAAAATTCTACAAAGCATTTTTATTAAACTATCAGAACACTTTGCCGCTGGGCGCAAGAATTTCTCCCTCCTATTTACGCCAATAATTTCTAATTTCTATTTTTATCATTTATTGCTTCCTAATGTTTATCGCTAAAGCCACTGTTATATAGTATCGAATGGTTGTATGTGCGCTGTCTAACAGACAAACGGTAGGGTTTTGCTGAAAATCAGTGTTGTAGCATAATACCCGTGCTGCAACTTATGCTGACGTAAGACCCTTTTGGCATCATTTTATAAAAAAAATAATTTAATTTTGTAGTATTATTATTATTTTACTTTTATTATTATTATTTTTATTGTAAAATGAATGCTGAATAAAGAGATTTATTATTATTATTATTAATTAATAATCTTATTAATTGAATGCATAAATGATCGGATTAGATAGATCCGATCATTTGTTTTTTATCAAAGTGTGCTTATTTTTAAGCTATTACAAAAATCCAAGCGTATATGCAAGTTAACAATTTCAGCTATTAAGTTAATAAAAAACATATATATATATATATAATGAAAGGAAAAAGAGCACGAAAACCTTTGAATTCGTTACCTTTAACGAGAAGCTGACCTTTGAGATTAAAAATCGTTGCGCAAAAATTGACTCTGGTAAGAATAAAAGAGCACGTAGAACGATAACAGGTATACAATTTATTTTTACATAACATGGTAAAAAGGCTTAATTTTCAAACTTAAATGATTTAGATTAGATTTAAACTTAAATCCTACTTGTTGTACTCATTGACTACGGTAAGATGGAACGCATAAAAGCTAACAGCTAAGTGCTTTTAAAGTGCTGCTGCTGCAGACGGCCACGGGCTGGGGTATCGTGTGACACACTCAGTCTACTGCAGGGTTGCACCTTATTCTATAAAGAAGACGAGGGCATTTTTAATCCATTCCTGATTTATGAATTGTCTCTTCACCTGTGCCCACAAACAGTAGTCGTCGCTGTCTCCTAACTGAGATGGTCAAAGGCCATCGTGTCGTGCAACTCCTTCACGAGTTCAGCCAATTCCGCCGCGTCGTAGCCCAACAGCTGTCGCAGATCGCACACGAACTTGTAGACGAACCTGAACAAACCCGAAGTATTTATTAGGACTTCGCTGTTTGTACGTCTTTCCCACGTGACCACGATCGCTCTACCAATTGAGCTAACGAGTCTAATTTTTTCAACTTATTCATACATACCTCTCGCGCAATGAACGCAAGGAAGGAATATGCAATAACATGTGGAAAATGTTATAGTTTTCAGGAGTACCTCTTGTTGGGCACCTTGGCGATCATGTCTCCGTCGTAGTAGTACCTCAGCGCCCGCGAGAGCTTCTCGTAGTTCATGGCGGGCTTGAGCTTCCTCACCCCCCACAGCACCGCCACGCGCTCCGGCTCCAGCAGCTTGAACTCGCCCTCCGCGCCTGCAACCACCGACGGTTGCAGTAATGGTAACAATGTAACAATGGTAACAACGGCTAATAAACAAAGGATCGTTTCGATCGCCATCGGGTCCAACACTTTCCTAAGCGATTTATAATTTCTCTGAAACATATTGGACTTGTGTGGAAATCTGGATATTAAATGTGTGATATCGAAATTTCCCGTCCGGGTCACAGATAAAAAAATATCCAAATTCCGGATATCCAAAACCAAAATAGGTCGACAGCGTCTCTTGTTTAGATGCTATATATTTCGTCCACCATGAAGAGAACCCCATGCTTTTCTGTCCTCACAACACATTTCGCTCACTCACCATCCCACCGTATGACGTCGTAGTACTCGGCGCTCGTGAGCAGCTCGAGCAGGAACTGCCAGAGCTGGATCTGTCCGTTGTTGCCCGTGCGGGGGAGGACGTGCCCTCTCCACTCCTCGCTCTTCGCGGGGCAGATCACCACCTGTGGACACGCGTCTAGTGGCGATTAGTCCCTGAAGGAGGTTTAGGCTTGTTCTTTTCTTTTATTAATATTTGACAGCTGAAATGCGTCTGTATTTACTGTGTACCTAATTATGAGGTGTATTTAGTTTAAATAGTTTTTTAATTAGTTGTGTGTCGCTTGGTACCGACCTTATTTGGTTTTCTCTTGATGGCGCACTGTGGCATATCCAACGTGTCCTTGGCTCGAGTTTCTTCGGGTGGGTTTTGCACTATGGCTGTTGGACAAAGTACATTTCAGTGCTAAGCAACTACGAAATTATATAAATGAAATAAACACTTTTAATTCTTTTAAACCGTCCATTGTACCGTGTATGTGAGACCCTTTATTATAATTAGGTTCGAATTCTGTACTCGAAATATTTCGAAACACTAATTTTAAGTTAACAATGGTCCTACATAGGTATTTTAACTTATTGTGATGTTAAGTATATTGAATTACATGTAAGTGATCTGTTGATGTACCATAATAAATAAATAAATATTTACCGATAAATTTACATTTCCGCAACAGTTCGAGATGCGTCCAGAACAGGTCGCCGGGGTCTGATGGAACTTTCTCTCTGACGAAACAAAAACAAAGCAATGTTACGTTATCAATTATGTTCATGTAGAGTACTGTCTGTTGTTTACGCGAGTAGTACACGTTAAATAAAACACGTAAACGTATTGCAGTCACCGCGTCACCAAGGCAGCTGCAAAGCATCCGAAACGTCGGGCCGTAGTTAAAATAATTTTCGAATAAGCTTAACTAATTTGTATCTTCTATAATATATATCGTATAATAATATTTTTACGTCCAAATAATCGACAATATGTGACGTACTTGAACTCCTGGTGCGTCATGGAGCACAGGTCCCGTCCGCTAATGTTCCAGGCAGACAGCTTCACCCCGGCCAAGTTGAACTGCCTCACCGCCCACTGAATCCACAGCTTTACGTGCTGCACAGACCTGCAGATATTACCATCTCTTTTTAGATTACATGAGAATAAAATTTCAAAGAATAAGAAGTAAATTCCAAGAGCTGACCAGTCCTGGGGGTCTTCCGGTATCCGAGCCTTGGCGTGCTCCGAACGAAAGTGGTCGTCCACCAACCATTTGACGGCCACCGCGCCGCCCTCTTCCCCTTCGCCCTCCATGGCCACTTCGGCATCACCTTCAGTTACCGTCTCGCATTCCTTCTCTTCTGTCTCCGCTTCGTCTAACGCCGTCTCGACCACCTGGATCGGTTCTACGTCCACTGGAATCGAAGAAAAAAAGAAGTAGATGAGTTCCTTAATACTGATATTTTGATGCTCATAAAACATACATAAAATCATAAAAATCCCTTTTCGTAAAGAACACTTCACAAAAAATACTGTTACTAACAGTCGTCGTTCGGCGAAGCCAATGGCAGCACCTCGTCGTCCGGCTTGAGCACGTCCACAATGTTGATCTTGCGCTGCGCAGGGCGAATCTGGATGTTCACTTGCACCACGCCCGACCCACGGATGCATTGCTCGACTAGAGTTTTGTGGCATTCCAGCTTATAATTAAGAAAATATAACTACATTTAGACTTATCAGTATCTGGTTCCGTGGTGTAGTGGTTATCACATCTGCTTTACACGCAGAAGGCCGCCAGTTCGATCCTGGCCGGAATCATAACTTTTTATTTTTTAAAGACTTATTTTAATATGCGTATAAAAAACATGTTTTGTTATTTCCTATAAGTATTTGATAACAAATCAGTCCTATATTTTTTCCACACATCTAAAAATATAAAAAATAAATATTGAATAATTAAAAAATTATATAATAGAAAGTCATTTGTACATTTTGTATTTGAAAAAAAATATATTTCAATTATATAACAAACAGATTCTCACCATTTTAGCATCTTGCAGCCAGAAAGTGTAATCGGACAAGCTGGTATTCAGCCGTTTTTCCAGCATTACCTTCAGTTGTGATAACCTTGTTCTTATATCCATTATTTGAATTATTTCATCTGTAATAAAAGTTATAGAAAATTTTAAGTACCTATATTTTTAAGTAGCCCCATATTAAATTATTATAACTTGCAAAGACAACCAGAAAACAAATCAAATCCACTATAAGGAAATCATATGCAATACATAATAATACTGTATAAATAAAGACCTACTAAAATACATTATGATAAGTGTTTATAAAGCAAAATTATAAGGCTTTACCATGAGAATCAGTGTTTTGAAGAGTATCTTCTTCATCTGGAGCATTTGAAAACACAGCCAAAGGTGGTCCCAAAATCTCCCCGCTTGCCTGCATTAGACCTTTAATTTGCAAATGAGGTATACTTTGTTTAGTAAAAAGAAAGAAACTTTAATTTTAGGAAGGATTGCTGTAGAACATTAGGGTAGGATTTTTAAAAAACCTTTATTCTTACCCTCAGATACCTACCTACATGATACAATGACCATTTGATCAGTTCTCTAAAATCAGTGGTTAGGAAAGATTATATCGTTCAAAACTACTGACTGATCGAATGTTTTAATCGTTCACACATATAAAAAATATCTATAAAAGATAATAATATTAAGTACAGAATAACTCTACTCTTATCAATGAAAGCAGAAGCTGTAAGGAAAAACGTTTTATACCTAAATCAGATTCTGTAACATATTGAGGAATTATAGATAAGGTATCGCCGTCCTCGACAGTTTCATCATCGACGAAAGTATTTCCATTTGTTTCCATTTTAATAGTCCGTTCATTTAATAAATCATTTAAGTCCGACACCTCCATTTTTAACATCGACGAAGTATCGTACAAAGACTCAACATGGAAACGAGACACAATTTGAAACTTTTACGCAAACTTTATCAATTATTTATTTGAAAAATTATAGGAAAAGGAAATTGAAAGGCCACTTCCGCGTGCGATAAACGGGAAAAGGAAACTATAAAATGTCAATTGTGTCGACTATCAGTGACGGTAAGTGTCATTTTTAACAGATTCATAATTTCCATAGATTAAATCTTTGTAACGGTGGTTTATAAATATTGTTATATCAAAATTGAAATTTTGGTCAAAGAATTAATAAAAATAAAATTATAAAAAGTAACCACATCAAATGAATTATTATATAATCATATCTTTCATATTGAAATTGTCGGATATCGATGTCAATCTGTCAGGAGTCAACACTCATCTGACGACCGCTTTTTAAAATCAAAATCGACATTCGACCGTGGCTCGTACACATTTCCAGTTTCTACATTCGTCGCGTTTTGATTTAAAATTCTAAATTAAGTATTTCTTTAGTGAAAAACTCTAAATAAATATCTTTTTATGGAAAATGATAAGTTCAATCATTTAAAAAATCCTCTGTGATTATTGACTTTTTCGTAGTGTGTCTCAATTTTGTTGACGAAGATCTTTTGTCCAAAAAAAAAATGGATGGAACTGTGGTCCTGATTCTTTTAGCTTTAGTGATGTTAATTGGATCCTATGTTGCTGGGAGCATACCGCTCAATGTCTCTATGTCAGAGGTAATAGTTAACATTTAAGAATACTAATAAATTATTCAATTTTTATCCACAGCTGTTTCCTAAACACAGTATGTTTTGCAATTGCAACTGTTGCAGAAATAATTGCTTAATGACCGTAATATTTCTGAAAACAATGTTGTAAAACCAATGTTAATAGCTACTAATTTTATTAACTCATATTAAGTATATATTATACATATATAACCCTTATAAGAGTTTTTCTTTTTACATTTTAATTTAATACTTTCTAAATCATGTTCATGTTGTTGTTGACCTCATATTTTGAAATGTATCTTGCTTTTAAATTGAATGTACGGGTTGTAAGGGTTACTTGTTAATATTCTCATTTCTACAGAATACTATGTTTTAATGTAAAAATGTTATACAGATAGATTCACTTCAGTGGTTATTTCCTTCAGATGGGCATAAAGTGAAGGATTTGATTTACATAAAAAAACAATCACAATAAATGTTCAATCTTTTACAGATTTATAATTATTATATATCTTATTTAAGTACAATTGATTTTAATAACTACTTGTTTTGTGTTAATGTTACTGTTTATGTTAATTAATTGAGTACTGGCAGGCAAAAACTTAAATATAGCTATTTATGTATAAATTGTGTCAAAGACATAGATAAGAATTCAAGTAAGTCAGTCTATTTTCTCTCTATAAATATACTTGTAAAAATGCTTATGCCATACTGTTGATATATATATATATATAGTTGGAGATTACCTTTGCTATAAACTATGTGCCAGTATACAATTTATTGACTGTTATTGCGATTAAAAAGATAACATTTGCTTGAACACTGGCCATCAATGTCCATTCACGTACCGGATTAGGATATTTAAAAAGTATTATCATAAATACGTGAGATTATTTCGTTGATAAATCCATCTGCTCTGCTACCTTTGTAGAAGAGGAATAATTGTCTGTTTTATGTCCTAGAATACATAGAGTATACAGTATTTAATAATATAATATACATTTTCTTATGATGCTATTAATTCCATGTTTCATCAGGAGAAACTTCTGAAAGTGACCGTGTTTGGTGCTGGTCTCCTAGTGGGTACAGCACTCGCCGTCATCATACCCGAGGGTGTGCGATCTCTGTTCGCGGAACAAACAGTCGTCACAAAGGACTACACGCCCGAACCTGCCACTAAGAGCGACTTGCATTCGGTTATCGGAATATCGCTTGTTCTAGGTAAGTGTGTCGCTTTCTTAAGGTATTCCGAAAGTTTTACAAAAATTGTAGTTGCAAGTTATTTATATGAGATTATATGGAGCTGAAAGTAATGGCCGCGTTTTGGACATAACAATAGCGCGTATACCGAAAACGGCCCTTACAAGCTTATCATATACTAGCTGTGCCAGCGACTTTGTCGACGAGAATGGTTATTTTGGGCATCCAAATTAGGTTTTTCCAAACCCCGTCAACTTTATAAACTTAAGCTGTTAGGCACGAAGTTCTCGCAAGTTAATCTTAAAAGATAGACATACAGCGTCGCGGACTTTTTTTTTGACCATTTAAAGAGGAATAATTCTTTTATACACATTTTTAGTTGTCTTGAACGGAATGAAATGATGATGATGAATGATTCCCCCGTTGTTCACTTTTCACGCTGTATCTTCGCTTCTATTAGTCACAGCTCAATGTTTTATACTCTTCCTCGATAAATGTTCTTATCTAAAATAATGTTTCAATTTGAACCCGTAGTTCCTGAGATTAGCGCGTTCAAACAAACAAACTCTTCAGCTTTATATACTTATTAGTATAGATATTTTTTTCACCTTGAAATAGAAATAACTCAATACGTGTTAATTATGTATGTTCACTTTAAACTCGTATTAATTTAATCATAGTGCAGTAGTGTTTTAGTTTAGAGATAGGGATGTCGGTCGTTGTATTAATTAAAATATTTTGTTTTAATTCAGTCTTATTTAGACTAAAATATTACAAATTTAAATTATTTGAACTTTTTTTTTACATGGTATTGCACATGAAGGCACTATATAATTTAAAAATCCAATTGAGCTACCGAGTCAGAGCAACAGCACGGAACGCTGACGATGCCGGTTCAAGTCCTGCCCGAGTCGAAATTTTTTTCAATTTATTTTCGATTTTAAAATTTTAATTATATTAAACTCATTGTTTAATCATAAGTCCGATTTCGATATATGCGCTAGCGCCCCGGTTGCAAGCGTAGACTAATATCAAAATAATTGAATTTGAGTAAAATGTGTCAATGTGAGGATCTGTCGCACTTAGAAGAGTAATAATGACGCTTCTAGGTTTCATATTCATGCTCCTGGTGGACCAGCTGTCGTCGAGGTATAACGGCTCTTCGAACCCAGTCGAGAAGAACGTCACGGCCACCGTCGGTCTTGTGGTGCACGCTGCTGGTAAGTGCTTTGTACAATTGCGCTTAACATGGAAGTAGCACAAAGTTTTTTTTGGGGTTCCGTAGCCAAACTGTAACCAGGCCATATCTCAGCGTAAAAGCTAAACAGTTTTTTTTTAGAAATTATGTATTATATGAATAAGTGGTAATAAATAGTAGTAAGCATGCGCATGTATGAAAGTATGAGTTCATATATCTTACTTTCCCTTATAAGTAAGCGTAATAATATCATAAACAATAGTTCAAATTGCTTTAAATGATTGCGCAATCTTTTCTAGTGCCCTGTAAAAACTCAACGCTAGGAGTAGCCTCACATCCCGTCCGTCCCAGGGCAATAAATAATCGATAGACGGAACCGTTGATTTCGCAGGCGCGTATCGTCCCAGACAAAGGTTCATCCCCAAACAATGAATTCTATACACGTCAACAGGTATTAACACTGATTCAAAGGGAAATAGTTTAATTGAAGAAACGGCTTAACGGTCAATAAACTTTTATTACTTTTAATTAACTAACTAAATTTGGATAATATGTTTTGATAGAACAAAACGAGGCATGTGAGGTATTATTGTTATAATATTAACATATTTAATTGTGGTACAAATCAAATCAGACAGATCTACTAAGGCAGGGTTTCCCAAACTATAGGTCGCGACCCACTGGTGGGTCGCGAGCAAATATTGAGTGGGCCCTAGATGACTAGATGAGTCTACAGACGTGCAAGGCCTATCTCAATTAATTGTTTTTGTGCGTTATATATGGCAAGAAGACGTGCATGAAGACATTTTGTTTTGCAAGCCAATTACTCGTGGAACAGCTGAGGTAATTTTCAACGTAATTGATTCCCATATAAAAGGAAAAGGTATACAGTGGAAGAACTGCGTCGGTATATGTACTGACGGTGCGCGGGCAATGTGCGGGAAAAATAGCAGCGTGGTTACAAAAATTCTTGAACAAAGTCTCTATGCTTCGTGGACACACTGTAGCCTTCATAGACCTTCATCACTGGTTTCCAAAGCATTGCCTGATGATTTCAAAACTGTTCTAAATACAGCCGTTAAAATTGTTAATTATATTAAAACAAGACCCTTGCAAGCTCGCTTATTTCAAAAGCTGTGTGAAGAAATGGGTAGTCTTCATACATCTCTCCTGTTGCATACGGAAGTTCGTTGGTTATCCAGGGGAAAAGTACTGACACGATTAGTGGAATTACGCCACGAAGTTCTAATTTACTTGGAAGGAAAAGGTGAATATACTAAACATCTAATGGACGAAGAATTTATTCTCAAGCTCACATATCTAGCACATATTTTTTCGAAGTTAAATGAACTCAATTTGTATTTGCAAGGTTCAAACGGGTCAGAAATTTTTGCGGTTCACGATAAAATTCGGGCGTTTATGAAAAAACTTTTGCTGTGGAAGAGTTGTATTGAGGATGGGAAGTACGATTGTTTTGAAACACTTGAAACGTTTATTGTTGAAAACCAAGTGCAGCCAAAGATGAACGTAGTATTTGCAATCTCTGCCCATTTATCATTGTTAAAAAACAACTATGACGACTATTTCGGCGAGGTGATGCAAAAGTTCGACTTGTTGAAATGGATTTGTAACCCATTTCAAGACCCCCTACCAACTGGTATGTCAACAAAAGCAAGTGAAGAGCTAATTGATTTATCAGAAGATTCGTCACAAAAAAATAGTTTCAATCGTAAGCCATTAACGAAATTCTGGCTCTGCTGGTAGTTATCCATGCCTGTTTGATGAAGCTATGAAAGTCCTCCTCCCCTTTACTGCCTCATACTTATGTGAGGCTGGGTTTTCGAATATGGTGAACATTAAAACTAAATACCGAAATATATTGGGCTTATCAAACTCACTGCGATTAAAAGTAACAAAAGTTGAAGTAGTTGTCAAAACTGTAATGGCAAAACATAGGAAACAATTTCATCCTTCGCATTAAATTTATATAATTAAGTAATAAAAGATTGTATTAAAATAGTTTGTTATTTCAAAAGTCCTTTATTCATATTGCTAATGCTTAAATTTCCTACAGGTGGGTCCCGAGTTTGTAAACTTATTTCATATGAGTCGTAGCCCAGTCAACTTTGGGAACCCCTGTACTAAGGAATTAGCCGTAGGTACCCGAACAAAACTGCGCGTAGATGCGTGAAATACTTCAGTAGATCGAGGGATGAAGTCAGACGGATAGAAAAATTTAACTCTCAATAGTTATGATATATACTATTTCCAAATATATTATTAAAAAATCAGAGTACCCCTGTGACCACGACTGTTGTACAGCAAATGAAACGTCAGGTCGTTTCATTAAAAAGACAAGCATAGAGTTGCTCGACGGAAGGTGATATACCCCAGCCATATGAACAAGAGACGATGTCGTCCTATTTTTTTTGTGATTTATCATTTAGAAATGTTTTCATAATTTCCAGCGGACGGGATAGCGCTAGGTGCCGCGGCGACCACGTCCCACGCCGACGTGGAGCTGATCGTGTTCCTGGCCATCATGCTACACAAGGCGCCCGCCGCCTTCGGCCTCGTTACCTTCCTCCTGCACGCCGGGCTCGAGAGGTCGGTTTTCAATTTCAGAAGTACAGCAGTCATTGACAAAGACGATTTAATCGTAGTACTAGCCATGTGCCAATAAAACATTCCCATAAGAACGGTTCTTGTGAGTTAATCTAAAGATAGACAGTGTATGTCACAGATATGATGAATAATGTCCCCCGTTCGTTCCACATTTCCCGCTGTTTCCTCGCACTTACTAGTCACATCGTGATATTTTGTAGCGTAAAGCCTTCCTACATAAGTACTTCAATCAACACAACAAAAAATTAGTTGTAGTTCCTGTAATTAGAGCACTCAAAACAAACTGAAGAGCTTTATAATATTAGTATAGATCGACGAAAGTACATCCCAACATACATTCTTGTCCTTATCTGCGTAGCCTTGAACGCAATTTAACAATTGACACTATTAGATCACCTGTATTTGCATAGCTGCGTTTAGAACCTTAGCTCGTAATAGGTGAATATTAACTTTGCAGGAATAGAATTCGCAAACACCTCCTGATATTCTCATGTTCTGCGCCGTTGCTCGCCATACTCACCTACTTCGGGATCGGGAACGAGAGCAAACAGACCCTCACAGACTTCAACGCTACTGGTAAGAGTCTACAATTCCTTAGAGAGTGGATTTATTTTAATATTAAACTCTAAAAGTCAGAAAATGGTGCAGAAATAATTTTTTATTGTGGAAGAGTAAACGTTTAGTTGCGCCTCACCCTATGGTGAGCAATAAGAAACGACTATGAAAATAGTTTAGTTCTAGATTTTGGAACTTCTACAACATAGGGATGGAGGCCCAAGGGATGTCTAATCGAGCGGTGGTAGAAGGGAGTGGAGGTATAAGTTCGTGCCGTTGTTGCGCGCATTTATAAGCTACCCTTTAATTTGTTTGCGATTTTCAGGCATCGCCATGCTGTTCTCGGCCGGGACGTTCCTCTACGTGGCCACGGTGCACGTTCTGCCCGAGATAACGAACCCTCACCCGACGCACACGCTGCTGCCCCTCCAGGAGGGTTTGCCCCCCCAAGCGGGGATTCTCGGGTCTTCAAGTGGTGGACGTGGTGATCCTAGCCTTCGGGGCCCTGCTCCCGGTGGTACTGACCATGGGCCACGAACATTGATATTTGCCTTACTTGTATAGGGTCTCGAAGATGCTATACAGGACTGTTCTGCTCTTGGTGTGTTTCAATCTCTATTTGCGTTTCTGTATATTTCTGCTGCAGCGTGACCGGGCGAGGGGGAGGAAGAGGAATTAAATGGTCATATGCAACGGTTGCGTCTCCTTAAGCATAGTGTACTTGTTATAATGACCAAGAAATGTGCTCTAAATTTAAGTTTAGCAGGCACCATCAGCCCGGCTGCGAGTCCTAGAATTCCTAGAAGACGTCGACTCGCGTCGTTCATTCTTGGACTTAACAATTTAACTGATGTATTTTTTACTTTGAAATTGACAAGAGGCTACTTTTTACACCATGTAGTCCTTACTTACTGTGGAGATCTTCTTAAATAATTAAATTAATTCAATTTTAGTCAACAATATTGTAAGTAAAATCGTTTACTCAATTGTATTGTATATTGCAACAATGGAGAGAAATGTCGGGACTTCTCGAATTTGTTATAGTTGTTAAGATGAGAATGGTGAGGCCCTTTTTATATTCCTCTTCGTACGCTTAACCTCTAATGTGTATCAAGACTGTTGATGAATTTTTTAATGAAAATATCTCAATAAGAGCCTATTAAGTGTAACAAGAGTCAAGCAAAGACTTCTTGTCGTTATAGTTGTAGTATAGGACTGTTTATTGTACCGTTTAAAATGTCAAAGTTAAATTTCCAAATTAGCACACTTTTTTACTAATATGTATAGTAAGCACAAAATTTCTGTAAATATTATCTAAATCAATGTTAAATGGCTGTACGATGAAATATGGTAATCAGTATTACATTCGATGTGCAACAACATTTTTTGTATATACAAATCAGATTTTATATTGTGTAAATATTTTTATTGTTTTGAACAAACAAACGGACAAATGCCCAATATTTTTTTAGTTTAGCCTAAAACTGGCTATTTTGCAACCGGTTTATTTTATTCACAATTTTGTAAACTGAATTTGAGGCATTTATTTTGTGTAGACTTTGGCCTTGCGCCAACCGGACATTCGAGTTATATGTCTGGTTATTTTGTTGTGAATAGTGGAAATTAAGTATCGCCCTGCACGTAATTTGTATACTTATTTATTTTGTTTTACAGCTGTATATATATATTTATATATGTTGTTTTTGTCGAATGTAGTTTAATTGTATAGAAGTAAGGAAAGTATAAAATATTCCGCATTTCCATGTTGTTAAATTCTGATTTACAATATTCTTTCTCTCGTGTTATTAATATTTGCTCAAATTAAGTATTATTGGTGTTTTCATGTATTTAAATTTTAAGGTGTCGCACGTACGACAATATTTAATGGTCTGTCTATCAAACATAATGTGCACTTTGTTTTTTAGTGTAACTTTTGATATCGGTTCCCATTTTGGAAAATAACTAAATGTTGTTTGGAAAATAACACATATGTGCCCTGAGAGAGATTATAAAGAACAGAAACGAATTTTATTTTATTTTATTTTGTATGAGTGCATTTATATTGTCGCGTATGCGTTCGCTCTAAATGTCTAAAGCAATAGGCCTAATAGTGATTTTGATAATTCCTGTTGTAGTTATAAACTATAATTACGAAACACGTCTTTCCTTTAATCTTCGCCAACCTGTGGATCGCAGCCTGCACTAGTATATTAAATATTTATTTATTTATTTATTTACAACAATTAAAACGGCAGTACCCAGTTACATTAATTGGAGACACATACTTAAACAATAACAATTAAAAATAGGTTATTACAAATTACATAAGAAGATCATTTCAAAGGCAGACAATTCTTTTAGTATTGTTGACCAATCATCTGCGAAGAGGTCACATTTGGGTCTTAACTTGAGGAGAGCGTTGAGTGAGGTCAAAATTCGCGGTATCGGCGAAAACTCACGGGCGGAGGTGCGACCTTTTGGGACGTCAAACAAATCGTGTCTCCTAGCGCGGCCATAGTTGTCCAGAACAAACAGTCGACAAAAAGCTTCCCTCAAATAAGGATCGTCGATTTGGTTTCGAAACAACTTACAGGCTATAGTTAATTGGCCACGAGATCTGCGACTTTCCAAAGAATTAAAACCAAGCTGTCCTAATAAAAACAAAGTCGGATACAAGTAGGGATAAAAACCGTATTGGTGTTTGTAAAGGAATCGCAGGAAGGCTTTTTGGATTTTTTCGAACATGAGTACATATTTTTTCTCATAAGGGTTCCACACGGACGAACTCGATTCAATCTTGCTGCGGACAATAGACATATATACAAGGCATATCGCATGCCTATTGCGAAAGTCGCGAACATTGCGCAGAACAAATCCAAGGCGTCGAAATGATTCCTTGGTTAGTTCGACTATATGATCGTGAAACGTTAACTTGCAATCAAATGTAACGCCCAAATCGTTTATAAGGGATTTCCTTGTTATCGCTGAACCATTAATTTGATATTCGTATATATATGGATGAAGTCTTCGACCGAAAGTCATCGCTTGACATTTTGATGAATTAAAAATTAGCTTATTATCTAGACTCCACCGTTCAATGGCTTTAATATCCTTTTGAATAGCAAGGCAGTCATCATACGTTTTAACTTCAGCAAAAAGTTTTAAATCGTCTGCATACAGAAGACACTTTGTATTCACCAAAACTGATGGGAGATCATTTACCATGATAAGAAATAACAAAGGACCTAGTATAGACCCCTGACTCACTCCTGATCGTGTGAAATAAGGTTTGGAATCATATAACCCAAGTCTGACAAATTGCTGGCGATCACGAAGGTAATTCGAAAAAAACTTGAGAAGACTTGGGCCAAAACCAATAGCACCAAGCTTGGCAAGAAGTATATCGTTATTGACACGATCAAATGCTTTTTGTAGATCAAAATATAGTACGTCAACTTGAAGGCCCTTATCTAACGTAACCGAGATAAAATCCACAAGAGTCAAAAGGTTTGTGTCGACAGACCTTTTTCTTCTAAAGCCATGTTGTTCATCACACAGATACTTACTGACCTGTGCGTATATATATTTATGCACGATGCCCTCGAAGATTTTGGCTGGCGACGATGAAATAGCAACAGGTCGGTATTCCTCTACAAGTGTTTTCTTGGAGCTTTTAGGAATAGGTGTAACTCTTGTAAGTTTCCATCTTGCGGGATATTCTCCAGCTATCAAAGAAAGATTAAATATGTGATGCAGTGGAGTGGCGAAGATTTCTCTATACATTTTAATAAAATCAGCCGGAATATTATCGGGCCCAATAGAGCTGTTAGACTTTAATTTCTTAATACCGGATATAACATCGTTAAAGGTGAATTCGACAATATCAATTGTATCATTGAAGCACGTACCACTGCTGTTATAACAATTCTTAAAATCCAAAAGAGGTGTATCTGATGAGAATACATTTCCGAAGAAAGAAGCAAATGCATCCGCCGCCTCTCGTCCCGAGTAAATCGAATCGCCATACGAAACCTGTGGTTCGAAACCCCCCTTAGAACGTAAGCTTGAGATATGCAACCAAAACTTCTTCGGATTAATTTTTACGTCCTTTTCAATTGTTCTTATATGATTAGTGTATGCAAATTCAATACGACTCTTTAACTCTGACCGACGTTGAGAAAAAGCAAGGTAAGCTTCATTTGTTTTTAGGCATTTCCACGCCTTGTGCAGTTTAACTTTCAGTTTTAAGTATTTGATAATATCGTTTGTAAACCACACAGGATAACGACGACACTTGGATCTACGATGCTTTTTGGGCACACAAAGGTCAAAAATGCCGTAAAGCGTAGTGTTAAAATGTTCGCATGCTTTCTCAACGTCATGCGCTCGTAGTACATTAGTCCAAGAAGTTTGACTGAGGACACGTTGTAACTGTTGAAAGTCACATTTTCTAAAGTTCCAATCTTTCACAGGATCTATATTACTAGGCGCAATGGAATCAGATTTACTTACGGAGCTGAACACTATCTCTATATCTAACGGAGGGTGATACAAATCTGGCGGAACCAGACCAGCCGTACCGATAACGGTTATTCCTCGCACCTCATCGTTCTCCCGTATAAGAACAACATCCAAAAACCCACCATGATAGTTAGGTACAGTATTATATTCTAAAACGTTACAAAAAGACAAAAAATAACAATAATAGTTTTTTATATTCAATGACGCGCTATTTAAATTCAAGTCACCAAGAATGATAATAGTAAATGCTTTGAGATTATTGATAAAACTCTCTACTTTACAGAACCATGTCATATATTCACTATCGCCGGAAGACGGCTTTATATATACTACGCAAATAAAAATTGTTCGGCCAAGCCATACAAAACTAGCCCAAAGATCCTCGCCTGTGTCGGTCTGAAGCTCTTTGCGGTGATTCAAAGTAATAGGCATACGAGCAGCGATAAGAACGCCGCCGCACAGAGTTTTTCTGTCGCGACGTAAGATATTCCAATCTACATAGTTCAGTTCCTGGTCTTCGACAGAACTGTCCAAGAAGCTCTCAGTAACTACTATCAAATGGTTGTCAAGCACGGCAAGACTATTTCGCCAACTATTAAGCTTGGTCTTTAAGCCGCGTACATTTTGATATAAAATATCCAAGGACTTAGGTTTCCTGATTAGCCGCGACACGAAAGGGCTGATCAGATTGGGCAGAACCCGCAGTAGTTGGCTTTCTACGGCGAACACTCCAAATTTTAATTTTAGAATTTTCAGGCCAAACTTCAGCAGACAAACACACATTTAGACAGGCGGTAGGTATACCTATTTTATATGATTTGTCCCTCTCGACTTAAGTTGCTCTACAGTACAATTTTTCCCTGGACACAACTGTTGAAGATATTCGTGTACTTCGTCAACATTCGACTCCATATTCCAAAGATGCAAATATTTTCGTGATTCAACCGCTCTAAGAAAGGTAACATTAGGTCCTGCGGTGCCCTGGAGTAGTGGGGGGTGTCGAGATTTAATTTGCTGGTTAGAGACAGCTGTCGCCGGGTGCGTGGCCAGTCCGGGACTAGGCCCTTGAGGTGACCGCTTTTGCCGCATTTTCTTATTTTTGGTCTTCTTAGAGGGCGTTGATGTTGTAATTGTAATACTCGGAGCAGGCACTGAGAGTTGCGAGCAAGGAATAGCTGCTTTTTTATGTATGTAAATATGTATTGTAGATGTATGTTATTATATTTCCCTATTACTTTGCGCATATGCAACATTTATTTCCTACAAAAAAAAACACGCTCCTAGAGCTGCTCGTTTGTGGTTGTCTCTTTGAGACTGTACTATAGATGAAAGTTTTTACAATCGTCATCGTGCTATACATAAATGCCGTGACTCCTAACTCTTTTATTAATGTGTTCTATAATGAAACTTCTAGTCTCGCGTTAGCCTCGAACGCGAGCAGACGTCTACTAGTGCCGTTTTGTGATACGAATCCTTTTGGCTGCGACTCAATCGGGGCTCGATCTTTTGAAGCGAGATGAGGAAGTTTTTATATTGCATATTTCATTACTAATAAAATATAGTTAATGGTGCTTCCGCCAAGACGATCTTATAAAAGCGGGTAGTCGCTATGAAACAAAACGTAACTTGTTGACACCTCTTTATTTCAGTAATCATAAAAATGCTACCTAAACCTCAATAATGGACGGAATATGATTACATAATACTTAAATAATCTCATGTAATTACGGGGGTGTATATAAAATTTAAGAAATGCTACATCGCTTTTTTGCGTCTACCTACATTTCTATCAATAATTCACTTCGGTTTGAGCACACTTTGTAGGGCTGGCAATGTATAGTTCTTAGTCTTAAAGGTAATTTGGGCATTAGCTTATCCTAAAATACATGTTAGAACTTAAATAATATATCAACCCAACACTAACCAACTAATAAAGTTTAAAATACAATATCCTAAATATAGTACGACGCACAACGTGGCGAGTTTCAGGCATTGGTGCAGGAAGTATAATCTGAAACAAAGTATGGATTTAATAAACTTTTAAACAAAATCTCAAAACTGTAAACTGTTTAGGTAATAGGTAATTATTTAAGATTTTTAAACGTTTAGGTATTTTTAAATTTTTGTAATCTGTAACCAACCTGTTCCATTTTTTCCTCGCTTCGGGTAACGTTGAGAGGTCATCTTTGACTAAATATACACGTAGACCTGAAATTCAGTTAATATAGTTGTCAACTTTCTACGCACAATAAAAATGTTAATCAAAAATAGGCAACTACCCTCCACAACTACTACCTCGGTGATTTAGCAATTAGTAAATTCACTTGACTATATATTACGTAGGTAGATTGAAGAAGAGTCTGACGAAATATTAGCTCGGTATTTTGAGGAATTCTCTTGTGGGAGGTAGAAGTATTTCACCTTTTATCGAGTGAACGCATAAACTACGTAATTTGGCATTGAAAGAAACAACGCACCCAATAGGAAAGTCTCGGCCATGTACTCCCAGGACATCTCCGCCATGTTGAAGGGGAAGACGGTCTGGTCGCTCTCCGGCAACGAGCGCCACATTTCCCTCACATTGTCGTCCGTGAAGCGCCAGTCTTGTGTTGAGAAGTAGAAGAGGATGTTCGCTAGTTTGCTCACTTTCGAGTAGAATTTCAGCATACTACAACCAAAGTGACATGTTGTTGTTACAAATAACCCGTTTAACGAACGATAATACATTCCTTTGAAAAACGGCCGGAGCTAGTACGAACTGGGCGTTATAAAGTCAGATATCGAATGTCGGTAGGAGCGAAACGTTTGCACAATTTTAATACAAGACTTCATACTGCTAGGATGTTCTTTAGTGCATCTGCTAAATATTATTATTTTTGGTGACAAAATTTGTTTTTGCAAACTATGTCGTCGGGTTTATTGTCTATTATCGGTATATTGTCGTTATAATTTATAAAGATATTTGCCATTATTTCTTTACTCCTATTGATCGTGCACGATAAAACCATCCTCGATAAATGTTTCGATTCGAACCAGTACTTCCTGGGATTAGCGCGTTCAAACAAACAAACTCTTCAGTTTTATAAAATCAGTAAAGAATTGTCCTCTTTCTACTAACTTCCGTTTCCTGCCCGTTAGCGCGCAGAAGCTGTCGATCAACAAAGCCGGCAAGTAGTGCAAGAAGAAGTTGTAGAACAGGAACATGTAGTAGCTCTTGGTAGGGTTTAATCCATAATACCTGAAAAGGTTAATAATAATAATAATTTTTCAGACCATAATTCCATTTCTTAAAATTAATTAATTCTAATGTGCGTCAGTTGGGTTAGTAACAATTTTTAACTTAAAATGTATAGTAGAATGTGTTAGTCACTAAAATTCAGTAGACAGAATGAAATATACAGAGTAGGTGCTAGGCGCTAAGGGGGAGCATGGACGTCACTCTATCGTTTTAGCAGCACCGTATACTTTTCACACAATGCCCCCAGAATGCCATTGGCGCTTTGTCCAACTCGATACATGAGGGAAGCTACACGCTTGCGGATGATGGCGTGGAAACCATCCGTGCGTGCATCCGCAAACATGCCCGACGCACTACAGTATCTTGGCAAGCCCAATAACAACCTGAAAACATTGATGTATTGCACACGAATAGCATTTAAAGCTCGCTGAGTAAAGGAGGCCCATAAGCTACACGAGTAGAATGATTGGCAATAAGCCTTAAATAAGACGATTTTGACATCGGTTAAAGATTAATTTTTAATCTTTAACCGATAAAATAAGGTCCATTGCCACATAGAAAGATTAAACGTCGTAACGTAGATAAATGACTAAACTTTCTAATCTTTAGCATCTAAGCTGGATTGAGGGAAATATGAGTATGTGTATATGTAATCGTGTTAAATTGTGACTATGATTATAACGTATTTACCAAACCGCCTTCATTGTGGGTTTGGTGGTGCCGTGTCGTCGGTTGGACTCGATAAACTCCCCCCACGTTACCGGAGATTGCGCCCCCGACACGTAGTTGTAGATGGGGATATCGGACGTTTGGCTGGAACGAATTAATTAACCTTAAAGTATTTATTTGTTCTTAAGCCTCGGTTTCGTATTATTCACGACAAGCCGTGCTCGCGACTTCGTCCGTGTGGAATAATTATTTTGGGGATGATATTATTTAATTTTGCGAGCAACGTCAACTATAAATTATAGCTGTTACGCACGACATCGTCTGCGTCCCGTCGCATCGTTCTTCTTAGTTAACCTTAAATGACAGACACATTCTGACGCAGACATTTTTTAGATGGTTTAAAAAGGAATAATTAGTTTATAGATGTAACGCAACGGAAACTGTCAAACATAAATCATTTCCCCGCTCTTTGTCGCAGCGTGATATTTTATAATCTAAAACCTTCCTCGATAAATGCAATGATAATAACTAACACAAAATTTTTCGAATCAAACTAATAGCTCCAGTGAACGCGATGTTCAAAGAAACAAGCTCTTCTGCTATATATTTGACTACAGAAAAGTCTAGGCAAATCGCTTAAAATTTAGGTCGGTACTTACTTTTCCTTAAAGTTCTTAGCGGTGTGGTAGGTCGAGGCGATGATGGCGTTGACGGTGAGGTCGACTGGCACCATGTCCGCCACTTTGTCCAAGTCCATATACATTGTTCTTAAAACCTTAAGATTATGCAACAGTTATAGGCAAGGAGCACTTTCGTAGCGTAAATTATATTTTGAAAGTCAGACCTTGAAATTATTAATAATTAGTTATTAATTGAAAAAAATTACGACACGGGCAGGACTTGAGCCGGCATCCACGACATTCCGTGTGGTTGCTCTAACCACTTGTGCTACTGTGGTCTACACGTCATGGTCGATTTTTATAGATAGTATACAAAGTTGAAGACATACCCCCGTCCCAATACCGACGACGAGTCCCGTCGGTCCATATACACTGTCCGTCCACCCTCTTACTGGTTCATCGTACGTTGAGATCACTGAAATGGTTTATGGTTTCAAATATTTTTTGGTTAACTACATTATCTCATTTTCTTTAAGGAAAATTTTAATTCACGGAGTCATTTAATTACATAGGTGATCTTCTAAAAAAAATTAAGAGATTAAAATTCGAAATAGCCTGTATTTCGAATTTTCTCTCTTAAATTTATTGGATTTTTTTTGTTTTTTGATTATATTATGTTATTTGATTATATTAGTATGTTTGTCACATCTTTTTTGGTTCATAATACATTTATTCGGAAAATAATATATTTGGGGCCAAGACGTCTCCTGATATTATTGCCCTGGATTCTCCAGATCCTTTAGTCTTATCTTGTGCACACGTTATTCGTATTCCTATATACATTCGTACCTATGGAAGGCCTCAGAATGGCCACGGGCATCCCTTCTCCATATTTCCTCACCGCGTCTTCGGCGACCGCCTTCGTGAAGCAGTAGGTGTTGGGCCGGTTGCCTAAAAGTCTGAAACGATGCAAAACATGATACTACTGTTGCTCTTATCACCATTGATTTACAAATCAATTTTTAAATATATACTTTTATCCCATCCAAGTGAGATACTCACGTGGGTAGAATGGAATCGACGACGTCGTCGTCCAGCTGCGCCACTGCCTCTAAAGCCTCCACGGACATCGGCGGCTCGTAGAATCTGATATTATCAAAATTGTTTTTCTTTATTATGCTTATACATAAAATTGCTTATCATCGGAATTTTTTCCATTATCATATCGATTTCCCTTCATACAAGTAGACTCACTTTTCTTCAATATGCCTAACGTGCGTTTGCGAAAAGGCCGTCGACACATGAGTCAACGCCTTCAAATGTTTACATTCCTTCGCCAGTTGGAGCACCGATTTCGTTCCACGCACGTTAATTCCTGCCGCTACTGATAATTTCTCGTCGAACTTTACTGTGGCGGCTGAATTTATTATAATTGTCACCTGAAACAATTGAGTGTCTTGGTATTATTCTTGCAAGTTCATCAATCAATCAAATTTATTTTTTTATTTAAAGGTCGTACAACTACCGGTCGATAGAGGGATAGTTTTATAAAATGTACTATTACTTTTTTTACTAAGGACCAAAAGAATACTTCAAGTTGCAAACGATATATATTTTCCATAGATTACCTTAGAAGTTATCATTTTTCTGTCCTCTGGACTGATACCTAGACCAGGTTTTTCCATGTCTCCCACGATTGGGACCACTTTGTGAATTCCTTTCGGATTTTCATCATGAGCTCGGTGGAAAACCTTAGGAAACGTAGGAGATTTAAAATTGTGTTGAAATACCGTCATTATCAACGTGTCAAAGAGGCGTACTTATATACTCACAAAATCGTCTAACATGTCGTGCATCCTTGTGTGGGGATCTTTACCCTTTTTGGGACGAACGAGAACAAATATCGTGTCCAAATCTCCGCATGATCGAAGCATCTTTTCGATCAAAACTGAAATCAAGTAGATCATTTTTAAATTTAGGCTTTTCATTAATATTAAGCTACCTTTTATGTTTTGTAATTTTTAATGCACTTTAAAACACTTTTATTAGAAGTGCATAAAATACTAAAACTTACAGATACCTACTAGTCAGTTAAACATCATTGAGTTTTCGTCAACAATTTAAACAACAACATTAGCTTTTATGTTAATGGAATCGGAAAAGTGGCTTTATTCTAAAACTATAATCTATCGGAATTAAGCTTCAACTTTTAAGTACCATTCATAATATCCGGTCAGTTTTTATTTAAGTATTCTTTTTCTATTATTATTATCTTTTTACTGAAAGGAATATATTCTTCAGCAGTTAAAATTTCAAGTAAATATATACATACTTATATAAGTATGATGAATAAATGAAGCAAGGCATTGTCGTAGTTGTTGTTGGAACACAATTTTATAACCCTGATTGACAGAAAAGCAGTACATGGGATATTGCGTTAATAAATAAGCAGGCGTTGTCTTTTTGACGACTTGAAAAAACGATGTATGCGCTAGCGGTTGACTAATTTTGACTTGACTTATAAAACTTATACTGTAAAAATAATTAATTTAAAAAAATAATAAACATTATTTTCCTTACTTCAGTTTGCGAACATATTTCATAATACATATTAAATAAAATATTATGCTTTGTATGTACATTTCGTTTAATTATAAATGAATAAATATATGATTTACAACAAAAAACGTAAAAGTTGTTTACGTTTGAGTCGTTTAGACATTATTGACGCACCATCGTCGCCGGTTTAGGCATTAATGACGAACCATTTTAATTTTTTAATTTAATAAGTGTCGAACGCAATAAAAAAAGCTTGGTAATGTTTCTGTTGTATCCAATATTATTCCCTTTAGATACGGTGTTTTTTTTAATAGGTACGTTTGTTTAGCTAACATAAATACTAATGATACATTAAATTATTTAACCCTCCATATTACGATTGGGGGAAATAAGAAATTGGGTGAAATGGTCGGCCGTGTTGTGGCGATCGTTCGGTCTTTAATCAGTATCTTTTATTAACAACAATTCGTCTCATAATAACAACATTGTGATTCGTTTCAGAGTTTCGATTTTATCTTCCTCGTAAATGCCATTATTACGTAATTTTTATTGACGCAGGTGTCGGACATAAAAGACTACTTCAACCGGATAAACGTCCTTTTGGTTCAAATTATTATTTTTATCGGACGCTAAACGAGTTATGTGCTTGTCCTTTGTAGAATTTTAGATCTAATTTTTTTGAAAATTGATTTAAACATTAAATCAACTTGTTAAAAACCTATAACTTTTTTCTTTCATCTGTACTTTACTAATGCTAGTCTTAACACTTAGTAAGATATAATATCAATTAAGATGATCGTAGTCTAGGGCTAGAATGAAGCATATAAGTTGTATCACATGTTATTTCCGTGGTAAAAATGTGATAACATGTTTTAAACGGCTTAAAATAACATTGTAAGTCTTCAGTTGTGTTTTAAAAGCAAGCAATAACATTAATTAACTACTCCCTATTCTTGTGGGGAGTTAAAAGGATTTTATTGTGTTAACTTTAGAACTCTACATTAATACGACTACTAAGTGAATTTTTGTTGTTTGCAAAATTTGTCAATAGATGTCACCTGTGTATGTTTTGAGTAGAATCAGAATAATGGGGCGCCAAAGTCAAACAAAAAGTTTTTCAAAAATGTAACTAGATGACGTTACTTGTACAAATTAGAATTATGAAAACTCCAAAATATATATTTTTATAACGTATTATAAATTCTTATTTTGTATATTTAATTTTAGTTACATATGATATTATTATCTTCGTCAGTATATCGATGTTTAATTTAAAATAAAGTAACAAGGTCAATTACTACCATCTAGAAATAAATTTATATCATTTCTAAGAGAGGGCGCAAAAATAAAACAGAGTTTACACAAGACATACCTTGTTTATACTTACTGGGTACACAATTGCAGTTAAAATAATATATTATGCCTATTTGAAAAACGTTTTATCCGCAATCTTCTCATCAACCTATATTTGTTTAATTTTTTATGAAGCGAAAATTGGTTATATTGAACAGCCTTTTTTTTAACTGATGGTGTGAATGCCTAATGCACGCCCACGTCTGGCAGGTGTGACGTGGGGAGTGTGGTAAATCATATAGCCGACCAGAACCTCTAAACGCACCACCAGCCCTTTACGGTGCTTAGAGGGAGCCCTGGGAACACGTTTTTACGACTCCAAAGATATTGAACAGCCTAGGCTACTATAGGAAAAAGTCAATCCAAGGAAAAACCCTTGTAGCTCAGGTGTTTCGGTGTTACATTACCAATATTAAATATGTACATAAATACATAAAATTACAACTAAACAACATAATACAACACAGTACGATTTACAAAATCCATTGAAAGCAAAAGAAATTACATTTTAAAACTTTTAGATCCCATCCGTCCATCCGTTTTTATATAGAGACGATAAATTCAACATCATTTTTAAACAGACTAACATTAAGTCTAATAAGATTTATTTGCAAGTCGGAAAATGCACAATGAAACGACATCAAGGTTTCTTAATACATTTAATAAATAAAACAGTCACCTCTTAAACATAAGTAGTGGTTGGTAGAAAATAGAGGACAAATTAGAGTAGAATCTTCTCTACCACACGACTGGCCTTCAAGCTGATTTTTCCATCTGGAAATGTGGAGGAAGTTTAGTCACTGCGAATATTATAGTTGAGCCAAGCCGAGCATGCACAAGCGGAACATCAACACAAAATCAATTATTTAAAAAACCAATAGCCGTTTGACCATGTGAGGTAATAAATACATAATTATACAAATTAATCTACTTTATTTCCTGTCATAAATTCTTCAAGATTTCAGTTTTCTACAATTAAGTCCAAAGTAAAGAAGAATTCGAGAAATTGTGAGAAAAAAAAATGAAGAATAGTATGCATTTTAGTATACAAAAGATATCAAAAAGCCGAAATTTAAAAAGCTCAAACCACACAAAGTTCACTTACCTGCGCGTCGCCGTAAAATGAACATGCAAAACAAAAACACGCCATGCCTTATTTGGATGCAAACAAAACTAAAAATATTCAAATCCGTGCAACCACTTCAGAACCAAAACGTACACTCAAATTATGATTTTATCATAATATATTAATAATAGAATTCGGAATATACAATACATTCATTAGAATTTAAGAAGTTGACCGTTATCGAAAAATTCGCTCTGTATATAATGAGAAACGTAGGTGTACGTCATGCGCGTTGCCCTGGCTCACTTACACAAGACCACGCGCCACACTTGCGTTAGACGCGATAGGTCTTGAGTTTAGTCCAGGGAAAACAACAATTATTTTTTTCGGTTGGGCGTTTTCCGGTAAGACGAAAGACGCTTACTTGTCCAGTGTTTTTATCACTTAACTTCTGGGACGGATACAAAAGTGTAGTACAATTAAGTACATAAATGAGTTTAGTTTTGGAAAGGCGACTTTTAGTTTAAACTGAGGATTTTCAAAAGACTCACTATAGTCGAGCAAGGTGAAAGCGTCAAGCAAAGCCAAAAGAGTACCGTGTTTACTTAATTTCCCTGTTTTGTTTCCTTTTTAGCACTCTTCTGTGGAAATAATAAACTACGTGTAATGGCAATTTATTGTTGTAGAACTTAGGTAAAGGCAACCGTATACTACGCATTTTTCGTGTTCAAATTACATACTTAGCTTGGCTGAAAGGCGCATTATATTTACATTGAGTAGTCTGAAAGTTAATCCCTAAACAGGTTGCAAAACGTGAAAGAAATCGAATGCTGGAATATTGGACTATGCGTCATAGGGAAATTGGAAAAATGTCTCATGTACGGCAGCCCGATGTTCAGCATTGATTCGCGTAATTATTTTCATTGTTCTACGTTCCCATGACCTTGGTTCTGTTACAGAAAAACCAGTATTGCGATCCTTGGGGGCTTTCTAGATATTGGAAAATATTCCTTTAATTATTTGAGTGAACGATTTGAAACTAAAGAGTTAAGGTAGGTAGATATTTCGGATCACCGCGGCCGACTATATTTTAACGCCAATTTTTTTTTGTTTGTAATTTTTATTTTAGTTAAGTCACTTCAACCATTTCTGGTAAAATGTTAAGTTTGAATAAAATAGACAGATATTATCGTTCACGTCTTCACCAGTTTTTGAAAACCCTCGTCAACCGAAAATATCTCGTGAACCATGAAATATTGTAAAAATTATAAAGAGACGGCAGTACTTTATAAACTTAAACAATAAATTATGCTTGCGTACGTGTAGGTGCAATGTCACAGTACAATAAATAATAAACGCATTATTTTCTACTTTATATCATTATATAGTTGTTAGTAGTATTCTGTTAAGTCCAAATTACCACGAGATCTTGGCATTTTGATTCTGATGTCAAAGTTAAATCTGCGACTTAGTATTTGGAGTCCTTCAGGACAAACTTACAATGGCCGCTCCTTTCTCGGTATACTGTTTTTTGGAATCTAGTGTTAGTGTTTAATATAAGACTAAGTGTTTGATACCTCTTCCGTCCATTCTTGTGACGTATAATCCGAAACGTCGGGCCGAAGTAAATAAAAAATTTGTTAAATAAATAAAAAGATAAAATCGTAAATAGAGAGCGGAAAGACACACAGAAGTACCCACCTTTCCCCAAAAAGCCGGTTCCGCCAGTCAAAAACACACACTGATCCTTATAAAAGCGCTGGATCGCGGTCCTAGCCGCTTTACCCTTGGTCAGTTTCCTCTGCTCCTCCTCTCGCGCGTCCGCTTTGTCCTCCTTCGCGTAGTAGTCGTCCAGCTGGTTGGCTGACACGAACTCGTGCTCCTCAGAGTAGTCCAGGATGGGAGCCGTGGGGTTCATGGCCTGGTTTTCGGCGTCCGCTCGACGAACGGAATTTTCTAGCTCCTGCAACGAACAGACACACGTCTTTGTAACATAATCGGTCGTCGCAAAGCTAACGTTCGATGTTCCCACATAAATAAGCACGATTTCTAGAGGGGTTTTAACAAGTGGAGACAAAGGAGTCTTAAAGAAATCGTATAAGGACAATAATAACAAGATGAGCGATGATTATTCATAAGATTAGCAAGTAATGCGACGGCCGGTACGTGACATACAAATGTGTTATTTACATAGAAATTACTTGATATACTCGTACGATGTTTATAATGAGGAGAACGTGGAATTTTCTCGTACTGAAGTAATTAGATGTAACTGGAATTGTTTGCAGCGCTAACGTCCTTATTAACTCGTAACCCTAACCTACAGGCAGTTGTTTTCTCCTACTCAGTTTTAAGGTCTTCAAGCAGAAAGTCAATTACCCTACCTTCTAATAATCTCTCTTAATCTAATACCCTACCTTAACACTTAGCATTTTTTTTAAATACTCGTATCGATAATTGCCTTAGGATTTTTCTTCGACGATTTCGGTAAAAAACATATAGCGAACCATTTAATATCTTTTGAAACCGGTAATGTTTTATAAATCTGGTTTTTATAAATTATTGAACATTGAGACGTTCACAAAAAATCTCGCTCTACAAGGTCAACTTAAAAAATTACTTTGTCTCCTGACACTTCCGTAGGTACGATGGTCCCACTGAGAACGTGGGAATCCCGTTTAGCCCCACGTGGTATATAGGATATTTTTATGGCTTAATTTGGATAGACTTAGTTTAAAAGCAAACGGTTAGTCGGTTTCCTTGGTCGATCAAAATTCGAATCGCGCGAAAGCCGTTTAATCTATACTTAAATAAAAAGCTGATGAATTTGTTTGTTTGAACGCGCTAATCTCAGGAACTACGGGTTCAAATTGAAAAATTCTTGTGTTGGTTAATGCATTTATCGAGGCTTTAAAATGTCGCGCTGTGACTAGTAGAAGCGAAGATACAGTGGGAAATGTGAACAAACGGAGAACATTTTTCATCTCTTTGGGTTTCACATGCGTCCACGCTGCGAAAACGGCTCAAGACAGCCAACAAATATGTATGTAAGGATGATTTCTCTTTAAATGATCTGAGAAAAGTCCGCGACACTAGATGTCTATCTTTTAAGATTAACATGCAAGAACGACGGGACCCGAACGATGGGACGCCACCGATGGCACGACCGTGGGCAGCTTATATTGATAAAGATGTAGAGGGTGGCAAAAATAAATAAGAATGCCCAAAACAACCATTCTACGCGCACGAAGTCGCTGACAAAGCTAGTACTAAATTATAGAGAAAAATTTTCTTATTGTAATTTAGATGGCTCGGCTGCAAAAGGTAACTATACCTACGAAATTAAGTATTTAAAGTGTAATGTACTTATTGAGTGTTAATAACCATTATTTAGTTTGCACATACAGGTGAGTAGAGGACACGTAGCAGGGTTAAGTATCGGGACCTTATATAAATAATAATTGCTCTTCTTATTATTCTAAGATCGGGGCATTTATGAGAAAATGAAAAGAAAGAAATGAGATTTCTTTTTAAAGAAGGTTGTTGCACATTTATCTACAACATCGCATTTGCTAAATATTAGAGTACGAGCAACTTTTGCAAAATATTCATGGAACTTCTGAATAAATTTGGTCTAATGGTAGGATTGTATGGCTAATAATCGTCGGGTCGCGGGTTCGCTCCCCGACGGGCCCAACATTTTTCTAACGAATTTATAGCCTTTCTGAAACGCGTTGGCTTTGTCTAGAAATCTGGAGCCTTTTAAGAAATTTAAACGCTGCTTTCAGTCTGTGGATTGGATTGGACGGACGACAGCGCATCGAATTTAGTTGTAATAGGGCTGGGGTTTGCACATCTGATTGTAGAGGTGTGAAAAAACTGTTGGGAAACTGTAATTTAATAAATTAAGCTAACTTAAAAAACGTAAGAATTATACACAGCGACATAATTTTCAAATTGTACAATGTGGTGTTAAAATAAATTATTATATTTGTATTATAGTTATTATTTTTTAAAAAGCTCAGAGGTGCCAAACTTAAACTCCTAAAAATACGTACCATAGTCGAGAGTCACTTCACAGTCACAGCACTGTCTAAAGAATGGCCACACACACAGAGATATATCTTACGACTACGCGACCATTCGGCTGCGGGCTCAGAAAAAAACTAAGACAGCATTATTATATTTTTCACGTTGACACTTATCTTGGGCTTTTCGCTTTTTACCGAGGCGGTTCCTGATGTGACGTACTTCGCTCGATTAAGTCATATTTAGTAACGAGTTAAATAATTCGAGTGTCGCGTCCAAGTAATATCCAAGTCCAAGTATCTACATTATCCTACAAAATCCATAGATATTCATTAGTAAATCACAAACGTTTAAAATGAAAACCATAGTTACTTTTACTTCTTCAATCTTTTTATGGACCACTTTAATACGAATTTCCGCGACATTACGTGTATATGCAGACTTCAGACTAATGTAAATATGGTATAAATTAAAAATCGCTTATACATTTTAAAAAATACAACTCGGGAAGGACTTGAACCGGCGTCAACAGCGTTTCGTGCTGTTTTTCAATTTATAATCGATTTTTAATTTATATAGAGTCATCGTGTGCAATAATAACACGTGGACAATATTAAAGCTTTAGGTTAGTTAGGTTTTAACCCCTAATTCACCTTTACGAGAAATAAAAAAAAAGCATTGAGCATTGCACCTTCATAAAGAATGATGAACATTTTACAGAAAGTATTATAAAATTTAAATGTAAAAAAATTTGAGCAGATAAAAATCAGTTTTTTCTTCGACTGCGTACATTTCCTCATATTTCGCTGCGTTATCGTCATTTAGATGTAATGCTTATTGGTAACAAAAAATAACGACTTGGCCATATATGTTTTATTTTATGATTTTATAGCTGTATTACCACTTCACGGCCCAATCGTTCTAACGATGCAGAATTTAGTGTGAAATGAATAAACACTCGAGTACGAGTGTTTATGGGTTCCCTTGTCAAGGGGTGAAACGAGAGAACGTGATTGCTAGACAATAGAAGTTTGTTGCTGCACAGTTGCTACTTTAATAACGAATATTAAAACTCACTTGTAAATTGTCCTGCAACTCTTTGCTAAGATTCCTGACCCTCTCCAGCTCTTGCAGCTGGACGTCGGTGGGCTTCCCGTACACGTCCACCCTCGCCTTGGCTCCGCTGCACTGGCTCTCCACCCAGAGCGCCATTTTGTCCTTGGTGCGGTCTGTCCTGAGTAAGGGTGACTCGATGTCTGAGAAATTCATCTTTCTGCGGCAAAGTGTGTTCATAAGAAAGGGAACTTTAAATAAACAAACTAAGAAATAAAATCTTAAAAGATAAACGTATAGTGTGGTGGACATTTCTTAGATCATTTAAAGAGGATCAATTCTTTCATACATATTTTTTGGTTTCTTGAAACGTTACGCCATACACGCAACGGTACGCCTTAAAGATGAATAATTTTACCCGTTGTTACCCGAATAATAAACCCTGCAGCTTTATAATATTAGTATAGACTAGCGAACCACCCCGGCTTCGCTCGGATGCAATGTCGTATATTAAAACCTTGCTTTTGAATCATTCTATGTATTTAAAAAGAGTAGTTTTAAAGATTGAAGCGTACACAGGGACAGAAAAAGCGACTTTGTTTTATACTATGTATGTAGTGATTAGAAACAATGTTCTCTTTTGATCGACTTTCCTTCCTTGTTTTTTATTTAGCATATTTTAAAAGGTATTCAATATGTCCAGCAGTGGACACCGAACGCCTGAATCGAGATCGAGAAATATTACGCCATGACTTACTTTTCTTCTTTTTTTGATACATCCATAAGATGTATAATGTTTTTCTTATATTTTATTTAGAAGTGTACAAGATTCGTGGTTTTTACAGCGTTTTTAAGTAGAGGCAAATAAAATATAAGCTCCAGTTAAGTGTTGTAAGTCACGAATTCTAATTATATCATAATTATGCGAATTAAAGCTGCATCCTAATGATGCATGTAAATAATTTCAGTACTGAAAATTTATTATTAATAATTAATTCATTATTATGAATAATCCAAAACATTCTAGCCTACGCGATGCGCAATTAAAAAAAACTACTATGGATTAATAGTCGATTTCTATTTTTAGAGTTTCTTTTTTTTTTCGAAAATACCAATATGATTAATATAATATATATTTTTTAAACCTTCACTAAGGCAGGCGTCGGAGACTGTCTTCGCTTCCTAGTTCCTGCAAAAGTTACGGTAGCTTTTTATTTTTAACCAAATAACATTACGCGGAAATACGTAATACTATATTCTAGAAAAAGCGTTTCATGTTTTTGCATAAAAACATTACAACGGAAAACTTCAACTGTACCTGCGTTTCCTACTTTTTACAGTGTTTTGTAATTGCTACAAAGTTTCTACTATCGTTGAGCATATAGTAACATTAGATTAATGCAAACTAGCCTAGAATAGGTTGACCTAGATTCCTACATAACTATTAGGAATGAGATATTATGTAATCATTATAAATTAAGTAGCTTTGTCAGCGACTTCGTCCGTTACCCACGACGTATGTACGTCGCGTTCCGTCGTTTTTATATATCGCAAGTTAATTTTAAAACATAGATACATACTCGTACTGTCGTGGATATTTTTTTAGATCATTTAAAGAGGAATCATTCTTTCGCACATATTTTTGGCATCTTGAACACAACGATGAACTTTTCTCGTTTTCTCCACATCGTAGATGTTTTATAGCTAAGTTAGAGAATTTTCCAGTTTCCACCAGTAGTTCCTGAGATTAGCGCGTTCAAACAAACTCTTTAGCTTTATATATAAGTATAGATATCGGTGCGGGGCCTTTTTTCTTGAAAAATCTGATCTCTACACTCGTATAAATAAGCTGTAATTACGATTATTGATACGTGGTACATGGCATGAACGCTTCCGCTCCCAATATCGTGGTTTCTTTTAAACCTTGTATTCGGAATTTCGTAATTTGAGTTGCCCCGTTACGAAATGAGCAAAATCAAAACACCTACGTTTAGCTGTTAGCCTTGATTCATTATTTTAATAGCTGCGCGCGCACAACTTTATAAAACTAAGGTATTTCGATGACAACGCGTTCCGGCTTGGATTTTCCTCGTCACAAAGTGAGAGAAAATACTTATACATATTGACAAGCGGGATTCAGCTCATTTTACTGATTAAACAGATGCGGAATCACTTTTATTGGCATCAGGAAATCTGGATATTAAATGGGTGGTAGGAATACCGACTTCGGCCCGGTTCGAGAGCCACCGTCCACAAGTGGAAAACCGTGCAGTTTAATCGCGTTAATCTTCTAATATCAAAATCCAAATTAGCTTGCTTGTTGAGATGTGGTGCCTTTTGCTAGAACGAACTTCTCGTGGTACCTTTTGCTAGAACGAACTTAATGGCAAAGGCACAATGGACGAGGACGGTCGAGGTCCTAAATGTTTTGCACAAAAAAGCAGATATTTTTTTATAGTCCTTGGGGTGAACTCACAAATACATTAAAGTTTATTTTGAGTTATGAACGATAATATAATTATATTGTTTAGTTTTTTAGATCTCTGTCGCATTGGGATCCAACCTGTTATGACAGTGCATATATGTAAATGTAAATAAATGTTACATAGCTGGGATTTTACCTTCCATCAACTATAAAATAATAAAATTAGTATATGTTAATAAACAAGGACAGTATAAAAAGTGTGTTGAATGGACAGAGGCGTTCTTTGTTAAGAAAGAAGGCAAGACAGAAAGTGTGTTGGTAGGTTGAAGAAGCACTGCGCGATATCAAGGAGTGTACAAATATTAACACGCCAGGGGCTTTTTCGGACGCAACTACCAACCCCCTTACGGAGCGACAAGAGAACAAAAAGCCAAAGTCCAAAGTTGATAAAAATTTCCTACTCTTTAGACTTCTCTGAAGCTCTGTACAATAAGCTCTTCTTCCGAATAATCGGCTTCGGCTGATAATGTCCGAAACGTCGGGCCGAAGTTAAAAATCATTTTCAAATAAGTTTAACTAATATATCGCGTTTTAAACCGTTAAAGTACTTTATTTAAACTTAAGCCACTCTGCCACAGAATATCAGTGTTGGGACTTAAGTCCCAATGTAGCTGAGTGGCTTCTTTTTCAGAGACAACTGTAGTATTTAATTTAAATTTTTATTTACTTCTTGATTCTGTTTATTACATCAAGTTTAATTGTAAATGTTGTTTCTGACTAAACATCTTATTCTAAATGACTTGAGCCACTGTTTACCGTCCGTAGCGGACCGTACGTACTTCCAAGATGTAACCTCGGAGACACCTTCGTTTTAATCTCCTTTAAATAGTCGAGTTGTATAATTTAATTAATAACCTTTATTAATAGTCGGTAACATTAGAGCGATCTAGAGGACCTTCGAAAATGTAAAATGCATAAGGAAATTGCATAATTATCAAAGTACTGACCTAGACATTCACGGGCCGAATTATATATCAATAAAAATAATGTTGATCGACAGATTAATGAAATATATTACCGCGACTTCGTCCAAAAATTGGTTTGTGCAAACCTCTTGAGAGATGCATATTTTGTCTTGTTATTTCACATTTCGCATTATGATGTTTTATAAGTAACTTTCCTCCATGAATATTCTCTCCAACAGTAGTGCCTGACACTGACGCGTTCAAACAAACAAACGCTTCAGCTTATAATAGTAGTATGAATTAAAATGTTCAATGGCATAAGAAAAATACGAAAATTCCAATTTTATTTCATAGGTCTTTGTGCTATGATATGTGCTATATATATACCTATACATTATTCACAATTATTGTAATATCCAATATGTATAATAAAGACATCGGGTTATTTGTTGTATAAACCTGTAATTTCAATACAACCTTTATTAGATAATATGTTTGCGCAAATATATTCTTTATTATTCTTATATATAAAGCTGAAAAGTTTGTTTGTTTGTTTGAAGGCGCTAATCTCAGGATATAGGGTTCGAATTAATCTTTTTGTGTTAGTTAGAGCATATATCGAGGACAACTATAGGCTATAAAATATCGCCCTGTGACTAATACAAGCTAAGATACAGCGAGAAATGTGAAAAAAATGGAAAAATTATTCATCATCATGGGTTTCCGGAAGATTAAAAAAAAATGTGTATGAAAGAATGATTCCTCTTTAAACGATCTTAGAAAAAGTGACGCTATATGTCTGTCTTTTAAGATTAACTTGCAAGAACGACGAGACCTATTTTGGCTTTGAATATTCGGACGGTCAAAAGTGTTTTATTTCAATTTGAACCACTCGTGTTTATAGATGCCACAACTACATATTGCGTGTAGTCCAGAAAGCGCAAATAGTTTGAAGGTTTGCCCCATCTTTCGTTAAATAAAATGACCAGAGTCGCGGTCACAGCACAGATTAGAATAATTATTAAGAGCAATAAAGTATCTAAGTTAAGGTCAGCGGCCTTGCTCGCAGATCCTCACCTTGCTCACTTAATGATATGGTCAAGTATTCGCGTTCAGAACTAACTATAGAGTATTTTTTCTAACTTGGCAAAAGATCACAACAAATATGGCCGATTTTAAACCATAGAGACCCGTGATGTGAGTGATGTCCTTTTATACAATGCATTTTTTTATACTTCTAAGTTCTGCGCAATGGAGACCGAGTTCTCGCTTCAATAATGTTTACTGAACCTAGGGCTGAACATTTCGACTTGTTACAGTACTATCCAGCAATTTAATACAAAACAAAGTATGTAACCCTTTAACGGTTTGAAACGCGATATATATAAGATAGACTTATTTGGATTTTTTTTAATTGCGGCCCGGCGTTTCGAATGCTTTACAGCAGCCGTGGTCTCGAGGTGACTAAAGATGGAGGATGTCACTAATGTCAAAGTGAAAAGTGCTACGCTAGCGCCAACTGGCCCGTCGTAGTCGTCGAATATCCAAGCCAAAACAGGTCGACTACGCGTCTTGTGTACATGTTACGTGGCTGAGGTATTTCTTTCCTCTTGTATCAATGAAAAAGTTTGTATCTGGGAACGTGGTCTGGCGTATATTCCATATACTCGTTATTAGCAATTTTCAATGTTTACTCAGTCGTAAAAACTCATAACAGTTGACTAAATAACTCGATACCATAATATAAGTTGTAAATTGCTTTGCCAAACTATGCGGTAATATCTGCTACGTTTGAGCAAATAAGTCATCAAGTCATGTTAACAAAC